GTGGTAGACCATCAGATGATTTCGGGAGATAGATAGGTACGGTACGGAGTAGATGTCTAGTAAATTGTGCTAGTACGGTATATTGCATAGTGATATGTCTAGTACTGTATGTATGTCGACTGTACGGAGTAGTGCATTGTCTCTGTAGACCAACCGGAACCACTGTGATTCACTTTGCCTGTTCCTTTGGAACCAACTGCAGTTCAGGTGCAGCAGCAACAGTCAGTCCGAGCGCTTCTTCTCAACTCCTCAGCCACAACCCAGCATTTGATCGATGACCTTACCTGAACCTCTCTCTCTTACTCGCTCACTCACTCACTCACTCACTCACTCACTCACCCCCTTCCCTTCCGAGACCCCCCCAAACCTTCATACTACTTCTTCCATCCCGTTGACAGCTAAGCTACGCTACTCTACCTTTTTTTTGCTTCCCCGCCTCGTGTCTCATCTGGTCTGTCAGACCGATCCGTTGGAAACAATCTCATCTCGTCATATCTATCTACTTTCATTTTCCTTGCCCCTCGTGGATTGCTGACCGTGCCAGTCTAATTTACTTTTCTCTTCTCCCCCCCCCCCCCGGGGCTCTTGTTGTTGCACCCCCGCTCTCTAAGCCAAACCCGCTAAGCGACCACGGCAAAGGCGATCGACCGACTGCCAACTGACTGACTGGCTACTGCACTGCTGCTCCCTATACCGCTCCCATTCGCGCCAAAGAGAGACGGACACAGCAGTGTGAGAGATCCATCCTCCTCTTTCCACTTTCCCACCCAACAACCTGAACCCCCCCCCCCCCGCCTCACTCCCTCTCAATCGTCCCAGCTCGAATTTCCTAAGGTAAGTCCTGCTGCAGCTTATAGTTTCATGTTCCATTTCTGCTTCCCGCTCCGCCCCTTGTTTGTTTTCAATCCTCTCACCGCGGTCCCTCTACCATCTCAACCGCCTGTTCTGCGAATTGCCCGCTATTCTGCCCGCTGCTGCGTTTGCGTCCCAAGCCTTCGATAATTCCCCTCACCACCCTTCCCCATCCGACTACGCATTACCTTCCATCGCCTGCCTTGCCAAGAAATTGTTACAAACACACCCTGGAAATTACCGTCTCTCTGAATTTCGAAACAAGCGCTATGCTGCGTTTTGTTGTGGCTGCAAATGCTCATGTGGTCATTCCTAGGCCGACATAAACAAATCCCGACGTGGCTCTCCTGAATCGCCTCCGCCCTGCCCGACTCCAATCCCTCCTGCTAGGGTGCGGCTTCTTGCTGCACTGGCACCGAGTCCCCAAACCGAGTACATGTGGCTGTTCGTTTAGTCGTCAAGATGAAGGGTTTCAGACAGAGAGTGGTGAGTTCGCCCTCGTCGCCTTCCGCCCCTTAGCTGTTCCCCGCCTCCGCCATTTCCCTCCAGCTTCGCCGGCCGACCACCCGAATTGGGCTGACCTTCATAGCACGAGCAGTTGTCGAGGGCGAAAGACGCGAACAAATCCTCCAAGAAGAAAGACTCCTCCCACGCCTCCTCCCAGAACAACGCCGCCCTCGGGGTTCACCATGGCCAGCAATCTTCTTCCCCCAACCAGGGCACCCCGACCTCGTCCACAACTTCCGTGAATGATACCAGAGGAAAGTCGCCGGAGAGTTCTGCGCAGGCCGGAATCTATCCCCCTGGTTAGTATTCCAACACGCAGCCGAAGAAACATCGCTGGTCAACCGGTGGTTAACGGTGGTACAGGTACTCCTACCAAGCAGGGACAGCCGATGGCTCCTAGTGTGGTCATCAGTCCAAGTGGCCCAGTAAGTCATTTCACTCCTGATCCGAATGGCGTGCGCGTCAGTTCCTGTCGCTCGTGAGCCCATCTAACCGTGCGTTTTGCGCAGCATCATGTCCCTCCTCCCGGTGCGGCTGAGACAATGCCAGGCGACCTTGCTCCTCCTAGGAAGTCCCATGTCTTTGATCGCCTTCAGACGACGCCTAAAGACATGTCCGAAGGCATCAGAACCCCCAAGCGCCAGCATTCGTCGCGATTCGATATCTCCGACCAGCGTCAGCGGGAGCTTGAGAAACTCCCTGGCTTCCACGAAGTCCCACCCAATAGACGTCAGGACCTGTTCATGCAGAAGATTGACCAGTGCAACATCATTTTCGACTTCAATGACCCGACAGCTGATATGAAGTCTAAGGAAATCAAGAGACTGGCGCTCCACGAACTCTTAGATTATATCGCCAACAATCGCTCTGTCATCACAGAACCGATGTACCCCCGAGTCGTCGAGATGTTCGCCAAGAACCTTTTCCGACCCATCCCACCTCCTGTGACTCCTCAAGGAGAGGCTTTCGACCCGGAAGAGGACGAGCCGGTCCTGGAAGTTGCGTGGCCGCATATCCAGGTGGTCTATGAGTTCTTCCTGCGATTCATCGAAAGCCAAGATTTCAACACCAACATCGCCAAGGCATACATCGATCACCATTTCGTTCTGCAGGTAGGCCGCCCGACCGCATGGTATAGTCAAAAGAAGATTACGGGCCACTAACACTCCTCCAGTTGCTCGAGCTGTTCGACTCGGAAGATCCCCGCGAACGCGATTTCCTCAAGACTACCCTGCATCGGATCTACGGAAAGTTCCTGAATCTGCGCTCATACATCCGTCGATCCATAAACAATGTTTTCTTCCAGTTCACATATGAGACCGAGCGATTCAACGGCATTGCCGAACTGTTGGAAATTCTTGGCTCGATTATCAACGGATTTGCCTTACCCCTGAAGGAGGAGCACAAGCTGTTCCTCACCAGGGTTTTGCTTCCGCTGCACAAAGTCAAGAGTCTTAGCATGTATCACCCGCAGCTGGCCTACTGCATTGTTCAGTTCCTCGAAAAGGACTCGACTTTGACGGAAGATGTGAGTGTCCCCACTACGCCTGGCTTGTCGGAGATGAGCCTCGAGCAGATGCTAACATGGAAATAGGTCGTTCTTGGACTGTTGCGTTACTGGCCTAAGACTAACAGTACTAAGGAAGTCATGTATCTCAACGAAGTTGAGGATATTTTTGAGGTGATGGACCCCGCCGAGTTCGCCAAGGTGCAGGTGCCCTTGTTCCAACAACTCGCCAAGTCGGTGGCCAGTCCGCATTTCCAGGTATGAGATACCTGTCTCAGATTGTGATGTGTCGCAAAGCTAACTGCAGTTTAGGTTGCGGAACGCGCACTGTACTTTTGGAACAACGAATACTTCTGCAACCTCGTCAGTGACAATGTGGAAATCATCCTGCCGATCATGTTTCCACCTTTGTATGAAAACTCTAAAGGTCATTGGAACCGGTATGTATTCTCGCCCTTGCAACTTTCCAGTCTCATTATACTGATCTCCGGTCGGTACAGAACAATCCATAGCATGGTTTACAACGCCATGAAAATGTTCATGGAAATCAATCCCCAGCTGTTCGATGAATGCTCCCATGAGTACAACGAGCGGCAGAATAGTGCCGAACAGCGGGAGCAGAGCCGCCAGACTAGATGGGAGAAGGTTTTGGAACAGGCCAACGAACGGAAGAATGGGGTCGCGCCTCCTCCACCGTGCCAGATCGCGGAGATTCCCGTTCAACTGGATGATATTGACTCGGTCACCCACGATAGCCAAAAGCGCCTTCATGCCCTGAAATTGGACGATTCAGGAGCATCGACGGAGCGGAGTTCTAGAGAGAACACGGCGACCTCGGTGAGTGATGGACTTCCCTGATTGCCTGTGTGGTCATGCTTCAGCCGTGACGTTATCGCATCACGCTAGGTGCCCTCCATCACCCTGATTTGTCGCTGTCTTTGCTAAGAGTTCCTCGGTTTCCTTGTACAGCAAGCGTGATTCTAATGCTGAAACGTCCGTTTGCTTCAGAGACGGCGCCGCGGCGGCCTTGATGAATCTCGGAGACGAAGAAGTGGTAGCGCAAGTGAGATTCGACCTCGTGTAGATCGACGACGGTCGGCTGGCTCTGGCGCTGCTTTCTCGATCTTGTCACGAAGCAATTCTGTCAAGTGACAGTCGATTTAATGGTATTTCCCTGCTAGATTTCCTGCAATGATGGCATAGCGACTATGAGCTGCGACAAAGTGTACTTGATCTTCTCTGGTTTTACGTTCGGTTCACCCCTTTGTTCGCGCTCTTCTTCATGCCTTTCTATCTTCGTTCTTCTCCCCCTTCTCGATTCCTTTCAATTCTCATCTTTGTGTACATGGCCTTCCATATCCTTGTGTCCCAGCGTGCACGTGGGTGGCCACGCCCGGGTGCAATTCAGCGGACGTTGTTGTCAGTTGGACTACTAGAACTGTGTTCGGGTCTGGAAAACGGGTGAATGGCGTTTCCCCTCGGTCGACGTTGATGTCGACGACCTCTTTTGAGTCTTAAAACATGAAGTATTTATGGCATAGCCTTCAACCAGATGCATTTAATTCCTAGAGTCCAACGTGTCCCACTCCTGTTCTTTGGACAAGCGCGACTCCCCGTACGGTAGATCCATATTTACACTGGGCTGGCAGTAAGTACGGAGTACCTGTATGGTGCCTGCAACACGTGCCCGTGCCTCGTTTAGCGAGTAGCGACACTAGTACTCGAGCTGGAGTACGATTTGCTCATCAATCGAGGGGTAGCTGGACAGACGCGCGCTTGTTCGGCCTGGAGGAACGAAGATCCGGGGTTGCCTATTTTGGCCTAGTGTTCTGTTCGGGGTCTCTGCGATACCCGCGTTCTGCTCTGCTGCTTTCTGTTCCTGTCGGTTTGCAGGCCATCAATTTGCGCTCAATCATCATTCTCTTGATTCTCTCTCTCCTCCCTTCCTCTCCTTACCTCGCCCGCGCCGATAATTCGTGTCTCCGCCTCGCTCACTTCTCACACTCGTCTCTCGTCCTATAAAGAGCGAGCGCAATTAATGACTTAACGATTGTATCCCTCTATCTCACAAGGCGCTTTCCGTCGCTGGGCGTGTCGAGATAGTTCCACTCTCACGGATTTGCACATGAATACAATACACCACGCGGATCGTGCTGGCTCTCACCCCAAGGCCGGCCTTGTGGCCTGGCAGTACCTATAATCTCGCATCACTCCCTTGACTCCCTGTGAGGGGCACTATACAACCATGGAGCGAAACATCGACATCTACGCCGCCAAACTCGGCGATGAGAAGCTCGGTACGCTTGATTTTCTAGCTCTCCCACGGGCAACTCTCGAGTCTGCATTGACTCGAGCTTAGCCTAGCTATAGCGGCTAAGTGCTGACTTGTCTGGCCTATAGATATCAAGTTACGAGCCAACGTCGCCGTCGAACTACGAGACAGCATAGAACCGCTATGCTCCGGCGCAAGCTATCCCATCTTCCTTTCCAAGTTATGGCCCGTGTTCAAGAACATCTTGAAGGGCGAACCGGTCTTCACAAACTTGTCCTTCGAGCAGGTGAGTTAGGGATCATGGACAGTCCGCAGTTACCCATGACCCCGGAGCTTACGCAACTCGCCTGGAAACAGAAATTACGGAACTATATCCTCGAGACGCTACACAGACTGCCAATGGCATCTCCCGATGTTGAACCGTACGCCGCTGATATGGTCGACTTGTTGATGGATCTCGTCCGAATTGAAAATGAAGAAAACGCGGTGCTCTGCATGAAGACGATTATGGACCTGGAGAGGAATCAAGCCAAGGCAACAGCAGCACGAGTCCAGCCCTTCCTGGCCCTAATCCAAGAGATGTTCCAGATGATGGAGCAGGTGGTACGCGACACGTTTGACACGCCGAATCAAGCTACTCCCTCCGGAATGCCTTCAACGCCGAGTGCCACGGCCCAGAACTTCCAATCGCCCCGACCAAGCTCGCCAGCCACTTCCGTCTCAGATCTCGGACCGGACCAACAGGCCAACAATATTCTCCTGCGCGGTATGCAGTCGTTCAAGGTCCTTGCGGAATGTCCAATCATTGTCGTCTCGATCTTTCAGACCCACCGGAACTCGGTCGCAGCGAATGTCAAGCTCTTCGTGCCATTGATCAAGAGCATTCTTCTCCTTCAAGCTAAGCCACAGGAGCGGGCGCACGCAGAGGCCGCAGCCCAAGGAACGATATTCACCGGTGTTTGCAAGGAGATCAAGAATCGGGCTGCGTTTGGTGAATTCATTACGGCACAGGTTAAGACGATGAGCTTTTTGGCGTACTTGCTCCGCATGTATGCCCAACAGCTCCAGGACTTCCTCCCAACTCTCCCTTCAGTCGTGGTTCGACTGCTGCAGGACTGCCCTCGGGAGAAGTCAAGCGCTAGGAAAGAACTACTGGTCGCCATTCGTCACATCATCAACTTCAACTACCGCAAGATCTTTCTGGAGAAGATTGACGAGCTTCTTGACGAACGGACTCTCATTGGCGACGGACTTACTGTCTATGAGACAATGAGGCCTCTTGCCTACAGCATGCTCGCTGACTTGATTCACCATGTGCGAGACCATCTGACTCGGGACCAAATTCGACGGACTGTCGAGGTTTACACCAAGAACATGCATGACGATTTCCCGGGAACGAGCTTCCAGACTATGAGCGCTAAGCTGTTGCTGAACATGGCTGAGCGCATCGCCAAGCTTGAAGACAAGCGAGAAGCCCGGTACTTCTTGATCATGATTCTGGATGCCATTGGTGACAAATTCGCCTCAATGAACTATCAATTTAACAATGCTGTTAAAGTCTCAAAGATGTACAAAGAAACCAAGAAGGATCTGGAGCCTTCCGCAGAGAAGTATCTCGCGGAGAAAGAGTTCCCTCCTGACTGGGATGAGATTGATATCTTCTCGGCTTCGCCAATCAAGACATCTAACCCTCGTGATCGCGGCGGCGATCCGGTGTCAGACAACATTTTCCTTTTCAAGAATCTTATAAATGGCTTGAAAACCATATTTCATCAGCTCAAGAATTGCAATCCGGAGCATATTCAAATAGATCCAAACAGCGTGCCGATCAACTGGTCCGAAGTCTCCTATGGATATAATGCTGAGGAAGTGCGCGTCATCAAGAAGCTGTTCCATGAGGGAGCACGAGTATTCAGATATTACGGGGTCGACCAGTCACCACCGGAGGTCAACTACTCGTCTCCCTTCGACTTCCTTGCCAGTCAATACACGGCTCCAATGTCACGGGAGGAGAAAGAGCTCCTGGAGAGCTTCGGCACTGTCTTCCACTGCATTGATACCGCTACATTTCACGAAGTCTTCCATTCCGAAATACCATACCTTCATGAGCTTATGTTTGAACATGGCGCTTTGCTTCACCTGCCTCAGTTCTTCTTGGCTAGTGAAGCTACCTCCCCTGCTTTCTCGGGGATGGTATTACAGTACCTCATGGACCGCATACACGAAGTGGGCACTTCTGACATGACTAAAGCAAAGATTCTGCTTAGGATGTTCAAGCTTTCCTTCATGGCAGTCACTCTGTTTTCCGTCCAGAACGAGCAGGTCTTGCACCCACATGTGACCAAGATTGTCACCAAGTGCATAGAGCTCTCGGTCACTGCCGAGGAACCCATGAATTATTTCTTGCTGCTGCGGTCGCTCTTCCGTAGCATTGGAGGTGGTCGCTTCGAGCTCTTATACAAGGAGATCCTGCCTTTGCTAGAAATGCTGCTTGAGACATTCAACAACCTTTTGGTGGCTGCTCGGAAGCCACAAGAGCGTGATCTATACGTGGAGCTTACGCTCACAGTACCAGCGCGTTTGAGCCATCTTTTGCCACATCTCAGCTATCTCATGCGTCCTATTGTGGTGGCCCTGCGTGCGGACTCGGATCTCGTCGGTCAGGGTCTCAGAACCCTCGAATTATGCGTGGACAACCTTACTGCCGATTATCTGGACCCTATCATGGCTCCTATAATGGATGATCTCATGACAGCATTGTGGGACCACTTGCGCCCGCATCCCTACAACCATTTCCATGCCCACACGACCATGCGCATCCTAGGCAAGCTTGGTGGTCGCAACCGCAAGTTCCTCAACCACCCTCCGGACCTCACCTTCGAACAATTCGCCGATGATGCACCAAGTTTTGACATCAAACTTATAGGGCCCAGCGAGAAGCGGCCGTTCCCAATCGATATCGGTCTGGACCTGGCAATCGCCAAGTTGATGGAAGTTGCCAAGAACGAATCAGGGCAGGCCTCTGACAACTACTATAAGCAGCAGGCATTCCGCATGGTCTCGTCGCAGCTCAAGCTCTACATTGGTTACGAGAATCTTCCCGAGGATCTGGCCTCACTTATTCGTCTGCACGCAAATGATTTGTTTGACAGCAAGACCACTTCCATGGCTGATGTATTAGAGAAGTCAGAGCGCTCGAGCTCTATTCCCAAGAAACTAGGCCAAGAAGCTTCCCTGAAGAAACTTCTCAAGGCATGTATCTACGCCACTACCATCCCGGAGTTAGAGCAGTCCGCAACGGCTTTTGTCGCGGATGTCTGCAAGCACTTCGCCGTCGTGGAGGTTGGTCGCGCACTTGCCCAAGCTCGGCATACCCGCAAGCCATTCGACGTAAATAGTGGCGAGGGTCCCGTGTATCTCGACTCACGCGTCCTGGCCGAAGCAGTCGTCGAGTCGCTTTCGTCCGACAATGCGCAGGTTCGCGAGGGAGCCGAGGCGGCCATGCAAGTGATGAAAGACGCTGCCGCCATCATCTTTGGTGCCCCAGAGCGAGTGGCCAAGCTGCCGTTCTTTCAACATCTCGGGCGCGTGTTCTGTCACAGCTGTCATAGCGAGGAGTGGTTTACTAAAGCCGGAGGAAGCTTCGGTATCCATCTATTCGCGACTAAGCTTGATCTGGGAGATGCATGGCTTCTTGACAAACAGGTCGACTTTGTCAGGGCGCTCATGTATGTCATCAAGGACACTCCAGCTGACTTGCCAGCCAGTACGCGAGTCAGGGCCCAAGAAACGCTGGACTTGATTCTGCGCAGATGCTGCAAGAGCTTGTCCCTCGAGGACCTCAAAACCGAGAAGAGCCGCTTGTATTCTTTGTGCGGTCACTTCGTTTACGAATTGTCTCACATGAACAAGCAGGTTCGTGAGACCTCGCGGCGTAGTTTCTCCACCGTTTCCGAAGTCCTGGGGTGCCAAATCCACGAGCTTATCCTGCCGGTCAAGGAGCGTCTCTTGCAATCTATCTTCAACAAGCCTCTGCGAGCGCTACCATTTCCCATTCAGATCGGCTTCATCGACGCTATCACCTACTGTCTCAGCCTTCATAACAACATTGTCACGTTCAATGACCCTCTCAACAGGCTTATGTTGGAATCGCTTGCTCTGGCCGACGCCGATGACGAATCCCTGGCCTCCAAACCCAACGAGTTCAAGAACGCGGAGATGATCGTCAATCTGCGTGTCGCCTGTCTCCGTCTTCTGTCCATGGCAATGAGCTTCCAAGAATTTGGCAACGCTCCGCAGAATTCTAGCCGTGCTCGCATAATCTCGGTCTTCTTCAAGTCGCTCTATTCTAGGTCGCCTGAGGTCATTGAAGCCGCAAATGCAGGACTTCGAGACGTTTTGACGCAGACCAACAAATTGCCAAAAGACCTTCTCCAGAATGGTCTCCGTCCCATCTTGATGAACCTGCAGGACCCGAAACGCCTGAGTGTCGCTGGGCTTGATGGACTTGCACGCTTGCTTACGCTGTTGACAAATTACTTCAAGGTTGAAATCGGCGCACGTCTTCTGGACCATATGAAAGTCATTGCGGATGAGGCGACACTGCAGAAGGTATCCTTCAGCCTCGTTGAACAGAGTCCACCGATGAAGATTGTCGCCGCCATATTCAATATCTTTCACCTTCTTCCTCCGGCAGCTACGTCCTTCATGGATCACCTTGTGAACAAAGTCCTGGACCTCGAGGAGAAACTGCGCAGGACTTCCAACAGTCCTTTCAGAAAACCACTGGTGAAGTATATAAACCGCTACCCCAAGGAGAGTTTGACATTCTTTCTGGCTCGGTTCAAGGATGAGAGATTCGGCCGTTTCTTCGGTCAGGTTTTGGCTGATCCTGAAAGCGAGCCACTTCGCTCTGCGGTTGTCGCAGATACCGAAGGCTTCCTAACGGCAGCCTTTGCACAGGAAGGAACTGATGGCAGGAACACTGCTGGGATCAACGGCATCTACGTCGCCCACTCAATCTGCACATTTGAAGCAACCAAACGCTGGTTGGTGTCTCAAGCAGACTTGAGGACAAAGCTTTTGAGCACGGGACGCGACCTTGCCCGGAAGCTGCGCAATGACAAGCTTCCCATCAATGAGCGACTGAGGGTAGAGCAGGCTGAGGACCAACTGATGGACATTTTCACCAATTACCTCTCTGAATCGGTGCAAGATCTGGACTTCCTGTTTGAGATCATTGATGGCCTTTCAGCCGAGGAACTCAAGCGGACGCTGGCTCTTCCCAGGTTCATCTACCGGCACATCATCACGAATGAGTCCATTGATTATCGTCGCTCCGTTATCATGCGGTGCCTGGACTTGTACAGCCAGCGTTCATGCTCTCAGAAGATGAAAACATATGCTTTCCGTCATCTGGTCAATCCCATCTTCGCCATGGATGTTCAAACGACATGGAACAGCCCTCCAAACAGCCCCAAGCTCATGGACAGAAGTATGACTGAGTTCATTCAGAGTCGGTTGTGGAAGCCTCAACTAGCTGATTTAAGTGAGGAATCCAACCAGGCTGGTGTCGATCATTCTCGCATGGAGCTCCTTCAGCTGTCAGCATTGTTGATCAAATACCATCATCAGACCGTGCAGGATTCGCGCAAGGATATCATCAAGTTTGCCTGGAACTATATCCGTCTTGAAGATATCATCAACAAGTACGGAGCATATGTTCTCATCAGCTACTTCATTGCTCACTACGAGACTCCCTTCAAGATTGTTGTACAAGTTTATGTGGCTTTGCTCCGAGCTCATCAGAACGAGGGCAAGGCACTTGTTACGCAGGCTTTGGATGTTCTGGCTCCAGTCTTGCCAACTAGGATTCTGTCGGCAAGCGGCAACCAAGGCCCGGACTTTCGCTATCCTCTGTGGGCGAAATGGCCTCGGCGCATTCTAGCAGAAGAAACCGCAAACCTGCAGCAAGTGATGAGCATTTTCCAGTTCCTCGTCCGTCATCCGGATCTCTTCTATGAGTCAAGAGAGCACTTTGTTCCACTCATTGTGCCTTCTCTCTCAAAGATAGCCGCCCCTGCCAGTCCGTCTAATGAGGGCAAAAAACTTGCTTTGAATCTCATTAGTCTTATCTGGCACTGGGAGGAGAAGCGTGCTAAGGCAAGTCAGATTACCTTGTCGAACGGCGTCCTTGAGTCACCCAACGCAAAGAAGCGTAAGCTGGATGAGGGCCAGCGCACTTCATCCCCTTCCCCTGCGCTTGTACCTCCGCCTTCTCGTGATCGCTCAGATTACGCAGTCTCGGCTGATTTCAGAGCTTCCTTAACCAAATACCTTATCACTTTCATCACGACTATCCCCGAGAGATTTCCTGTCCCGGCTGCTCGTATTCGGGAACTGCCGTCGTCCAAGGCCCCACCCGTACCAACAGGCGAGATGGTGAAGAAGGCCGTTTTTCTGCTTAGGAACCTCCTTTCTCCAGAGTATTGGGGTGACTTGGATGTTGAGCTGTATCAGAAGGCGACAGAGCCTATCCTCGCTGGCGAGAAGGCCGATAAGCCTGATGAGAAGCATATCACGAGTATGATAAATGCTCTACAAGTTGTGCGGATTCTGTTGGCATCCAAGCCCGATGACTGGATTGTTGCGCGTGTGCAGAGTATCCAGAAGCTGTTTGAGAAGCCTTTGCGGTCAGACAATCCGGAGATCCAGGACTGCCTTCATGGTCTTGAAGATGACATGGACATCTCTCCCAAACTCGAGCCCCCAATCAGGCGTGTTCTCAATGCTTTACCGGATGATCAGCCCGAGGAGGAGGATGCAATGGATGTCGAAAATTCACCTTCCGAGTTTGTCACTTATCTGTCAACTATTGCGACTGAAACGCTCTCGGCGAACAACTATGTTTCGAGTCTCAATATCTTGTGGACCCTCTCAAAGAACAAGCCGGCCGAGATGGATACTCATATTCCTCAGGTTATGAAGGCATTCTCCCAGAAATTAGCCAAGGAACATGTTGCAGCTTCGACCGCGAACCAAGGTCAATACCCGCCTGGATCAAAGCCACCGGAAGGAGTGCCAGAACAGCAAGAGTATGAGATTGGCGTTGACTTGATCTTCAAGACAATCGAATTGGTTTCTGTGCGCATGTCTCACCTCGGAGAGCAGAGACGACCTTTCTTGAGTGTCCTGGCGCAATTAGTTGAGCGATCGCAGAACATTAAGCTTTGCAGCAAGGTCCTTGGTATGGTGGAGACTTGGATCTTCCATTCAACTGAGTCGTGGCCCACGCTGAAGGAAAAGACGGCTGTTTTGCACAAGATGCTGCTCTTTGAATCTCGTACCGATCAGACGATGCTGAAGAAGTTCCTCGATCTTGTCATCAGGATCTACGAAGACTCCAAGATCACTCGCACTGAATTGACAGTGAGACTGGAGCACGCTTTCTTGATTGGCACCAGAGCTCAAGATGTTGAAATGCGCAATCGCTTCATGACGATCTTCGACCGCAGTTTAACTCGCCTGGCCAGCTCTCGACTCAGCTATGTGTTGACTTGCCAGAACTGGGATACCCTTGCTGATTCTTTCTGGTTGGCGCAAGCCTCACATCTGGTATTAGGCTGCGTGGATATGGCATCTTCGGCCAGGTTGCACCCCGATGATTTCACTGTCTATCCTGTGTCTTTTCTCTTTGGCAATGCTGAAAAGGATCCTCGTAAAGCTGATATTATGATCGACACACAATTAGAGGCCTTCGTCACCGACCGCAAGCGATTCGTTGCAGATATTGGTGATGTGAAGGCTCGCGACCTGGTGGAGCCTTTGGTTCAGCTTCAGCACACTGATCCTAATGTGTCCTACAAGCTCTGGACCACGCTCTTCCCCATTTTCTGGTCTACACTTTCGAGGGAAGATCGCATCGATCTTGAGAAGGGAGTGGTGACGCTCATTACTCGGGAGTACCATCAAAGACAGCTGGATAAGCGACCGAACGTTGTGCAAGCATTGCTTGAGGGCGTTGTCCGAGCACGCCCGCGGTTCAAGGTTCCTCCTCACGTTATGAAGTATCTGAGCCGAACCTACGATGCCTGGTATACTGCCGCTACGTACCTGGAGGAGTCAGCCATCAGCCCCATCATTGACACTCCTACTGTCCGTGAAAGTAATCTGGATGCTTTGGTCGAAGTATACGCTGGTCTGCAGGAAGACGATTTCTTCTACGGCACATGGAGGCGTCGTTGCAAGTTTGTCGAAACCAATGCTGCTCTTTCGTACGAGCAACAAGGCATGTGGGATAAGGCTCAGCAACTCTACGAAAATGCCCAGATCAAAGCTCGCTCTGGAGCCATGCCTTTCTCACAAGGCGAGTACTACTTGTGGGAGGACCACTGGTTGATCTGCGCACAGAAGTTGCAGCAATGGGAAGTCCTGAGCGATTTCGCCAAGCATGAGAACTTGAACGACCTTCTCCTGGAGTCTGCTTGGAGAAACATCGAGAATTGGCAGAGCGAGGGCAGTAGGGAGCAGCTCGAATCGCTGATCAAGTCTGTCTCCGATGCACCCACTCCGAGACGCACATTCTTCCAGTCCTTCATGGCGTTGCTTCAGTTCCATATCAAGAAGGAGAATATTCAGGACTTTAACGGCGTTTGTGATGAGTCTATCCAGCTGTCCATCCGGAAATGGCTCCAATTACCCAAGAGAATCACCAATGCTCACATCCCGATTCTGCAGCACTTCCAGCTTTTGGTCGAACTGCACGATGCCAGCCATATCTGCGCTAGCCTGTCTCAGACAAACGAACGCAATCTGGACACGAAGTCTGCCGAGCTTAAGTTGCTGCTGGCAACGTGGAGAGATCGTCTGCCCAATCTGTGGGATGATATCAATGCTTGGCAAGACCTCGTTACTTGGCGACAGCACATCTTCCAGCTTATCAACGCGACTTATCTGAGTTTATTGCCACCCCAGACGAATAATGTGGCTAGTAACTCATACGCCTATCGCGGGTACCATGAGACGGCATGGATCATCAACCGTTTTGCTCATGTCGCTCGTAAGCATCAGATGCCCGAGGTGTGCATCAACCAGCTTAGCCGCATCTACACACTTCCGAACATCGAGATTCAGGAGGCATTCTTGAAGCTTCGTGAGCAAGCCAAGTGCCATTATCAGAATCCGAAGGAATTGAACAGTGGGTTGGATGTGATCAACAACACCAACCTCAACTACTTCGGTGCGCAACAAAAAGCAGAGTTCTACACGCTCAAGGGTATGTTCCTTGCCAAGCTCAACCACGTCAATGAGGCAAATGAGGCGTTTGGTGTTGCGTTGTACTACGAATTGAGACTCGCAAAAGCGTGGTCTGAGTGGGGTCAGTATAGTGACCAGCGGTTTAAGGCCGACCCATCGGACTACGAGCTTGCAAGCAACGCCGTGAGCTGCTATCTAGAAGCTGCCGGCCTTTACAAGAATGCTAAATCTCGGAAGCTGCTGAGTCGCATTCTTTGGCTTCTGAGCCTGGACAATGAAGAAGGTCAGATTGCTCGAGCTTTTGAGAACTTCAAGGGTGATACGCCGGTCTGGTACTGGATTACCTTTATTCCGCAGCTTCTCACCAGTCTTTCGCACCGTGAAGCGCGGCTGTGCAAGGCTGTTCTGGTCAAGATCGCGAAACTGTTCCCACAGGCTCTCTTCTTCTTGCTTCGTACGAACAGGGAAGATATGCTCAACATCAAGAAACAGCATGACTCGAAGCAGGAGAAGATCATCCGCACTCGGGCCCACGGCCAACAACAGCAACAATCGTCACCTCTGGCCAAGACCGCACCGACAAGCACCGACGCCTCGCCTGCTCAAAACGTTCAGCCGAGCAACACTGGTCCCAGTCCAGCACAACCAAATGGTCAGCAAGGCACCCCTCAGCAGGTAAACAATCAAGCTCAGCCCCATCCCGCAGGGGTCAACCAGGGCCAGCCTGCGAACCCAGCACAGATTAAGAATCCGAACATGCCACAGCAGGTGCCCGGCCAAGGCCAGATGCAGCAACCTCAGGGTCAGACCCAGGCTCCCGCACCGATGCAGAACCAGGCACCAAATCCAGGACAACCTCCAATGCAGCCGCAGCAGCAGCCTCAGGTGCAGCAGCAACAGGGGCACCTCCAAGTTCCCGGTCAGAACGGTGTTCCTCAGCCGAACGCTAAGCCCCCTGGCACAGAGATCGAGAAGGAACCTCTCAAGAAGCCGTGGGAGTATTCCGATGAGATCATGTCCGGCCTCAAGACAGCATTCCCTCTGCTTGCTCTGTCCATGGAAACTATGGTCGATCAGATTCACAAGAACTTCAAATGCCCTCCTGATGAGGATGCGTACCGTCTCATTGTTGCCTTGTTGAACGACGGTCTGGCGTACGTTGGTCGGATGCCTGGCTCATATGCGCAAGACTTCAAGTTACCGTCTGCCACCGAGGCGAATATTACTCGGTTCGCAGAGACTATCCTCCCAGCACATATCCGCAAGTCCTTCGAAGCCGACTTTGTTGTCAAGAAACCAACGATGTACGAGTACATCCACAAGCTTCGCCGTTGGCGTGATAAGTTCGAAGAGAAGCTGGACCGTCGACCCCAGAATCAGTTCCTGGAGACTTATTCTCCACACCTCAGCGAGTTCCGGTTCCTCAAATTCGACGAGGTTGAGGTCCCAGGCCAGTATCTGCTCCACAAGGATAAGAATCAGGACTTTGTTCGCATCGATCGGTTCTTGCCAGACATTGACCTTGTACGCGGCATCGGTGTCTGCCACCGCCGGCTGAAGATTAGGGGCCATGATGGAAGCGTACACGCCTTCGCCGTGCAGCACCCAGCTGCGCGACACTGTAGGCGAGAGGAGCGTATTCTGCAATTGTTCCGCATCTTCAACGGGATCCTGGGCAAGCGCAAGGAGAGCCGCCGGCGGAACTTGTACTTCCATCTGCCACTCATGGTTCCATTGGCCCCCCACATCCGCTTGGTTCGCGATGATCCTTCCTACATCTCTATGCAAGGCATCTATGAGGACTACTGCCGACGGGTTGGCATAAATAAGGACGAGCCTGTTCTCTTCACAATGGAGAAGATGAGATCATTGGCGGAAACGAAACAGAATGTGAGCGGACCCCCTCAATTCAGAGTTTGGAACGTGACTGACATATCCCAGCGTACACCCGACCAGCAGCAGGTGCTCCGAACTGAGATGCTCACGGCTATTCAGGAGAAGTGGGTTCCTAGCAACGTTGTGCTCGACTATTTCCAGAGGATTTATCCGAACTTCTCGGACTTCTGGCTCTTCCGCCGGCAATTCGCCTATCAGTACGCGGCGATCGCTTTCATGACATATGTCATGCACATGGGCAACCGTTACCCCAACAAGATCATGATTTCGAGACAGACAGGCGACATCTGGGGCTCGGAGCTCATTCCCACCATCAACCCGGCCAAGGCGTTCTTCTACAACCCGGAGCAGGTACCGTTCCGGTTCACGCCCAACATCCAGACCTTGCTGGGACCAATCGCAACCGAGGGTCTCTTTGCCTGTGCACTGATGGCGATTGCACGGTGCCTCACAGAGCCACGACACGAACTGGAACAGCAGCTGAGTGTTTTCGTCCGTGATGAGATGATGTTCTGGGCTACCGCGCAGCACCGTGGAGCTTTGCCACCGCCTCAGCTTCGCGATCTGGTCTATAACAACAGCGACATCATTGTCAACCGGGCAGTCAGTCTGGCTAGTCCTCCGGAGGGCAATCTGCCTGCCAACCAAACCACCATCGACCTCATCTCCAAGGCCGTCAACCCCCAACACCTTGCCTCGTGTGATGCTTTGTGGATGGCATACCTCTGATTTGTTTTTCTCTTGCGGCGTTCTGTTTAGTTTTCATTCATGGTTTGCGGAAGAGGCTTACGGGTCTGCTAAGTCAAATGGGAGTTTCCATTCTAGCGTGGCGCTTCGGGGCGCAGTCTATGTGACATGGTTACGATATCTGATAGCTTTTGTTGTCATCGTTTGCGCTGTTTGTTGTATCATAATTTAATCAACGCGGACATCTATATCCAAGACCATTGAGATAGTGCTTTCTATTGACTGTTTGAGTAGAGCAAGAGGTGCGTGCACGAAAAAGGAGTAAGGTGGAATAGCAGGATTAAGAGTTTTGAAAAAGCCTATGTGCAAGTAATCGTGAGTTCGTAGTAGTAAAAACCTCCCATGCTTAGCCATGCAACCGAACGCCTTGTGAATGAGAACAAAGATGAACAAGATGGAAAGGAACTAGACCAACGACGGCTTGGCCTTCTTCTTGATTCCCAAGCTATTGGCCAGGGGCTTCTTGGCCTTCTTGACGCGCGCAAAGGAAGGCGGCGGCGCAGGCCCGCCAGACTGCTCGCTACTGCTGCCGCCGCCGCCGTTGCCGTTGCCGTTGCCGCTCCCGCTCGCCGCAGGCTCCTCCACCTCCACCAGCCGCTTGACCCTCTCCCCAGACTCCGTCATAAACGCGCGGCGGGCAGCCTCCTCAATCTCGCGCTCCGCGCGCACCGCCTCCTCATCCTTCTCCTCGCGCACGCGCTCCAACGCCGAGACGGTGCCCTCCTCGCCCAGCGCCTCCGTGCGCTCCATCCGCGCATTCCGGGTCCGGATCTCATCCAGCGCGTCGGCGATGGCCATCTCGCGCTTCGAGTCCAGCATCTTCTCCTCCAGCTCGGCCATCTTGTCGCGCTCCTCCTGCTCAGCCTCCTCGCCCTCCTCGCGCTCCAGCCGGTCCAGCGTCTCCTGCTCCGTCTCGTCGTGGTTCGGCAGCTGCGACGCGTCCCGCCACGGCTCGAAGTTCCGCTTCGCACCGCGCTCCGCCCGGTAGTCCATGTTCTTCGGGTCCGTCACGAACGTGATCTCCCCGCTGCACCGCGTGCACCGGATGTAGAACCGGTAGATCGGGATCGAGAAGTATTTCTCGGAGGTGGTTTCCTTCCGCGCGTTGAATTTGCGGCCTTTGTAGATGAACTCGCCTGCCGGGTTATACTTGTTAGTAGGAATGAGGTGGGGGGTGGGGGGTCTGGGGGTGCGGATTGGGGACGAGGACTGTGGACTGGGGACTGGGGTAGGGGCTGAGGTAGGGGCTTGCTACGCACCGCACTTCTCGCATTTCATCGAAAAGGGAGCCATCAGGCGCACGGTGATCACCTTCGGCCCTGTCTTGCGCAGGTGTTTCGGGACCCGGGTGATCGCGCTCGGATCGAAGTCCGGGGGGTAGTACTTTGTGAGGACCTGTTGGGTTGGTTAGGTTTTGCTTGCCTGAATTTGGATTTTGTGGGGAATGATTCTGTAGTGACGTACCTTTCGCTCAGACATGGTGGCGGTTTGAGGATGGTGTTGGAGAAAAGGTGGTGAGTGAGAGGGTTGGTGTTGAAGGTGGTTGATTGCGGTGAAGATGGCGATGGCGAAGGCGAAGGCGATTTGCGCCCGGCCGCTATCGAGCGATAGGATCATGTGAGAGTCACGTGCGCTTATCGATACGCCTCCTGAATAACTTATTTGGCATGCTACGCAGTAGCTGTGCTTGCCCAGCTATGCTCGGCCTCACTACATGTCTGCGCAATTCAATCCTCTAAGTAGAGCTGCAAGGAATCATCTTATACATTCAATAGCATTCACCCCTCTATCAGATAGATAATGTCTGCTATGGATCCATCGGCAAGGAATACAACAATACCCGGGTATAATTCATCCAAACGAACGCCCAGGAGTCTATGCTCCAATGTCATCTCACTGCTGCCTCGTGTTGCTTCGCACCAGCCTCGTTCCTCGACTCCGTCCGCTCGCAGGCCCGGGCGTCTCGTCGCTTTCCACCTCAACAACCCGTCGCCTGCTGCGTCCGCCTCGCACGCGGCTCATCGCCTGCCGCAACATGCCGTCCGCTTCGTCGTCCAGCTCCATCTCCACTTTCTCTTCGAGCGTTTCCGCGTGCGCGGCTGCGCTGGGGGCGTCGACATGGGCCACCTCATCGGTCCACTCTTCGGTGTATGATTCCTCACGAACCCCGCGCCGCCGGGAAACGCTCTTTCCCTTGCCTTTGGATGATCGCGTCGAGCTCCGACTGGCTGTGGTTCTCGTTTCTTCAAACACCAGCTGCTCGGTCTCTTGGCCTTCCAGTGCCCAGATCTCCAGCGCACGAGAGAGCAGTGTGCCGGCGATGCCAGCGCCACCTGCCGCATCGCCGCCCCCGCTGGCCCCAAGCACTCGCACCGCTTCGTGCAGCGCTGTCACGGCTTCCATGGTGCGGCTCAACTCCAGTAATACCAGCCCGCGGGCAGTGTGCAAGGAGCCGACCAGCCCGCGGTCTTCGTAGCCTCCAACACCCGAAGTGGCGACGCCAGATGCGCTCCCGCCGCTGCCTCCTAAGAATGGGCTGTACCCGAAACTTGCGCCGGCGGCTCCAATGCGCAGGCACTCATCGAACTCCGTCAGCGATTCCGAAAATCGCCCAATGCGACGCAGAGCATGTCCCAAGTTCGCTCGCGTCGCTACCCACGCCCCAGGCTCACATTCCAGTGACGTAGCCAGTGCAAGAGCCCGGCGGAAGAGCTCTACGGCCGCCTCAAGGTGATTTTGGTGATAGAACACCACCCCAAGTTCGTTTAGGACCAGAGGATCGCCACCAAGAGACGTTAGCTCGGACGATGGGTTGGCACGGATGGCGGGAGCAGACCCCGACGCATCCCCGGTGGACATGGAGTACGCTGCCGAAAGATACTCTTGAGCAAGGGACATATTGTTCAATGCAAGATGCTGCATGCCTAGGAATAGCTGAGGTAGGTGGCTGCCTTGGAAGAGCCGCGCCGCCGTGCTATACGCGGCAATCGCCTGATCGTGCTCTCCTTCGGCGGCAAAGGTGTGGGCAAAGCCAATCCATGCTGGGGCGGAATGAGGATCCAACAAGGAGGCCTTGGAGAAGAACCGTCGCGCCTCAGCGATCTTGGAAACTGACAGATAGTATACACCGATAGCGAGGTATGTGTACGATTCCTCCGGAGCGTGATCGGCGAGCGTATGCGACAAGAGAAAGAGTGCGTTCGTGGCTCCGGTCTCGTAGAGACACGCCAGATGTAAGGGGTAGACTGCAGGCGGATGTCCAAGGTGGCTTTGAGCGGACACATGCATTGCAGCTGCTGTCTGCGTCGAAGATGCGCTCGTTTGTGACGTGGAGAGGATAGACGAGGTGAGTTCGAGAGCTTGTGCGAACCGACACTGTGTATATAGGGCTTCTGCCCGCGATAGCAAAATATCCGGATTTTCCGATAGGTTATAATGGGTCGAAAGAGTTTCGGTCGCATCCGAAAGGATCGTAGGGGAGGAGTATTTGGACAGTCGGGTGGTGTATAGCATCTTAGTGAAATGGGCCGCCTCTTGCGCGACTGACGGATCGGGGCTGGAGACAGAATCAAAGTCGAGCGACTCGAGGAACTCCAATTCCTCCGCAGGCGACATGAGCGAGTTCTTCATGAGCTGGTCGAACGCCTCGAAACACTGAACATCGATCCGGACCGCATCCTTGTAACAATCCCGCGCGCGGTCAAAGGCATTCTGCTTCGCAAAACAGAGCCCCCGCAGGTAACACATCGCTGCCTCGAATCGAACATTATTTGCGTCTTCTTTTTCCCGCTCCTCGCTACGGTCGATCCGCGACGCTGTTGTCTTTCCGTTCCGCAGAGTAACATGGCTTTGGCCGTTGACGTGTTGCAGCTTGCGACGACTGTTGCTGCTGCGGACCAGATGGGTTGGATTATGGTCCCCGAGGACAGAGAGCGCCTGCTCAAACTGGTTCTGCTTGATGTAGCAGTGTGCGGCAAGGTAGCGACAAGCCGTGCTTCGGGAGATGAGGTCTTTGCGGGAGAGGAGGGCCAGGGCGCGGGCATAGTTGTTGTTTGAGAAGTGAACCTGTGCTAGCCAGAAGGCATCTGAGTCACTGTCTGGAACAAGGTGGTCCCTAGATTAGTCCGTGTAGACATGCGAGCAAAGAGCTCACGGCCGCATACCGTCGGGGGACTCACTGGTCAGGGCCAGCACTTTGTCGCCGATGTAGATGGCAGCGTCATGCTGGCCTCGGTTCAGCGCATCCTGGCGCCAGGAGCGCAAGAATTTTTCCATGAGCGAGACGAGCACGTGGAACGCGAGACAGGAGTTGTTTAGGGGAGGTTCACGGACGACGGGACGGTCACGACGGTGGCATCCATCGACCGAGAGGCATGAGGCGGGTTGGAGGGGCGACGAATGTTGAATGTTTGGGCGAGAGGATAAACAGTCCGCGGGAAAGAGTGGCGGTAAAGCGGTCGCTGATGTGCGTAGTCCTGCGCAGGAGGAGTCTGCACAGATTGTAGAGAAAAAGAAAGTGGGAGTGGGTTGTATTTGTTAGACAAGACAATATTAAGTATAAACCCCAAGTTGAAGGTTAAAGGTAGAAAAGGTGGAAGATGGAAGCCGACAACACAGTCGGGTTGGGACTATGAGACTCTGCCAGAAAGCGCGTCAACCTGCCAAGTGGAAAGTGGTCTGTGCGCCTGCCTGTTTGGAGAGGTTGGTTCACCGCCCAGCAGTAGTTAAAGATGGTTTGTATAACCACCTCAATCTGAACATGCAAAATGCTTATAGAAAGAGATGGGAAAGATTCTGTTAACTATCATCCAGCTCATTGTCTATGGTCGACGAATAGCCCGTGTTATAGACTGCAGCCATCCTTAAAGGTCCACTGCGCGGGGCAGTGGTGGATCCCGTGTATCTATACAGAAAGTCGGATAGATGAGATGAACAATCCACGCTCGGTTCCTTGGGGCTTGATCTTGGAGAGAACCACCAAGTGTATCACCGTTGGGAGTGCTCCGCCGGGTAGGGTAGAACAGAAAGTAGACCGGAGCGCCATAGAGACGTACTTCGAGCAAAAAGAATCTCTAACGGCTGCAAGCAACCGTACATAATCAGACCGTCGTGATATCATTGTAGGGAATGCTGTCGAGACGTGTATTGAGATTTTCAGACTGTCCTCAGTGAGTAAAATATGGCAGTGGCATCACCGATTGGAGGAGGATCGACTCACTTAGAGCTTTATGACCTGAGACGCCCCCGAACTCATAGTAGGCGCTGCGTATGCCTCAAATCTCAAAGCTTCTATCACACAGTCCCTTTCACAAGCAAGATTCATGGCTCTAAGAGATGCACAAAGCTGCAGTGAATGGCCTCTCTAGGCTTCCACCACCATCTTTCCGCCTTCTCTATCTGCTCCTCTCCATAACATTGCCATATCACCAGGATGGGAGCCACCATCTACACAAGCAAAGCTCTTCCGCCCTCATCTCCATCATGGCACTCTTTTGAAGCCATCGATGGCGTTTACGACAAAACCATCTTCTTCAACCCGTCTACCTGATGGGACTGTTCTCTGTGATTGGAATCGTCCTTATTTGGTACGGCGTCAACTCAGATCGCGAATATATCTACCTTTTACTTACTCAGGTAATCCCTGCGGGTCACTGCGCGTGTCTAACATCAACCACTTTTCAATGTGCAAGCTGCTTGAACTGCGCCTACAAGGGGCCTCCCCCTCAGATTGGACTTCCTGCTGCCTCGACCTGGAAGTTTGAGGCTGGTCGAGATGGTGACAATCAAGCATTGAGTCGAGCCCAGTGCATGCCTTCTTTCCCAGGTTTGTTCGAAGACATCTTGCGTGCAGGGACATTCTGGAGAGCGCACGGTGGTCTTGACGTCAAGCACTTGGATAACATCCCGTTAAAGCATGGCATGGCGCGGGCGTTCATACAACGCGGGGAGCTTTACGTGGTGAACGCGCTGTCACGAGGTGAAGATCATCGACGAAAGATTTTAGCTGTCCTGAGTGCCATACACCGTGCCTTGATCACAAACCCCGAACGAGCCCCCAAACAAGATCTGGAGTTTGTCTTCTCTGTGGAGGATAAAGTCACGGATGTGACCACTGGCGACCAGCCTATCTGGGCATTTGCAAGGTCTGCCGGTGAAGAGGCGGTTTGGCTCATGCCTGATTTCGGCTACTGGGCATGGGAGAATGTACAAACTCCATTGGACCATACGACCAGGTAGTCGACCACATCAAGTGTACAGAAATCTCCTGGTCTCAAAAGAATAGACAGCTCGTCTGGCGAGGAAAGCCCAGTTTCGCACCTAAGCTGCGGTGCGCACTGATGGATGCTGCGCGTGGCCAGCCGTGGGGTGATGTCAAAGGCGTGGACTGGAACCAACAAACGAACGTTATAAGCCTAGAGGACCATTGCTAGTACATGTTCATCGCCCACGTTGAAGGTGAGCTTTTGTGTTCGCTCGCCGATTGGTTGTATCTGAGTGCTGATGATGGAACCTAGGACGATCTTATTCTGCGTCTCTAAATTATTGCCAGGCGTGCAACTCAGTTGTTGTAGCTCACAAGCTGCAGTATATCCAGCAACTCCACTACCTGCTTGTTTCAGAAGGACCGAGCCAGAATTACGTCGAAGTCAAAAGGAGTTTCAGTGACTTAGCAGCCAATTTGGAGCCGTTGTTGGACGATCCATCACGAGCAGAACGAATTGCCACCAACAGTATACAAACATTCCGCGACCGATATTACACCAAGGCTGCGGAAGCGTGCTACTGGCGTATGCTCTTCGAGGGGTACAGTGGCGTCTGGAATAGCAGTGTTCCGGATAATCTAAGTCATCAACAAAAGAAACGAGGCTTCCGATACGAGTCGTTTAATCTTCTGGACAGTCGCATGATGTTTGAATTTGACGCGACGAGCGCAACAAGCACGTTGAGCTGAGGGCACTTGGAAGCTGGTGGTCACGCAACAGCTAATCTAGTGACAGATCAGAAACTATGCTCTCGGCATCATGCATGATAAATGGGTAGTTATTGCATCAGTGATGCGCTAGTCTGTTGGGAGTTGGAGCAAACAGAGGAAGGAGGTATGGTAGCATCACATACGTCAGAGTTGAAAGTTCCCTGAGTGTATGTTAAGTTAGTGGTGACTTGCGAAGTCCGTACAATGAGTGTTCCAATCCATTGGGGAGGAGTAGTAGGTAGTAACTTCTTGGATTGGCCTAGTCATGTGAGGGGAAGCGCGGATTCCGATCGATCTTCATCTCTCCACTAAGTCCACTCACTCACTCGCTCCAACTCCAACCTCTCGAATTTGACCACTCACTACAACGCTTGGCTTCAGCTCCAAGAAGCGGTCGGCCACTCGGAGCTCGGCTATAATCAGACAGGGTCTATGCTACTAGCTACTGAGCACTGACTGACTTTACTTTAGTCTGCAGAATCTGGTATCAACCTGAAGGGACCGACCATGATTTGGGCAGGATTGCGAACCTCTTCTTGGTCTAATGACTTGTCTCACCTGAAGCTCTCTCCTTTCTTTCGCTTGTGCAGAGGTGAGATTGCAGTGGGAAATGCCATTGGGTCTGTTTATCCACTACGGCACGTCCAAAGTGGAGATACGATGGGCCTTCTTGGCACTGCAGCTGCGGAGTGCGCTTCCTTCAACCAAACAAACCAACAAGAACCCTTCATTTAATAAATTCTTTCTTTCATCATGATTGTCCATGATCGACTTGACACTGCAATCACCCATGCAACCAGTATGTATACTGTACAGAGACTATGCACTGAACCTGCTCTTGTTGACAGGCCCTGTGATCGCATTACGAGCATTCCTCCTGTTCGCTGACAACCGCTTGATTCTGAGTGGCATACCCTTCCGTGGCGTCGAGCAAGGTAGCTCCCTCCAGATGAACCATGATCTGTGCGGAGATCGGCTCTTGCGCTCGACCACTGGGGTGACGCCAGTGGGGCCTCGTCAAGGGCGCGAACAACCGACTATCGAAGGGATCGTCGCGCGAATCGGCGAGATTTCAGCTCAGCTGAGATCTGCAGCCACAGCACTCTTTCAGAACCTTTCACAATCCGTGCCGTCTCTATGGAGGTCGCACGGGGGAGCCGACACGCCGCCTACACACCGAAAGTGTGGAGGCTGGCTGACTGGCTTATAACATAGGCTTGCGTCCTCTGATTGACTTAGGTTTCTTGCTTTCTGCTCTGTTTGTCCCTCGAACATCAAATCATGCCGTCAGCAATTCCCAAGCCCCCCGGGGTCTTCCTTCTTGGAAACCTCTTCGACGTGAATTCTGGCAACCCCTGGATGTCATTCAACAAACTCTCGACCAAGTATCGTAAGCCTTCGCCTACTCCATGCTTGATGTATTCTCTTGGTTCTAATCTTTGTTTTGCTTTGCAGGTCCCATTTGTAAAGTCACTATCCTCGGCCACGACATTGTTCTGGTAACCGGCGCCGCTCTCCTGGAAGAAATCTGCGACGAGAAGCGCTTTCGAAAATGTGTCAACGGGCCCATTGTCGAGATTCGACAGGCGGTCCACTCGAGTCTGTTCACAGCCTACGAAAAGGAAATGGCAATTTGGGGGGTCGCCCATCGCATCATGGCTCCCCTTGTCACCCCGGAAGCCGTCGCACAAGTCTTCACCGACATGCGCGAGGTATCAACCGATCTGATCCGGAAGTGGACGGCCGGACCGCGCCAGCGTGTTAATGTCACCAACGATCTAGATCGTCTTAACCATGCCGCGAACATGCTGTGCTTCTTTGACCAGCGTCTGCATTGTCTAGAAGGCCCAGAGCCGTCGCTCATCAAGGCGATGGAGAACGCTACCACTGAAGCCGTCCGGCGCCCTAGTCGTCCAAAGCTTCTCAACTGGCTCTTCTACCAGCGCAAGTTCGATAGTTACAACAAAGCTTTGCGTGATTACTCCGCCGACTGTATCGCCCATCGGCGCGCGAATCCGTCCGCCAAGAAAGATATGCTTCACGCGATCATCGAGGGCAAGGATCCAGAAACTGGACAAGGATTGGACAAGGTCCAACAGATCGACGAAGTGATCAACATCTTTATCGGTAGCGCAACGACACCAAACCTTGTTGCATTCGCCCTTTACTACCTTATGAAGAACCCCAAGGAGATTGCGCGCGCCCGGGAAGAACTAGATGCTGTCGTTGGAGGACCCGGTGCCCAGATCGAATATGAGCATCTTGCAAACCTCCCATACTGCACTGCAATTCTCCGAGAAGCCATGCGTCTCGCGCCTCCGGCCCCTGGCTTCAACATCGAAGCCATTCCATCCGAGGAAGGCCCTGTCTACCTCGCTGGAGGAGAGTACGAAATCCCGCGTGATCAACCCCTCATCGCGATCCTGTATGGTGTGAATCGCGACCCGGCCATCTTCGAGGATCCCGATGCGTTCAAGCCCGAGCGTATGGTTGGCGAGAAGTACGACCGCTTGCCGGCGAGTGTCAAGAAGGGATTCGGTAACGGCAAGCGCCACTGTATCGGACAGCAGTATGCGTGGGAATGGTCGTTCTTCACGCTGGTCAGCATCCTCAAGGACGTGGAGTTCGAGTTGGCCGATAAGAACTATGTGACCGACCCGACGACCGAAAACTACAATGGCGCGTTTACCGTCAAGCCTCTGGGGCTTTTCGCTGTCACCGGGCCCCGACCCCGAGCGGGTTAAAACCTCTGGTGGCCTTCGAAAGTTCCCATTCTATGTCTTGTCCTCATGATATCCAAATTGCGGTTGTGATGTATGCTACACGTGTGCATGTTATATGGTACTACTCCGGGTTATTCGACCTTTCGTTTGGCCCATCTATGATCTAATGCTATTATCTGGATTTCTGTCCAAGGTGTTCGTATTGTCCAGGGCCTTCCTACCTCAACTTCGATTTGTAGTTTCCATTTGATTTACCCAGGTAAGAAAGTAGCCAAACGACTGCCTCTGAGAGCATGTACATAAGAGACGTATCGGGTTCACGTTCAATCTCACATCTTTTACCCCCTTCAAGGCTCTCAGCTGTGATCACTGAGCTTGGATTTGCGACCGCCATGGTAGTCTTGTGGGGCTTAGATCGTTCACCCCGTGATGGGATCTATCGATCCATGGGATAGACGGTACGGCCCGCCTTTTAGTAGGCAGGATTATACCCGTGGACGTAGCCGAGACTTGCAAGTTGGCGATGACTACATGATGCGGGGAGACTAGCACGATGGCAACTTCATGTATCAAGGTATAGACAGTGTCGACTACTCTGACTCTAAAGGGGAACCTGCTTACCGGATACTAGATCCGCCGGTTGTATGTATTTTTGAGTGCCGTCGCTGGCCGTCTCGCTGAACTCCGTGGGAGTAAACCAGATGAGTGCCAGGCAGGGCATCGTCTGCTGACCTAAGATTGGTGGAGCACTCAACAACGAGGTATATTTCGATGAATCAAGCGACTCTGACCAGAAGTAAAGTACGTAACAGATTCTGTCTGTCAAATTGACCATTTCTCGTACTTCGCCACAAGAAGTAACCTGCTGAATTCTGATAAGGTGGGGGTTTGAAGATAAAGGGTGTATCTATATATAAGCTAGTGAAGGGGGAAAACTATTTACACAACAAATGGCGTCGTAAAAGAATCTGGTCTTGAGCTCTGTGGATCAATGTTACGACAGTGACCTGGTGAGCTCATCTTCTATGCGGGATTTGCTGAGAGTTCCATGTAATGCCTCTGGAGAAAGCGGCAGAAGCGTGATGACTTCAGAGAGTTGAGTAATGCTTGCCTGGCACCAACGCCACCAACGTATACGATCCGTGAGCATCTGTCCCCATGTAAGAGCTTAGAGGGCCTGGAACCTATCGGTGGTGGACCATAGCAGCTGCTGTGGTAGAGGTTGCCGTCCCGAGAGTCGCCCAAGGGTTGTATGAGTTGCGTGTCATGCTTGAACTATGTCCTTTTGTCCACCAGAAAATGCATGAAGATTCCCATAATTGACTACACACTCAGAGCTACGGAAGCGGAGTAATTGCCGAAGAGAGCCAGTTGAGCCTCATTCCTTGCGCGTCATCTTCGATTCTCACCCCAGAGCTGGCGAGGGGCGAAACTGACCAGATTCCAAGCTTATGGGTATAGTACCATGCTACCGCACGCGACCTTCTCATACCGAGACAGTTATAGCCTAAACGACGATCAGCAGAGTTCAAGCCATTTCGCAGTGCAACCGATCATTGCAGACAGCCATCCTCCCACGGTGGTCGAACAGACCGTCTGAATGAGAATCCGATTCGCCTCTCTGTGCCATCTCTGGGGTCATACAACTGGGGATCCAGTCAACTCGCTCGGGTACCCTTGTCCAACAGGCGAACTTCGATGGGCAAAAGCACGCCCCCCCCCACCCCTCCTTCTCCATGACATGTGATCAAATGCAATGCGTCGACGTCTGTTCTTGTAGGCTAGCTCGCCCCGGCCCTGATTGCAACACCTTTCGCAAGCGCCGTTGCCGTGATGTGGGGCTGGATGTCCGAATTACATGATCTGATTTCTTGACTGTGATGTGGGGGTTAGCGTGAGTGTGAACTTCGTTCTTGACTTGGTCGGTTTGCTCCGATGCATGAAGGCTTCTTGAGATTTTGAGATTAGCATGATATCGTACTGAGAGAGGGTATCAATGGTGTCTTCTTTGAGCGACTCCTCAGCATCTTTGCGGTCCCGTTAGCCATAGCAACGGGCATTGAGGAGCTCATGCCCAAAGCTCGCGCTGAACATGAGGGAGTTGGGAAAGAAGCAGATGGAAGCAGAGTAACGGGGGTACCTGGTCAAGGATGCAACTGACGTCTAGACTCGCTCAAGCAATGACAAGGAGGAGGTTTAGAGCCAGCGTGCAGCTCTCGGACCATGCCCAGATTCATGATCGGCTGAAGCCGACAGCGGTAAGGTAAAAGTAACCGGTTTTTCGGTCCACATTCTGAAGCTAGGTGTTCATTGGAGCAAGGCCGTAGTGGGAGAGGTGATCAACTGCGATGGAAATGTGTCACAGCAGGGAATAATGAGGGTTTTTAACCATTTCATACTTGCTTTTGAGGAGGCCTGCCTGCTATCAATCTTTGATCCGATACATGTCTTGAATTTGATGCGACTGGAATTGGCTGTTGGCCAAACTGACCAAGCGAGAGATTGACAGCAACCGTGAAGCAGAAGAGAAAGAGAGATCGAGAGGGTGTGTTGGGATAAGAGAGTGTGTGTTTCAGACAGGGAAGGGACAGTCACGGGACGAGTGCCGTTGCCTTATTCCATCCTCCATCCATCCATTCTGGATTCCACCTTCAGCTTCAGCTTCCTCCCTCCTTCATTCTTCCCTCTTGCTTCCCTTCACTATCCAATCACTCAATCAAATCGTCCATCCATCCATCCATCCATCCATCAGTCAACAAACACTTCCCAGTTACCCGAGATCGGTACTACCACATCATCACGGCGCCCTTCCAAGGACGGCTCAAAATTGCTCCAGATTCATCGAGGTAACACAGAAGCTGGATCATTTGGCCGTGACCCTCTCGCCAATTCACATCCAAAACACGCCAGTCCGAATACGAATACCCTGGTCTGCCTTTCCATTGACTCGGAGCTGGGATCTGTTACTTGCCCTTAATCTGACACGCTGTCTCATCCACCTGTCGGCTTCGGTCTCTCCAAACCTCGCTTGCCAGGAAATAGATTGATTGGTCTTCTGGGCAACCCACGTCAGGGCTCCCTCGATGCTGACGACAGATCAACTGTGAAGCTGAGCTCAGGCATCCTAAGCGGCCAATTCCACACTGCCACTCAATCCCCCCCCGGACCAAAACCAATCGCCATTTCCGGACCTGTCATAGTAGGAGAGCCTTGTTTTTCCGAGTGAACATGGACACTAAGCCTGCAAAGAATTTTCATCCTGGCTGGTATCCAGTAATGCCATACTTTCAATTCGCATTTGACCTACATGCAGCCCAATCGAGCCATGGCCGAGGATTACCGGTCATGCAACTGGTCTACTAGCCCAATGGCTACCGTGATGGTACGCCAGCCATACCATTTCGAGGCTAGATTGCTGAGCTAATTTTAATCTCACGCTCATGATGCTCAGCCCAAGAGATGTATCATTTGCATTGCCTTTGGTCTGTATTGTTTAGACTAGCGTGGGTGAGATCGTCATTAGCTACGCCAAGAGGATCGTTTAGCCCTAACTGGTGTGCCGTGATCGAGGGTGCGCACTGACGGGTACCGTACACATGGTCATACTACACGGCGCTCCCGGGTACATGCGAACAAGGAGTAGCCGTGTATACCGAAGCACTGGAACGACTTTCTTATGCCCGTCTCCAAGGGCCCCAGGCCTGCTTGCTCTCATCTGTCACCGGCTGCCGCATAGCTCGGTTAGTTCATTATCATTATTGCTCTGGATCCGTGCGCAGGTCTTGCCCGACTAGTATATTCGATGAGGAAAATAACTCTAGGTCTGAACAGCTGGATGCACACCATCAGCTGAGACTCATTTGGCGGGCAGATCTGGCTCGACCTTTGCGGCCTAGCCCTCTCGATATTCATGCAAAGCCTGTTCGTTAATCATGGTTGGACACACCCTTCAATGATCAGCAGCGCCAAGTGAAGCCTTGCCCGCGCCTCAGAGCTATGGGTTGTTATTGTCTGGGCACCACTACAGCCAAGGCCTGGCGTATGACATGGATCGGGGTTGCAGCGCGGACTGGAAACAGGACGTCCAGCGCGTGGCTTGAGAAGTCACGAGTCAAGTACTAGTGCGGTGGGAAAGCAAGGAGCCATGACTGACTGGCTGGCTGGAGGGCCTGAGAGAAGACATATAGAAATGGTTCGAGTAACCACGCACGGCGGATATTCAAATACTGCTTTGCGAGCACGAGCCACGACCTTTCCTTGGTTATACGCCCGACCTCATGTTGCACCCATTGCGCAACCTCGTAATATCTTCCATTCGATCCAATCACATCAAGCAGAAGGTCCCTGGGATATCCAGGATTTGGCTCCCTTGATTTCTCAGATACGGTGAGCTGAGTGCATATTATCCTTATAAGGAAGGAAGGTTAGATTGCAGCAAGTCCGGCCTACTGACGGTTTGATAGCGAGACACGCAGCAGCAGGTGGAGGCTCTGTCACTCCCAAACACGCATTGCTACCCCGCAAGGCGCCAGATATATGAATCCAGCCTCCACCCTGGCATCTGGCTATCTTCATTGCTACTTGTGTATGGTGCCCGCCGTTACGGAGATTATTTGTTCACGCCGACCGCAGTACTTCAACACCCGCGTTGCTTCCTTTCTTTCGATGTCTATGAAGATGCGAACACAGCCCACCAAGGAGGAAAGATGCTCCAGCGACAGCTCTGGACAGAAGCAGGATCCAATTGAGCGTAGGAGGTTGCAAAATCGATTGTCACAGAGGAACCATCGTGAGTAGGTTCAGTACGTGATGACAGTCAAATTCATTACTCACAGGCTACCTAGGTCGAAAGATACGGGACCGCATCGCAAAGCTTCAGGAGCGTGTTATCGCTAGTGAGCTACGAGCAGCTGCAAGCCTCAATGGTTGGGACCATCCCAGCTCAATCAACGGTCCGCCAACGGTGGATCGAATCTCGCCCATTTTCGACCCCAGCGGCACATCGGCTTCGTCTATGACCGACGGATCCTCCGGCTTTGCATCATCGTATATGTCCCAATCGAGGTATTTCTGCTCATCATGCAATACTGCGTTGGCGCCATTGCCGTTGTACTCGACGCAAATGACAATCACATCGCCTTTGTACGACATCACCGAGATAGATGACGCGAATATGTCCTCGTCGACGCTCCGCAACCACCCCTATTTTCCGCGATCTAGCCCTAGTGCTTCTGAAATCCTGCAAGGAATGACCGGTGGATACACAGCAACCGAAGCAAATGCACCACCTCTTTGCGAGCCATGGAATGGCCAAACTCAGAACCCGGGATCGTCGCTCTACTACATCGCAACAGGTAAGACGTATTCGGGCCTGCAGACTCATGAAGCTGATCGTCTTGCCACAGAGGCAGCGTTGCCACAGATCATGCAAACCTTGAGCACGGGACCAGCGCGACCAAAGGCAATCATCGTGCTCTCGCAGAATACGCAGCATGGTTCAGTGCCTACCAGCCTACCAACGGCGCAATCACCACCATCTGCAAACAGCACCGTCGAGCTCTCAGGATCGTCGAGTCCTGTTGAGTTGCATGAAACCTTGTGTCAGTGCCAAAACCAGGGGTCGATGACTGGCTCCCCTGGCATGATGGCAGCTAGTGACTGGGTTAATGCAGGTACTTCAACGTCTGTTTGCCCGCTACACTCGCTGCCAGCCAATGAAAGCATGCAACTGATGATGATGTGAATGGACTTCAATTTTATATATATACCAGGCTTGATTCTTTTGGGAGGAGGTTATGGTACATAGACTGCGAAATCAGATCCAGTGATTGTTTGTCAGCTCTATCTCTGAGATAGCATAGATTGCAAGATGTAATGATTGCGAATTGTAGTTTGGAGAGGAGCTCCTGGAGATGATGAAGCGGTGAGCCACGGAAGACAGTTGCTGTGGCAAGAAGCAAACATGGCGGCTGCTCAGTGTAAAGGTAGACCTCACCTGAGTCACTAGGGCTCAGACTCTGACAGCATTGATTTGACTACGGTGCAAGCTGTTTGTTTTCTGAAGTTTTCTTCCTCCCTGGTTCCGCATGCAGTAGTCTGCAGCATGGGCTTTGCGTCTCAGAAGAACGCCGAAGTGCATCCACCGCAACTATGGACTTAAAGGAGTTAAGACGCACCAATCTGAGAGGAACAGCACTGAATGTCTTAGAGAAGTAGACCAGGATCCCCATCCTTCGGCACCGAGTATCCTATGCCCACCGCAAGCACCGGACAATGGACCAAAAGAAAGAAACACGCGGTCGCTGTTTCGACTACAGTTCATCGTACATCGCCTCCAAGCCCGGACAGCAAGACATCGGATTCTACCGACCCCCGTGATCCTGCCTCCTTCCCTGTAATCATCCTTGCCACTTTGCCTGCCCTCGAAAGATGAATTAGTAGCTCTTCTAGATATAGTGTCGGTTATATTTCTTGATGTACTTCAAGGTATCGCCACCGCGTGGGAAAATCACTGCTGTGTACCTTTCTACTCATCTCGCGTGGGCTTAGGGGTAGCGTGTTACATTGTCTGGTCTATGTATGTACCCGTGAGGAACTACCATTGTCACCATCAGTGGAATCTACCTCGAAAGATGTTCCGCTTCCCGAGGAATGATACACCTGTGCGAGATGGTGGTACCGAGAATGTACATACATCTGGGGGTACAGGAATTTGAATTCAGTAGCTGGGACAAGCCAAGTGACAATCGGGCCGTGGTGCATGGCATACGATGGAAGGAGGCGGAGGAGGATGTTTGCTTTTTCTTTTTTCTGCGCTTTTGCTTTTGTTTGGGGAGGAACTGGGGGTTTTCGTGGGAAAAAGGGGGGGGAATGGGGGTTAGTTTAGAGAGGGCTCGCTCGGGTTTGTGGGATCCGTTCGCATGAGGATTTTAAGACTGGTTATTCTTGGGATTGGGACTGATTTGGTTGCCGGTGATGCTTTTTGTTTGTTCGGATGGATGGATGGATGGGTGGACGGATGGGATTGGTAAGATTCTTTGAGGACTCGGGGTTGAGCATCCTTGTCCACGGTCTTTGCTTTAGGCAGCAGGAGTAGATTCGAATGGACTTCATTTGACCAAAGCGAAAGGGTTTCGTTCCATTCCTACACCTATTCTCTTCCCTCTCTCCTTTGCGGAGGAGAAGAGCACCCCCGAGCTACCACGCACACTCCCCGCCATCATACCGATTCCACCTCGAGTTCCAGCCCGGAACATGGATATTGAAAAACCGCCCGTTCCCCTCCTTCCCCTGGTTGAGGATGATCTCCAGCGTGGCGCGCACGCCGTCGGCCACCGGGAGATCCGCTCGCGGACCGCCCATCTCGGTTTGTAGCCACTATGGTAGAGTTAGCATTGGCCTTGCTTTGATTCTCTTCTCTGGCCTTGGTAGCCGTTCTGACCATTCTGACCAGATCTCAATAGCCAAAGAAAGGAAGGAAGGAAGGTAGGAGGAGAGCTCACCCCCGGACTAACGCAAAACACCGCGAACCCCTCCTGCTCGAGTTCCTGCGCGTACAGCACGGTAAGCATGTTCAGTGCCGCCTTGGTAATCTTGTACGATTGACTCCTGGCCTCCCGGTAGACTGATTGCATCGCGAAGGAGCCAAGGGTAGTGGAGCTGCTTTTGTCAGTCTCCTGCCGCATACTGCCATGGAACGGAGAAAAAGGATAGACGACTAACATATTCACGATCTTCTTCGCCGTCCCCTTCCGCAACAGCGGGAGGAACTCGCGCGTGACGAGGTGCGGACCGTTGACATTCACGTTGAAGGAGGAGGGGAGGTCGTTCCTGCATTCCCCGTTCCATATTAGTCTTGAGGTATCGCCTACTGACACTTCTACTTCAAGGATAGGTAAAGAAAAGGCCAAGGGAAGGGACGTACATCTCCATCAACGACCCCCGCCCCATCACCCCCGCATTATTGATCAATACATCCAATCCCCGGCCCTCCAGTGCCTGCTCGACGAGCTGCGCGGCTCGCCGCACGCCAGCTTCGTCGGTTACATCGAGGGGGACAGGTGTGATGCGCGAGGGATGCTCTTTCACCAGGGTCTGGAAGTCGGAGGGCGTTTGCGGGGTGCATTGGTTCGTTGCTGATGTTGTTGATGATGATGGTAATGATCGCGCGGCGGCGAAGATATGGCGGACTTCCGTGGCGGGTTTCGCGACCAGTTGGCGCGTGAGTTCGAGGCCGATACCGCGGGTTGCGCCGGTTATCAGGTAGGTTGTCATTTCTCTTGCGGGTGCTGGGGTTGGTGGCTCGTGTTGAGTTGTTTGGGAGTACCTTGAGATCGAGGTGAGAATAGTTCGAATTGTGTAAACTGTAGAGGTGACTGTTGACTGTGGGTTGTTAGCTATGGCTCTGTGATTGAGATGGATGTGGTTAATATACTGTTGCTGGTCAATAGTGTATTGCGGAGTTAAGTGCTAGGGGCTCCGGTCTACATTCCTCAGCGTAGGATTTGTAATTGTAGATCTTGGAAACCGAGAACGAGATATTCTGTTCCGAGTCCGTGATTTGATGACGGAGGTAAGTAGAGTGTCAGCAAGATGCTAAAGCAGAATATCCAGTAGGCATCTTCATCCACTGCGGATGCTATAGAAACAGGCTGAGGTTGGCGATGAGGTCATTGATCCGGCGATAACGGAGATTGAGCCCCAGTATCACCCGGGACAAACTATAATGGGAAGCAACAAACCACAGCGGAAATACGAACGTGTACCCTTCCTTGAGTACACTACACATAGATAAAGTAGAATGAAGAGGGAGTATCTAATGACAACAACGTGAACCCATTTTCGAACTCCACATAACATGCGCCAGCAGTGATCATAATCGCCTAGTCCCAGCTAACCCCACCATCTCAGTAAATGCTAAAGAGCCACACAAACGCCAGTATGATGTTCATTACCCTCCTTCTACTATCGCGCTCAGCTCCACAAGGGTGGATGAATGTACTCGGCCGCACGATCGAGGATATTAGGTATGGACCACTCGCCGCTGGTCGAACTCTCCGGAGTCGGAGGCGGGAGAGATCCGAGGCTCGGTGTCATACTAGCTGCTACACCGGCAACTCCCATGCTGGACCCTGCATGCGGGTTAAGGTACGCTGGGGAACCGGCCTGACCGGCGGCTCGAGCGGCCTGGGTGGTGAAAGCTGCTTCGAGTTTCTCCAATGCGCGGAGGGTTTTGGTCAACGGCTTGGCCCACTGCGTCTGCGTATCAACACCGACACCAACGGATCCGGGTGATGCCGAGTTCAAGCCTGCTGGACTCGGGGCGGCAGTGCTAGGTGCTCGAGCAATGGTGCTGAGCGTTGGGGGAGCGGCCCCATCCGTCGGAGGAGCAGCGGCATCAGTCGAGTTGAAGTCAAGCTCGGCGTTCGCTCGCTCCGAGATAATGACCTTGAGCTGCTGCAACAAGCTCCAGAAACGGGGGATGGTTTTGGATTCTTCGGTAACAGCCAACAGGAAAATCGAGCTGATGGCTCGCTGTAGAGCAATCCACGATCGAGACGCATGTGAACTGACAGTATGCATTTCGATATACGCCTCCACCGTCGTCATCAGATTGTTGACGCAGTCGGCACGCATACTGGCTGCGGCTGGGTCGGCCGTTTCTCCCGTCAACTTCAACGCTGGCCGATAAAGCTCAGAGGAGAAGTATGACGTGTGCAGTTTGAGAACGACTCGCTCGAGGTGCTCCGTTGCAGAGAGACAGTATTTACGATCCCGGAGGTGAGGCTTGGCCTCGATCATGATCTGCTGGATGCGTTCCTTGTAGCCCTGGATAGTCTTGTAGCTCAGTTGCGAGTGCGGACTCAGCATGCGACTGCGAACAACTTCCAATGCAAGACCAATGACTCGACACAGCGTCTCAAAGTACGAGATTTCACCAGGCTTTGGATCGTCACGATACGCGATTTCGGGCTGGCACACAGCGGTCGTAGAGGGCCTGTCATAGGAAAGTGAGAAATGGCTGTCTTGCCATGCCATCGACCACCTGTGTATGGTTAGAACCATATTTCCGCGCACGTCATTTCATGTTGGAGCTAGATGCAACATACCAAACGTGGCGGCGGCGATAACGTTCTGCAGCTGAGAAGCGACTGGACTCGACATGTAGACCGAGGGCCAAGCCCATCCGAAGCGTCATACCGAGGAGCACGTAGGAAATTCCGGGGTTCATATTGTACGACAAGACGTTGCCGATGACGAGTAGTGTTTGCATGGCATCTATCGTCGGCTGCGAGAGGAAGTTGGTCATACGAAGACACTGGTATGAGCAGCACACTGCTATAGTCAGTAAGTGTCGACGAGATGAAGGTAAAAAAAGACGAACCATAGACTTGAGATGTCAACTCTCGCTCTTTGCCCGGGAGATCCGACGATTGACAGCCAGAGGCGAGCACGGCGAACAACAGTCCCATGTAGGCGATAGTTACACCAAAAGGTTTCTGGGATTGGTCTGCATCGGCGCGATATACACCACCCATCGATGCTCGGTTACTTAGCAAAAGGTGAAGATTCATCTCAAATTGTGGAACATCCTCGAGGACAGGGTAAATGGCGCCTGCAATGTCTCGGTAATAGTAGAAGAAGCTGCAGGCAGAAGTGGTTAGCATTGATTCCTCACGTACAGGTAGGTGCAAACTGACTCTTTGCACTGCTGGTCGGTAGGAAGCGCACTGCAGACGGCGCTGATGTCGAAAGTTGACATGTCAGAAGACCAGAGGTCAACAAACGGGTACGTTGCGGATTCGTTGTCCAGACCCAGCTTCGGCAAAATCCCACCTTCCAGCAAGGCCTGAAGCTGATCGGATCCAGACTTGTTGTTGAGGATGTACGCTAACACCGACCGGGACCCCAGGTGCACCGTGCCTTCACCAAAGGTGTTGGGCGCATGAATGCCCTCCCGCTCCGGGGAAGCAGCCTTCGACCGACTGCTGGCATCACCACTCTGTATGCTCCCGGTCTCCAGCGAAGAACCGTGTCCATCTTCGGCTCTCTCGAGTCCAACCCGAAGATTGCTGATCGTTTGCTCCATCTCCCGCAACCGAGTGCGAACATTGTCCCATTCCTCGCGCGCGATCGAGACTCGCCCGGGCCCTACCTGGCCCACCAAGCTTGGTCGATTGACTGACGCCTCTGGTTTCGGGCGTGCTGGAGGCTCTGGTGGAATTATGATGGTCTCCCCAGGGACGGTTGGACTATATGAATGCGGAAGTGAGCCCGTCATGATACGCTTCTTGGAGGGGCGTTCGTAGGAGCAGAGGTCGGCATGGTCGCGCTTGACACAGCCATCGCAGGGAAGATTACGGTCACATTTCACTTTACGAGCGTGACAGGGATAGCAGGCCTTGGGTTCGCGCGCCTTCCGTTTTGTGCGGATGATCGCGTCGACTTGGGATTGAGGCAGGTCGGCGATGGCGCGGGACGTGCCCGCCATGTCGGGACCAGCGACGGACGGCGAGTACGAGATAGACGACTGGTAAGGAGAAGTCATCGTAGGGGGTGAAGTGAGCGAAGAGACGAGCGGTGGGTTTCGAGGAGCTTCCGCTCGAGAAGTGAAGGATCGTCGTTTTAAGGATGTGGATTGCTATCTCGAAGCTAGAACATGCGAACACAGCACAACAGCGGAGATGACGGAATTAAGCGGGATAACGAATGCGGCGCGGGCACTGAGCAGGGTATTTCCAGTGTTCACATTGAATGTGTTTGATCAGACGAGGAGAGAATCAGGCCATGAATGATTGTGTAAGGTGTAGCGTGGATGTCGAGGGGCCCAACATGGCTTGGTTGACGAGAATGTGCTCCCGAGGTAGCAGGGCGCAAGATTGGAAACCGCCGCCAAGTTTGACTGGAAAAACATCCCTGGGGGAAGGCCCACCTGACTAAGCAGTTGACGGCAGTTCTTCACGTGACATGAGGGGAGTCGATCATGGGTTCGCCCAGCCCTAAGCCCTATCGGGGATTGAATGACGTAATGCTGTAGCTTGGGGTGCCTGCCTTGCTGCCTTGCAGCCTTGCATATCTACTCTCTCTCCGATCAATCTACATAAACATCTCGAGTAAGGGTGATATGCTGGCGCTCTAAACCTGATTAGGAGGTCATACAAGCTACTAGTTACATTGCTGATTATCAGGGTATTAAGGGTTCTCCACGTCCGAAGGTACTGCTACACTGCTACTAGGCTCTTTTATCATCGAGGTGGGTATACCTTCAATCAATTCGTTTTCCATCGGGCCCTCTAGCTTCAGATTGACTCTGCTTCTTTTGAAATACTCCGTACTTTGGTGTTAAATACTAAGGAGATATGATACTAAGCTCGGATCTATAACTATCTCCCGCTTACCACCTCACCTATAGCAGTTTAACGCAAATGGTGTGGACAAATGGTGATCGTGGTTGGCGATTGCCATCTGCAATACCGCTGGATGTATCACATCACAAATGGATAATCACACAATCAACATCCAGTTCCAACAATACAACCCCAAGTCGCTATGATTGCTTCTTGTCCCGGTTTGATAACGCTGTCAAATGCAGGAACCCACACATATCGACGGAGATCTCAAAGCAATACGCAGGGCCACTCCGTCTCTTGTTCGAGAGTAGAACTGCAATTGATCGATTTTGTGAATTCATTTCTTGTGATGGCGATCAGCCTTGTCGTATCCTTGCTGTTCAGCCGCACCAACACATCAATGAGGGGGCGGGGTCCGGTGGTAGGAAGCAGACATATAAGCAAACTAGCACCTAACTTTCAATGGTTTAGTGCCGCTTTAAGGGTACTGGTGACAATCCTCCTGACAGCCGACACAGAAAGTCTCTTATCATCTCCAACAGCGAGGTTCGACGAGAGACACTACCATGCCTGATTTTAGCTCTATGCCCAAGCGGCTTTTCAAGAAACTACGGCGACCCAAGGAGAAAACACTGTCGGAAAATGAAATCATACCGAAAGAGGAGCATACAACTTCACCAGAGAAGTTAGAATGCAAGCCAGAAGAGCTCCCCCACTCGACCTCTCAACCCAACGATCTCTGGACCTTGGCCGAGCAAAAATTGAAACAGAACCCTGAATTGGCCGAAGTTCTATCGGAATCGATTAGTATACTGGGATTTGAAAATAGTCATGATGTGCAACACGGTGATCCAAGTTACCACAAACAACTCTGCAATTTCCTTAATGCCAAAGCAGCCGAAGTCGAAGCCGAAACCGAAGCAAAAAAATGGGTAGTTCGCCTGGGCGACCATAGTATTGTTGTGCGAGACCAGCTCAACAAAGTGTTCAAAAACATCCTCGCTGTTAAGGAGGTTGTCAGTACGGCTGCAAGTGCGAGCCCGCCCGCCTCCATCGCCTGCGCTGGTGTCATGGTGTGCTTTACGGTAAGCGCTGATGCACTCGCCGAAGCGCTCTGTTGGTCGCAGACTATTAACTTCGTTTAGATGATCCTTCAAGCAGTAGAACAGCATGCCGTCCTTCTACGAGGATTAGACCTGATTTCGGAGTCCATGGTTCGACTTCGCGCGAGAGAAGATCTGTACTTGACCTCCCAGACGGGCCAGGAAACAGATCTCGTCAAACAACTTAAAGAGTTTTTGACCTCTCTTTGCTGCAAGATCCTTGAGTTCCAGGCTCGCGCGCTCTGCTATTTACATAGACGCTCAGCTGGGCAGTTTCTAAGAAACTTTTTGGACTCGGATGGTTGGGCTAGCCTGTGCCAAGATATTGAGAGACATGAAAAGTCCATCGAAACTACAACTTCCCTCATGGAAGCCAGAGACACAAGGCAGAAGCACCAAGATCTTCTAGAACGGATTGAAGTGATCCGGAATGCTGCACACCAACGCGATCTATGGGCGACAACATCGGCTCGAGATGAAAGGATCAAAAAGTTTCTCAAGTTACTCTACACTTGCCCCTACAAGGATCGAAAGAACAGAAATGATAAGCGTGTGCCCGGAACATGTGAATGGTTCACAACACATGGTACCTTTCAAAGGTGGCAACAGAGTTCTCCCAATGACCTCGCTGGTCTCTTATGGGTCTCAGCCGATCCAGGTTGCGGCAAGTCAGTCTTAACCAGATACCTAGTTGATGACCTTCTTCTCAACGACAATGAACGAACCGTCTGTTATTTCTTCTTCAAAGATGACTTTACGGACCAGAAAAGTGCAACAGGTGCACTGGCAGCTATCTTACGTCAACTGTTCATTGCACAGCCACAGCTTTTACAAGATAGAGACCTAGATAAGCTGGAGACTGATGGAGAAAAGCTTGTTCAATCACGGGTTGAGTTATGGAACATGCTTATATCTGCTGCCTCTCGTCTAACGACCGGAGAAATTATTTGCATTCTGGACGCATTAGACGAGTGTCAGGACCATGCCCAGCTTATCAAAGAAGTTAGGGAGTTCTACTCGGGACAACACCGACAAAGCAAGCTCAAGTTCTTGATGACAAGCAGACCATACGACCACATACGTCGTGGATTCTCGGATCTTGAGGCAAGACTACCTACGATTCACTTGAGCGGTGATGGCGAGGAAGAAGTCCAGCAAATAGCTCGTGAGATCAACCTCGTCATTGAGAAAAGAGTTTTTGATATCAGTAAACAAAGATCGCTCGAGGAAGCCGAACGCAGTATGCTCGAGCGCCAACTGACTGCCGCTGAGAATAGAACCTACTTGTGGGTTAGTCTTACCATGGATGTTCTCGAAAACAAGACCGGATTGACGAAAGGCGAGGTCCGCCGGGTTGTACAGAATCTCCCGGAAACCGTTGAAAGCGCCTATGAAAGAATCCTGGACCGGAGTGCGGACAAACCTAAGGCTAAAGTTCTTCTTCATATTATTATAGCTGCGGTAAAGCCGCTCTCACTGGAAGAGCTATCTCTGGCCTGGGCAATAAAAATTCATGCACATTGCGAAACCCTTCCAGATTTAAGTGAAGACATCGAACCGAAAGAGCGCTTCAGACAGACTCTCAGGGATTTGTGTGGCCTCTTCGTCGTTATCATAGATGAAAAGGTTTACCTCCTGCACCAAACGGCGAAGGAATTCTTGGTCTCGCGCGACAGTTTCGCTTTTGAGAAGATTAAGTCTGAAGTTACAAAATGGAAGCATACCATTGTGCCAGAGGAGTCAAATCGGATTCTTGCGTCTATATGTGTTGCATGGATTTCATGGATGTCTGTTGATTGGAGTGTCGTTGACCAAAGGAATTTTGACAATTATTCATCAAGGCACTGGGTTACACACTATCATCGAGCACGGGTGCGAGATGAGGACACGCTAATCAAACGCATGCTCTCAATATGTGACCCAGACTCTGTTTCATATCAAATATGGTCTATGATTTATGGACGGGGTGTGAAGTACATTCCATATGGTGCTTCGGATTTTCTGATTGCATCATTTTTAGGGTTGACTGGTGTAGTCAAGCTTCTGCTTGCAACAGAGCAGGTGGATATCAACTGCCCGGATGTTGAAAATGGCCGGACAGCACTTTCCCTGGCAGCTGAAAATGGGCATGAGGCAGTGGTCAAGCTTCTGCTTGCAACAGAGCAGATGGAAATCAACTGCCCGGATTCTAAAAATGGCCGGACAGCACTTTCTCTAGCAGCTAAAAATGGCCACGAGGCAGTGGTCAAGCTTCTGCTTGCAACAGAGAACATTGATGTTGATTCTAAGGATAGATTTGGCCGGACACCACTGTTCTGGGCAGCAGGAAATGGTGATGAGGCAGTGGTGAATCTTCTGCTTGCAACAGAAAATGTGGATCTTGACTTGAAAGACTGCGAAGGCTGCACACCACTAGACAAGGCGTCGATGAATGGTCATGAGGCAGTGGTGAGGCTTTCACGGAAACGATAATTCTCAGTCTCAGATAGAGGGGGCACTTTCCAAAATTCTATTCGGATAGACAACGTGATATGTACATGCCTGTAAAGTCGCCCGCCTGGCAGTACAAAGATGAGCATGGAGGCAGGTAACTTACAAGGTAGGATCGCAAATAGGACACCTTATGAAGAACATGAATGACGATCAATTCAGCTACGTGAGGCTGACCATCAGAGGAACTAGCTCAGAACTGGCGAAGCGGGTACTGAACGGTCCAAGCAGTCGAGAGCTCTTGTGATAGACAAAATGAGTGATTGCTGAGAGCTCTGGCTAAGACAAATTGGCAACACTACCCGCTCCTTACCACCTTACAGTCTTGTCGATCAACTGCCAGTCTCACCAGCCCCTGCTACGACTGAATCATATCTCATTCTCCTCAATCAGTCGCCGAACTAACAAAGTACGTCGCTGCCACCGGCCGACCCACCGCCGCCACAACAGGAGCCAAACTGAAATTGAATCGTGCATCCGTGGTTTGATCATAGTACATGCCCTCAACAGCCGCAGCAGGCGGGACATAGCCCTTTGGCTGGTTGAAGAGGTAGATTGTATACGTATGCTCAGTGCTGTCCCTGGGTCGCGGGGCGGTATACGGTGCGAGGGCATCGCTTGCGTTGACGAAGGTTCGACCTTCCAAGGTATAGTTTCCACCCCACCAGTGCAGACGAGTGGTAGTATTGGTCGCCAGACCAGGGACAAGGGTCGAGTACTTGTCCGCTGTGGTGACGTCGGAGTCGGGGATGTTGAGGTCAAGCATCAGGATCATGTAGGTTCCGGGGTAGGCATGCTTGACGTTGCCGGGGTAGATAGATGGAGACGATGTCACATCTATAGAGCAATTGTGTTAGTTTGTTTAAGGAGTCTCGTGGTTTGAAGGACTGTGATGTATCGGGTGCCATACCGTCGGGATTGATCCATAGACCGGGGCTGACGGTCTCGTTTCCGAACGAGGCGCCTAGATTGACTTGCGTTGGTGGCCAGCTCCCTGCAGGAGTCTGTGCCAGTGTTGTTGCTGCGAAGAGCGCTGATGAAAGGATACTGGTGGTGCGCATGGTGTTTATTGAGTTGGATGAAGAGCTTCGTAGTGGCTATCTGGGATGAGGGCGAAAAGATAATTGGGCATAGGGGCGAATATATAATGTCATTGGAAATGTGAAGCAAAGGCATGGATTGATATCGTGCGGGTAAACACAGCCATAGGGCGAGCTACGAACATTCGAGACCAAGTGGAGAGGCCTCGTCATCACTGGGCTTTTCCCAAACGCCGAGGAAGACTGGGGATGTCGGAGGTCGGATGTCGGAGGAAACCTCTAAATGCGGGAAAAGCATGCTGTCAAATCTCGGGCAGAGTTTACATTATTTTCGGTGAAAACGAGTCAAGAATCGGATGGTGGTTTGCGCCATCCTGAATGAACACAGGCCGCTTAAACGGCCCCAGACCACGATCCAGAAATATGGTTATGTCTAAGCTTGTTTGCAGGATGAGCAGGTATCCACTAAATGTATGTAATGCATTAACTAATATCTATTGACAGTTTTCTAGTGTGCTTGGTATCAACATAAATCATAAATTACAACGCGTCATCAAACATCTGATTAGTGTACATCGTGCTCATCATGCCAAGAATTCAATCTACGAGCGCAGTGCGCTGTCCAGCAAGCGATCAATAAAAATCGCCCTCTAATGCTTCTCTCCCTGTTCTTCGTCGTCGCTAAAAGCGAACTTGGAGAAACGGCGAATGGACGCCCCCTTGAAATAGAAGACATACGGGATCGCACAGCAGGCGAGGGCGATGAAAGCAAGCAGAGAGCTTGCCCACTGGTAGCCGAGGCGGGCGTACATTTGCTCAGTGAATAGAACAGTGGATGCACCCCAGATGGAGCGAAGAAATGTCTTGGCGGCAAGGGCGGAGGCGGCCTGGTGCTGATAGGTATCCACTATATGTCTATGAGCGACTGATCCTCACTGAAAGTGCTTGGTGTGACTTACCGAGATAATTATTGGCCGAGTTATACAAGAAAATGAAACCAAAACCGACTGGCCAGCCTCCGATTGCAGGACCGATCCAATGAAGTCTGGGATAGGAGGTCCAAGCGAAGATGAAGAGTCCGATCGGAATAAGCCAGCAGGAGAACATCATCGGGATCAGACGAGCTTCAGCCGGGGGCTTTCCATTATACTTCTTGTACAGTGACAAGTAGTGCTTGTTCACAAATGGTGCACATGCAGCGCTCATGAGAACACCGATAGCGAGAGGAATGAACATCAAACCCGTCGATCCGGCGCTCCAACCTTTGCCACCTTGATAAACAACCGGATAGCTGCGGGGAAGAGAGTTAGAAGATACGCTCTGTACCAATTGAGGGGACGAATACTCACGCAATGAAGAACATGTAGAGCAGGCCGTACAGGACTGACATGTAGAGAGCGATGAACAAAACAATGGGTTCCAGACAGAGAAGTTGGAAGGGACGAAACAGAGTCATTCGCAATCTCTCCGCCAACGGTCTGGCATCCAGCTCCATCTCAGTAACGTACTTGGGGTCATCCTTTTCCTTTCTGAGCTTCTTCGCCCTGCGCTTCAGCAGGGTAGGCGCATAGGTCTCAGGGACAGTGAACGTGATCAGCACCCAAGCCACAAAGGCAAGGATAAGCTGCAACCAGTAAAGCCATTTCCAGTTTGTTGCATCAGCAAGGTAGCCACCAGCGAGAGGCCCAATGGCGGGACCAAGGAAAGGACTGGCTGAGAAGGCTGCCATAGGGACTCCCCGTTCTTCATTTTTCCAGAGATCGGCCAGTGTACCGCCTACCAGTGTCATCGGCGCGCTAAATGCAATGCCATCAATTGCTCTGCAAACGATAAGGGTCGCAATATTGGGCGCAACAGCACACGGGATGACGAAGATGAAGGCCAAGAGCAAGGTGCTTGCATAGACAAGTCTGCGGCCTACAATCTCCGATAGAGGGGCGAACACCATCGGACCTACAGACCATCAGTCAGTCACTCTGAGCTACGTGATATGGTAAGATATAGATGGTTCCAATTAGGATGCGACTTACCGACTCCAAATCCAATGACGAAGACGGTCACCACGACCAGACTAACTTCCCTCGAAACGCCAAATGTTTCCGAGGGTCCTTCTATATCGGCGGTGATAACACTGCTTGAGAAAGCGACGACGAAGCAAGTGAACGAAACCACCATGGTACAGTACCATTTGTATGCTTTGGACCAGTTCTTTGGGTTTTCCGGATCATCGATGCTGAAGGTGACCAGCCTCCAGTCTTCATCCTTTCCTGTCAGGGCAGACCGCACTGGTTTGATTATCTCCCCGGTTGTTGTTTCCGTAGTATATTCTTCCATGTTGGCACCATCGTTCACCTCTCGATATGGTAGGTCCAAGGGATCCGAGTTCGGATTAGACGCCATCGAGTGGGTTCGGCGGGGATAGTCATTATGGGTCTTAACTCGCTCTAGAGACTCCATATTTTGAGTGTGAAGAGAGACTGTTCAGAGACGGATACCACAGTCTGTGAGGTTGATGTGATAAGAAACATGGTGTCGATGGGCAGACTACATGACTGCATTTATAGAAATAACCTATGGCCACAATGCTATAGACACTACCACATGAGCAATGAGAAAGTCTCGATGATTCGGTCGAGATGCCGCGAGAACCTACAAACAACAGATTAGATGGCAAAGGTAAAATGATCTCGATGCCCGAAAAGGCAACCCGCCAGTCCGGGTCCACAGCCGCAGGGGCCATATTTCCCGACGCGGTAGGCAGAGCTAACCACTTCTGGCAAGATGGCTCGAGGCCCCGATCAGATTATCATCCCTGATCCGACTTGGGTTGATGATTCAATTGCAGGGGGTTCTAGACCTCTGTAAGAGATGCTATATACAAGTCGTGCCATGGTAAAGGATTTGTTGGGTATCTCTGCTAGAATTGCGTTTGCGCACAGGTACTGTACTCCGTAGCTAAGTGAGGTACGATATGTTATGCACGTGCTCGCACACAATACCTACCTCGAATCGCGACCTTGGAACATAAACAAATAAAGGGCACCGCCGTACTTATCTCTGAGCGTCGAGTAGAAGCATCCCGAGAAGTAGCCCGTCCAAGAGCTAGTTGATGAGATCTGGGAGACCACTAAAGATCCAGGGCAGAACTGGTAACTAGCCTACGAGGCCATGTGACGGCATGGCTGCCAGCCACGTATACATTCTCCAGGTGGAAATATGACTCCGAATGGCCTGATTCTGGATCTTACACAAGTCTTTAGATGTCGACGGTTGAAATAAGTGGAAAAGCCAGACATACTCGTCCCGTGCCAAGGTGGTGAGGATTGGATGTGGCTGCCAAAGCGTCGGTCGAAATTCGCGGTTGACGGCAGGGCGGCACGCGGAGCATGTTGCCCGAAACGGCAAGGAACCCAGAGTTCAGGCTCGGAATGAAGATGTAATGAAAATTGAAAAACCTCCCCCGGACCCAATAAATCCCCAGGATGTCCCATTCCATTATGCTACATGCTAAAGCTGCAGTGGGGACTGGCAGTGAAAGAGAGAATATTGAATGGTGTATAGGTGGTCCTAGCTTTCTGCCCCAGATTGGGGCAGCAACTGTCAAAAAGCATCATCGAAACACAACGACAGAAAATAAGGCTCACTATGTCGGCCAGGAATTATACGCGTATAGCCACGAGAAGATCCTTCGTGAAAGGCACAATGACTTTTCGACCTATACCCTGAGTACAGGACTTCAAATCCAGGTCAGGTGATAAGCATCTGAGAGCTTTCGCGGGTCTGATGAGTATGTGGCGACATGAGAGAACAAAGAATCAGCAGTATGCACTGTACTCCGTATATACTGAGTTTGCAACTTTTGATTGCAGTTAATACGAGGGAGCTAAAGAGACAAACAACTGCAAAGGCCAGAGACTCTGCCCGGCTGCCTCAGGCAGCCCCAGTTTGCCGCCGTTTTCCGGGGAAAAGTGCATCTCACGTGACAGATAAGAAGCGACGATAAGCCGGAAGGAGACTAGCGCGGGGTGGTTTTTCGCACCCTCCGCTCAACGGAGCAGAAAGATTAATTTTTGATTTGATTCTAAGAGACAAGCAGCTCAAACGCTTCCTTCAGTCTGTTGAACTCACTCATTAGAGGTGTGTCTGTGACACCTCTTTCATAGAGGACTTCTTTAGTTCTCTTCTCATTCCCAGTCCACTCGACTATATCCTTCCCTCTCCTTTCCGTCACCCGTCCCTCTCTATCCTCCCTCCCGCTCCCCCCAATCGAGTGACTCACTCTGCAACCACCTCAAAATGGCCTCCAACTCGACCTACTTGGCCATTCCCGGCTCTGTCGCCTTCTCCCACTCTCGTGGACGCGCAGTTGCTGCCAGCATTGGAGCCAGCGATGTCCGTGCCCAATGGATTCACTATGTCCACCTTTCCCAGCCTTTGGACGAGTCCCAGCGCGCCGTCTTGGAGCAGCTCCTCCGCTATGGCGATATCACCGATATCCCCCCCACCTTCACCGCTGAAGATGGCTCCTTCGACGTTTTCCACGTTTTCCCTCGCACGGGTACAATCTCTCCTTGGAGCTCCCAGGCTACTGGTATCTCTCACGTCTGCGGCTTGCGCCAGTACGTCAAGCGCATTGAGCGGGGTATGAAGGTCTCCTGTCTGCACAGCGGAAGCAACGAGTACAAGGATGGCTTTCAGGATATCCTCCATGACCGCATGACCCAGATCATGAGCGAGAACGAACCGGATCTTCACCTGATGTTCTCCGAACACAGCCCCCAACCCCTCGAGACGATCCCTCTTCACGGCAGCGACAAGTCGCCCAAGGAGGTCCTCCAGGAGGCGAACAAGAGACTTGGATTGGCATTGGAAGAGTCGGAAATCGATTACTTGGCCGAAGCCTACGGACCTAACGGTCCTCTCGCTCGTGATCCTACTGATGTTGAGTTGTTCATGTTTGCGCAGGTCAACTCCGAGCACTGCCGTCACAAGCAGTTCAACGCCTCCTGGGTCATTGATGGAAAGCAGATGCCCAACAGTCTCTTTTCCATGATCCGCAACACCCACAAGAAGAACCCTGAATACACCGTGAGTGCTTACAGCGATAACGCCGCCGTTCTCGAGGGAGATCACTCCGCTTTCTGGGCCCCCAACACGACTACCGGAGAATGGGGCCACACCAAGGAACAGGTGCACTTCCTGGCCAAGGTCGAAACCCACAACCACCCTACTGCTGTTTCTCCTTACCCGGGTGCAGCGACCGGATCCGGTGGTGAAATCCGTGACGAGGGTGCCGTGGGTCGGGGTTCCAAGCCTAAGGCTGGTCTTGCTGGCTACTGTGTCTCTGATCTCAACATTCCTGGCTTGAAGCAGCCCTGGGAGTTGGATGTTGGCAAGCCTAACCACATTGCTAGCCCTCTGGACATTATGTTGGAGGCTCCCATCGGAAGTGCAGCTTTCAACAACGAATTCGGACGTCCCTGCATTTCAGGATACTTCCGTACCCTTCTGACCGAAATCGATGTTGGCAATGGTCAAACTGAGGTTCGTGGTTACCACAAGCCCATCATGATTGCTGGTGGTGTCGGAACTGTCAGACCCCAGCACGCCATCAAGAAGCCCGAAGCTGTCAAGCCTGGCGCCTACCTTGTTGTCTTGGGTGGACCTGCTATGCTCATCGGTCTGGGTGGAGGCGCTGCATCCAGTATCACCTCGGGTGAAGGTTCGGCGGATCTCGATTTCGCCAGTGTCCAGCGTGGCAACGCTGAAGTCCAGCGGAGAGCCCAGGAGGTCATCAACGCCTGTACTTCCATGGGCGACGCCAACCCCATCAAATTCATTCACGACGTCGGAGCTGGTGGACTTTCCAATGCCCTTCCTGAGCTCATCCACGACTCTGGTCTGGGTGCCACTTTTGAGCTTCGTGAGATCGACAGTGCCGACAAGAGTATGAGCCCCATGCAGATCTGGTGCTGCGAAGCCCAGGAGAGATACGTCATGGCTGTTGGTGAGGAGAGCATGAACAAGTTTACCGCAATTGCCAATCGTGAACGTTGCGGTTTCTCTGTTGTCGGCCGTGGCGGAGGTACCTCCGAGGAGGAGAAGAGGCTCATTCTCTTGGACCGCGAGTCCACCGAGTACCCGAAGCCCATCGACCTGCCGTTGTCTGTTCTTTTCGGCAAGCCTCCTAAGATGACCCGGGTTGTCGACTCCCGCAAGTTAACGCTGCCCGCTGTCGATGCTAGTCTCTCCACATACCTTCCCTCCCTCGCTTCCAACCCCCTTGAGCTCCTCGGAGAGGCCGCTAAGAGAGTTCTGTCCCTTCCGGCCGTCGGATCTAAGTCTTTCCTCATCACCATCGGTGACCGGACTGTCGGTGGTCTCACTGCTCGTGACCAGATGGTTGGCAAGTGGCAGACTCCTGTGGCCGACGTTGCCGTCACTGCGACCGCACTGGTTCAGGGCGTGAAGTCTGGTGAGGCCATGGCCATGGGTGAGAAGCCTACACTTGCCCTCATCTCGCCCGCTGCTTCGGCCCGCATGGCGGTGGCTGAGTCTCTCATGAACATTGTTGCGGCTGATCTTGTTGATCGCTTGAGCCGCGTCAAGCTTTCTGCTAACTGGATGTCCGCCAGCAGCCATCCTGGTGAGGGTGCTGCCATCTACGAGGCCGTGGAGGCTATTGGTATGGAGCTTTGCCCCAAGCTTGGCATCAGCATTCCCGTCGGAAAGGACTCCATGTCTATGAAGATGAAGTGGAAGGATGAGACTTCCCAGGAGGCCAAGGAAGTCACTGCCCCTATGTCTCTTGTCATCTCTGCTTTCGCGCCTGTTGCCAACTACCGCAAGACCTGGACCCCCGCCCTGCGTCGTCTGGAGGACGTTGGCGAGACTGTTCTGATGTTCGTCGACCTGTCTTTCGGTCGCAAGGCTCTGGGTGGTTCCGCTCTTGCTCAGGTCTTCAACCAGGTTGGTGACGAATGCCCCGACATCCGCGACATCGAGATCTTCAGAGATTTCTTCGATGCCGCTCAGCAGCTGCAGGAGGCAGGCATTGTTCTGGCATACCACGACCGTTCCGATGGTGGTCTCTTCACTACCCTGGCCGAGATGATGTTCGCCGGCCGCTGCGGTGTTGAGATCATGATTGACAACATCTGCGCTAGCTCCAACACCAAGGATGTTGTGGAGACCCTGTTCAACGAGGAACTGGGTGCTGTCTTCCAAGTCCGCAAGGAGCATGAGATCCAGTTCCGCTCTTGCTTCGCCACCTGCGGGCCTCCTGCTGGCTTGATTCACAAGATTGGCCGTGTCTCCGAGAAGTCCAAGCAGAACCTCACCATTTACCACAAGCACACCTTGGTTCACCGCAACAGCCGTGCCAACCTCCAGCAGACCTGGGCTGCCACGTCCTACCACATGCAGAAGATGCGTGACAATGCTGCCTGCGCTGACCAAGAGTATGCTAGCATTCTTGATGATGCCGATCCTGGTTTGTCCTGGAACGCGACTTTCGACCCTAAGGATAAGGCCATGCCTCTCTTGACCAGCCTGACCCAGATGTCGCCCTTCAGCAACAAGCCCCGTGTTGCTATTTTGCGTGAGCAAGGTGTCAACAGTCAGGCTGAGATGGCTTTCGCCTTCAACATGGCCGGTTTCTCTGCTGTTGACGTTCACATGACCGACGTCATCTCCGGCCGCGTCTCTTTGTCCAGCTTCGTCGGTCTCGCCGCCTGTGGTGGTTTCTCCTACGGTGACGTTCTCGGTGCCGGCCAGGGTTGGGCCAAGTCCGTCCTGCTGCACGACAACACCCGCAACGAGTTCCAGTCCTTTTTCCAGCGCCCAGACACTTTTGCCCTGGGTGTCTGCAACGGTTGCCAGTTCCTCTCCCGTCTCAAGGAGTTGATCCCTGGCGCCGAGAACTGGCCCAGCTTCGAGCGCAACGCCAGCGAACAGTACGAGGGACGTGTCGCCTTGGTCCGCATCTCCGATTCCGACCCGTCTCGTCCCAGCGTCTTCCTCCACGGCATGGACGGCTCTTCCTTCCCTATCGCCGTCGCTCACGGCGAAGGTCGCGCTTCGTTCGCCCCTGCTTCCGGCACTACCGCTCAGTCTTTCGTTGCCGAGGGTCTGGCTCCCGTCCGCTACGTGGACAACGCTACTCTCAAGCCCACGATGAAGTACCCTGCCAACCCTAACGGCAGTCCCGAGGGTATTGCCGGTGTCCGCAATGCTGACGGTCGTGTGCTGGCCATCATGCCTCACCCCGAGCGTACGGTCTTGGGCGGCATTGCCAGCTACCTGCCCCCTAACGCCGAAGAGTGGGGCGACATCGGCCCATGGGGTCGTGTCTTTCTCAGCGCCAGAAGATGGGTTGGTTAGACGTTTTGTCTCGGCACCTTTTACCGCGCCTCGTTGCAATGAGATGTACAGCTTTGGAAGAGAGAAAATCAAATACAAGGTCACGGCGCCTGTCTTGAGTTTATTTAATGATATATATACAACAACCACCCCTTTCCGTCATTTCCCTGCTTGCTGGAATTGATCCTTTACGATGACATGTGCGAGAAAAATATGAGTGTTCAATTAGTTTCACCTGGTTGGTTGTTCTAGGTTTAGTGCACGGTATGAACACAGAATGTGAATAACTTTCAATGAAATTCTTCATCTTATTTCTCTCCCTGGTATAAGTCAGGCTGTAATCGTTCATCCCACCTCTTTTCTCTACACCTGCCATAGATCAGATAGGGAACTGGTCGACAGCCCCAGGGAATCCGACCCAAAGTCCAAGCGAAGGGGCGGTATCCGTACCCGAGCGCCACAATCTCGAGAAAGAGCAGCATATGGTAGGAGGAGGTACGCAGTATATACTGTTCCAGCTCCTTCCACTCGATCCTGCAGATACAGGAACCGCCCCAAGCTTCAACCAGAGTCCGAGAACGCATCCATCAATCCCAAAATATGGCAAAATCCTGCCTGCCACGGCCAAGGCTTATATTCCTGTACTCATATAAGGGTCATGTATGCTGATCAGCGGCTTAGCCCGCGGCGCACCGGTCGCGCTGGTTCGTTGTCTCGGTCTGCAGGATTGCAGCTCCAATCCATTTTCCTAATTGGGATTGGGGATCGGCTTTCCATGTTGCTTGGGCTTCTGGGCTTTGGTGGTTTAGTGGTTGAGAATGTTGGGTGTGGTGTGTGCTATTCCATGCTTTTGCTCGTCTAAATCCGAAAAGGATTGTTGTGAAAATCATTGAAGATTTGATCATCAATTGCATTATCTTGTCTATGGATATACGTTCTTCTCTTGAATTGAATAAAAAGCTGATTGTAATCATCGACATGATGTTGCTTCTTCGACGTCGGGCGTGCCTTGCAGCCCACGAACGAATCGCAATCGAAGTCACCCGAAGGGGAAAATCCAAAGCCAACATCCCAGACCCGTCAGCAGACGTCTGGATTGGCTGAATTCAGAATCTCTGGCTCGCCAGGATTCTTTAGGGACCGATCTTGCAGACTAAGTATTCTAGAAGGGGGTCCTAAGAATAGGTGGCGGGGGCCCGAATTTCCCTCTACGGAAACTGGGGTTTTGGACCCCATACGCCCTATACGGGTGGTTGTTTCGGGATGGCATGATGGTTCTTCCGAAAACTTTGGGATCAATTATTGGGGTTCGCCTGTTTTCAACAACTATGGATAGGGTTGAGTGAACTCCAGTATTGGGCTTGCAACTGATCATTCGGTGTGGGTATGTTGGTGAAGTCATCGGCGGAAAGTGAAATAAGCAAGACATTTGCGGCCCCATTTTGCCTACCACTTGCCCTGCAATTGGGGATCGGCGATGGATCGCATGGCTGAAGGATTCGAGAGTGCTGCAGAATAGCTGACCGTCGTATACTGAAACCGCCGGTTGCCCCATCATGCATCCTCCTGGCCTTGCGGGCTTGGGGTATTGGTATGCCGACATTGAGGCGACGAAGCAAGTGAAATGTATAAAGAGGCGTGCTGCACAACCACAGAAAGACTTTTTTCGCAGCATTGACAACATCAGCAGCATTCGTGCATAATTCTCGTCTTCCAACGTCATTCAACAACTTTTTGTTCGACCTTATCCATCATGGCTTCCAAACTCTTCAAGGGAATGGCCCTCGCAGGCCTCGTCTCCGCCGCGGCGGCTTGCTCGACCGAATCCGACGTGACGGTCACCTTCTATGGCTATCCCGACAACGATCCCCCGAGTGCAGACATTGCCTATGACTGTGGCCGTGGATACACTGCTGGTGGTAAGTACGGCCTTCTACGTTGACAACATCACACAAACTGACAGTATGCAGGTACCGGTACTTACAGCGACCCCTTGACCTTCGCATCCGCGTCCGGTGAGTTCGAGCAGTGTGAGATCATCTATCTTCCCTACCTGAAGAAATACCTTCGGTACGAGGACGAATGCGCCCAGTGTAGTACGTTATCTCCCCTCCGCATCGACGTCAAGAACGCAGGTACTAATCCGCCACAGCCACGGACTACAAGTCCGGCAAGCTGCACATCGACATCTGGACTGGCTCCAACTCCGACGGAGGCGACACCCAAATCGAGTGCGAGGACAACTTGACTCCCGACTCCCAGTCGATCGTCCTCAGCCCGGCGAGCTCGTACACCGTCGACTGTAAGTTGAATTCTTTCGTCGCACCCGACTTTTGTCGCTCTCGGAAATTCAAGCCCGCTAATCTTTGTTCTGCTAGCTACCGCACTTTTCGCCAATGGCAAATGCTACACCTCCAACACCTACAGTGGTGCTGAGGCGTCGACCTACTGCTCTTCTTCGGGATCCGGCAGCAGCTCCGGATCCAGCTCCAGCTCCGGGTCCAAGCCAACCTCGACGGCAAGCTCCGGCTCGTCGTCCTCTTCGTGCTCTTGGTCGGGTCACTGCGCCGGTAAGTTGACTGTGTCTGTTGTTGATTGATTGAGTGGCGCTCCGTCTGTGGTACTAAGTATGTGATGAAATATAGGTGCCACCTGCTCCACGGAGAATGATTGCTCGGATGATCTCACCTGCCAGAACGGCAAGTGTGCGTAACTCAAGTCTGCTCTTGAGTTTTACTGTAACATCAGTGCGTTGTGCAGCGGCTAAATTTGAGATTCAGAGAGAGTTTGGACGGTGAACGAACTGACGGCGTGGCGCATGTATCAATAGACGTATAAGCTTATTTGTCGAATGTATTGGTCTATCATATTGAGAAACTTCACCCCAATGGACGGTAAAATGGCGTTGGCATGCTTTGAAGCCGATTCTACCTCTAGAATATCAAAGCCGTTCGGCAGCATGTCGATCCCGATGGATATCTGTTTCACATTCCGAAGACAGCGGAGGGCGTGAAGCGATTACACTTCCTCATTGTGTCTGTTGTTCCCGGGAGCACCTGTGTGACAGCCATGATATTTGTACTGGGTGCTGAATTTGTTCATGTGATGGTGGCACTTCGCGTACTCGAGCTGCTTTCGAACCATATATAGCCTCGCGGTGAAATAGTGAAAGCTGAAGCGACGCAACGCAGAGCAACTGCAGCAGAAGAAAATACATCGTGATGATCACTAAGCTGGCAACCCCATGGATCGTTCTCCTAGCACTTCTGCTGGTACCCACCTGGCTGGGTAGACTCGCCAATGCCGAAGAAACTCTTCAGTCGGGAAACGAGACAGTAATCAGACGTGGTTTCTGCATCATTGGCGGCGGTGCAGCGGGCACCTATGCTGCAAGTCGCCTCCGGGAGCTGGGTCAGGATGTTGTGCTTGTGGAGAAGACAGGCCGCCTGGGTGGCCAGTCGCGAACGCACTTCGATCCAGTCACACGCGCCTCGATCGACTATGGCGTGAGGGCCTTTGAAGATTGTCCCGAGACCAGGAAGTTCTTCAAGCATTTCAACATTCCGCTGAGTCTTGACACCTCAACGGCAGACGTTGAGGTCCTGAGATTTGACTTCCGCACGGGGGTGTCGGTGCCGCCATACCCAGGCAATACGAAGGCGGCCATCGAACGCTATACCATGGAGCTTCAGCGATATTCTTACATAGCTCAAGGATGGAATTTCTCGGAACAGGTGCCAGAGCCCCTTCTCGAACCATTCGGTGACTTTGTCAGTGAGCACGATCTGGGGCCTGCAATGGAGACAGTGACCATCCTCGCCCAAGGCATGCACTATCTACTTGACTATGCGACTGCCTATCCGTTGAAAATCGTCTCGTTGGGTCGACTTACGGGTCTGGAGCACGGCTACCTGGTCCCCACGCGTCACAATATAACGGAGCTCTACAACGCGGCGCAGCAAGAGTTGGGGGAGGATGTGTTGTTTGGTAGCACTGTTGTGCATGCTCGGCGGTCAGACGACAAGCTTCACCGACTGACCGTCGAGTACGATAATGGCGAGAGGGTCGTAATTGAAGCAGATGCGACTATCATGGCTATGCCCCCTAAGATTGACGAGATGGAGGGGTTCGACCTGGACAGTCTCGAATCTTTCTTCATTCGTCAGTTCAAGTACGGTTATGTCTACACGGGTCTGATGAGGGACAGCGGGCTCCCGGATGATACCCGGATTTTGAACCGCGGGCTCGATACGCCATATAGGATTCCCAGGTACCCATGCATATACTCCATCCTGTCTTCAGAGGTTCCGGGCTTCCACCTAGTGACGTATGGAAGTGCAGAGGAGATGAGCGAACAAGAAGTTCGAGATGCGATATCCGACGATATTGTTCGACTCCAGGAAGGGGGTCTCAATACGACAGAGCCAACATTCCTTGCTTTTGCCACCCATAGTCCATACGACATGTATGTCAGCCGAGAGGCAATGAAAGCGGGATTCTACCAGGACGTGAAAGACTTGCAAGGGCATCGCAACACGTATTGGATTGGAGCCGCCTGGGAGCATCCGGACTCATCGGCTATCTGGAGGTCTGTTGATCGCTTGCTCCCTGCGATCATTGGGGATTAGTCTTGGCCTCCGTGGGGACGACGCCGAGGCAGGGAAAAAGCGGAGCTGGTGGCACCCTCGACGACAAGGTATCTAGACAACCGCAGATTGTGAGACCACTGATAGCTTGAGTTCCGCAATGAGTAATGAGTAATGATTCTGCCGCCCCTTGTGTGTGTTCCTATCGTAGAATCGTCCATGTCAGGACAAAGTACCTGAATTAGGTTGCGATAAGCTGGCGAATTCCCCGCTTTTCCCGCTGACTTCCCGAGTGCTTATCTTATCGCCTGGTCAGTGCAAGGGATGGGGGTGATTCGTCGCATCACTCGAGGTCAGACAAGTTGATAAAAAGCCGAGGGGCAGCATGTTCTGTCTTTTTCCCAATCTCTTGACTCCTTACTCCATGAGAGGCTCTGTATATAAGGCTTCAAAGTAATGGCAGAGCCTTCTGATACAGCTGGTCCTTCTGAGAGCCACGATGCCGAGGATACAACTGCCCTTGCATCGCGCGTGTTGCGCAAGGTGGATCGGCGACTGATACCGCTACTGTTTGTCACCTATTTGCTCAATTATATGGACAAAGCCATCCTCTCCAGCGCCTCGGTGTTTGGATTGACGGAAGATACGGTGCGGCGGACTCGCCCCTTGCAAGCTCCCGACGTCGCTGACAAGATTCATCTTAGCATTTGGTCGGACAACAATACAGCTGGGTCTCGAGTATCTTCTATTTCGGGTATTTCTTTTGGGAATGGGTACGCTCGATGTAATTGCCCCTGGGGAATAATGACAATGGCTAATATCCGTAGCCCACGAACATGCTGATTCCCCGAGTGCGGGTGGCCAAATACCTGGGATTCAACACACTCTTTTGGGGAGCGGTGGTTGCGCTGACTGCCGCCTGTGTGAATTACAGCGGTCTTTTGGTTGTCCGGTTCCTGCTCGGGGTCGCAGAAGCCACTATCACACCCGCGTTCATGTTCATCACCTCGACCTGGTACACCCGGGACGAGATCCCCTTCCGAACGGGGATCTGGTTCTCGGGAAACTCGGTCGGAGGTCTGATAGCTAGCCTGCTTGCTTACGGCATCGGACACATTGAGCATCCACTCCGACCGTGGATGTGGATGTTCATCATCCTGGGTGTTGCAACCTTTCTCTGGGGATTCGTCCTGCTGGCTTTCTTGCCGGATAGCATCTCCAGCGCCCGATTTCTGACTCCTGAGGAACGAGAGTTCATGAGCAATCGTGCCGTCATTGCTGGTACAGGTCGCACAGAGCACACTACCTGGAAATGGGAGCAAGTAGTTGAGTGTGTCCGGGACCCGAAGACCTGGCATCTGTTTGCGATCGCTCTCTTGACCCAGATTCCTAATGGAGGTACTCAGAATTTCGGAAACCTGGTGATCAAATCATTTGGTTTCACGTCTTTGCAATCCACGCTGATCAATATCCCGGCCAGTGTGATCAGCGCGGGAACGATCGCTGTGACCGGATGGCTGGCAAGTCGTTCCAACAAGCTTAACTGTATTCTGATCGTATGCGTGATCATCTTTCCTATTATTGGAAGCGCGATCATCTACGCTCGCGCACACCATGTTCCTTTGGGAGCGCAATTATTCGGGTACTTTCTTCTCTCAACGGGTCCTGGGGCACTGCCACTGGTGATGTCCCTGTTGCAGAGCAATAATCGGGGCGTCACCAAGAAGATGACGGTGACAGCTATGATGTTTGTCGCATACTGTGCCGGTAATATTGCCGGACCGCAGCTGTTCAGGGCCAGTGAGGCACCAACGTACCCAACATCCTTCCGCGCGATTCTGATCTGTTATATCATTGCTGTGGGGCTAGCCATCTCGTTGCGCTTCTATCTGCAGTGGCTGAATGCGAGACGAGACCGGGACGAGGGAGTCCAAGGCAGTGCAAGTTTAGCTGGTGCAGTGAGGGGGAAGGTAGTCGGCGAGCAGCGCGATGGGACGGACGTTTCGGTGCTCGTACAATCTGTGGAACTGAACCCAGCGGACTATGAGGACGTGACGGACTGGAATACGGTCGGGTTTCGCTATCGTCTATGACTTGTCATAAATTCTCCAACGAAAGGGTCAATGAAAGCGCCAAGCCGATCGACAAGAGACTTTCAGCGAATTCTGCCTGTGGAACAAGTTAGGAGCAATCCTATAGCTTGGCTTGGAAGCCTGCCATACAGCAACTGAGCCGTAGTGATCGCATTGGTACCAGTGCATCTTTCTTAGTAGAGCTCAAGCACGAGCAGAAAGACGACATTCCGTACCAGTAGTCGCAAAGAGGAGAAACAAGAACAAATTCCGAGTTGTGGAGAAGGAGAGACAAATCAGGAATGATGATGGTGGATGGTGGATGCTGCGGGCACTACGGAGTAACTGGGGCGTTTGTTTGTCGCGTTTGTTTCCCAACCAGTCTATCCAACACAATCACAATCACAATCCCAATCACTATTCCAACACCCAACACTTATCTTGCCAACTAACTACTGCTTGCTTCGACATTACAAAATCCTAGGCTTGTGTACTTCATACAAGTGACAATGTCTACTACACTGCCTGTTGATGACCTGCTACTATAACTTGCTGCTATCATCTCTGCGTGGCTCCGGAGCTATATTTACTGGAAAGAGGTAAGTTGCGACACGCCATCCCTGTCGCTCGCCATAGCATTCTGGGTAACGAGTAGCCGATAGATGATCCAGAATTGTGCACAGTGCTCAGATCCTACGAAAAGCCGATGACGATAGCAGAAGTGTCACCAATGATGGCAAATATTATTCGGTGATTGATCGGATTCCGACGGGACCCCGAGAGGGGATCGGCAGGGGTGATTGGAATTCATGCGGAGAATGACCTGATAACCACTTCGCTTCTCCTCTCAAGCGACCAACGAACGTGGACTAAACAATACAAGTCACACAGCAATGCATCTGGCAGTTTCTGCACGGTGCTTGGGTTCATTTCAGTGGTCGACGCTTGCCTTCCGCGGAAACACAGCGGATGTAACCTTCATCTAAGTGTTTCGAGACATTGCCGCAGACGGACTGATCGTCGCTCATTCGAGCTTGACCCTGGCAGAGTACGTCCTGTGGCTTGACACCAGCTGCACAGAATATATTATCATGAATGGTGCCAAGCTCCGTCAAGCAACACAGCTTGCACCATTCGGCCGTCCCCGCCCGCCTTCGGGACTATTTATTCATGATCGCCCAGAGTGTCGCACAAGAAGCTCTCATCACAAGTTTGCAATTGTCCTTTGACCCAGATTGCTGCGATGAAGTTTCTTGCCACTTCTTGGCTACTGTCCACCTTGTTGGTGGGCGTAGCGCAGGCCGTTCCCCATGTACAGCGAGACACGGTATCCAAGGTCGTCAAGAGGGGGATTGAGTACACTGTCTACCATCATGCAGCCACTGGAGCGAATCTGGAGATAGTGAAGAACTCCGGAATCTGTGAGACCACACCCGGGGTCAACCAGTATTCTGGCTACCTCTCGGTAGGAGAGGACATGAACATGTTCTTTTGGTAGGAGATGCAATCTTCGTCCGGGTTCTAGCTAAGCTAACGGATCGCCTTAGGTTTTTCGAAGCCCGCCACAACCCCCAAACGGCGCCTTTGACGGCTTGGTTCAATGGTGGGCCTGGTTGCTCGTCTATGATCGGGTTGTTCCAGGAGCATGGACCGTGCCGATTTGTCAATAACGAGACGACGCCGTCCTTGAACCCTTACAGCTGGAACACCTACTCAAACATGATCTACATTGATCAACCCATCGGGGTAGGATTCTCATACGGCAACGATGCTGTGAACAGCACAGTCACGGCTGCACCATTTGTATGGAAGCTGCTGCAGGCATTTTTCGCCCATTTCCCTGAATATGAGAGCCGCGAGTTTAATTTGTTCACTGAGGTATGTTGACAAGCTAATTGGCTTCGCGACTTATTCAGAAGTCTGATACTCATGCAGTCATACGGTGGGCACTATGGTCCTGAATTTGCTCACTACATTCAGCAACAGAATGCTGGGATTAAGACGGGCGCTGTTACTGGCGAGACTATTAATATCGGATCTCTGGGAATCAATAATGGCTGGTTCGACTCCACGATCCAAGAGAAGGCTTACATCACCTATGCCTTGCAAAACCCCTACCGTCCCTTGATTAATGCCTCTGCCGGGGCCAAGTACTACAAGGATTACCAGGAGTACTGCGTCCCAGCCATCCAAAAATGCACAACTTTGGGGACAAACGCTGCGTGCATCAAAGCTGGCGACATCTGTGGCGACCTGATCGACGACCCAATCATGGAAAGTGGTGATTGGGATGTCTACGATGTGCGTGAGCCTTCGAATGACCCTTATCCCCCCGAGACCTACTATTATTACCTGAACAATGCGGCCGTGCAGCGCGCGATCGGAGCCCGTCAGAACTACTCCGAATGTCCTGATGCTCCGTATTATAAGTTTTCTGCCACAGGTGATGGTATGTCGAGACAATCTTCATTCTTCCAACATGCACTGATGATGGTTCACTAGGCACGAGATCTTTCCTCGCGACCCTCTCCGACGTGGTTCAGACTGGCATCAATGTTCTGCTCTGGGCCGGTGATGCGGACTGGATCTGTAACTGGATCGGCGGGTTTGGAGTCGCCAACGCGGTAGAATTTGCCGGCCAGGCGGCTTTCCAGAACAAGACTCTCCAGCCATACAAGGTGAATGGGACGGAGAAAGGCACTTTCAAGACGGTCGGCAACTTTACCTTCCTCCGCGTGTATGAGGCAGGTCACGAGGTTCCCTATTACCGTAAGTCATCACCAGCCTTTCCGACGGAGCTTTTAATTGTTGACTTGATTTTCACGTACAGAGCCGGAGACCGCCCTTCAGGTGTTTTCCCAAGTCATCAAGAAGGTGCCCCCTTTTTCCACTTGATGGAGCGGTGAGTTTATGTGGTCGAATCCAATGCTATTGGCCAATGCAATGATCACGGTGGCGGGGCCTCGTGCGCAAGTGAACACGAATTGAATCTCCTCGAATTGCGGAGGCGGGGAGCCAAGAGATTCGGCGACGGACAAGAAGATTGTGCATACTCATACTAGCCGAACGATTTATCAACAAATACTTTCCACAATATGAATGACGAAGGAATATCCTGCGGATAATTTGCATGAAAGGTATGCCGCTTGCGCAGTCGACGGAAAATCATTGGCGCAAGGGACCCAAAGGCCGTGATGGAAAGAGGAGTAGACGTTCATGAGAGAAAGGCTTTGCTGCGACCGCGCTGGAGAATCATCTCAGACAGACAGCCATTGGGCTCTTCGCCGGACTCGATAGATGCATACTGCGTACTCCGTAGCGGTCGGCGACTGGTCTAGTATGTCGGCGACTGAGCAGATGGAGACGGCATAGAAATCCTCGCAGCAAGGCGGTGGGCGGCAGACGCGCGACGCGACCATCGCGTTGCGCATGGCTCCGGGTCAGATGAGCTGGCACCAAGATTGCAGCCCCGAAAAAGCAACGGACTGCTGCGCGATGGGTTGTTCTGTTGCTGGAAGATGGTCGCATGCTGTGACTAATCAATTGAAATAGGCCTATAACTAACGGAGTATTAGTATGGAAAGATGAGTCAGGGGTGGCTGAGGAGCTGAGGAGTGGTTGACTCACCGATCCGGAGTAACTACGGAGTACAGTACCGTCCGTCTGCAGTACTCCGTAGCAGTATCAGATACAGTTCACTAACTAGGTACTCTCCACGTCTGAACAGAATGGACAACCACAACCTTATCTTATCATCGAGTCATTCTCCATCAGCCCATGTTTCTCTAATCTTTCAAATCCTCTGCCAGTTGGAGACTTTAACTACAACCGGACTAGTGGCCTCGAGCTAAGTGGACATCTTCCAGGGTTCAGTCCACTCGGTGGAGTTCATTCAGTTGGTTCTGTTCAGCCTCGGCCAATCTCTACGGCTCTCGCCCCCACTTGCAGAATGTCCCCCCCGGCTCCAGGCTCCGGCCATGAGTCAATCTTTTTGCACTGCCTGACTTGCTTACGGATCTCACGTTTTCCCCACGCTCTTTCTATCCAGACCAGACCCGTGGATACATATCTGGGGTGATCTTCCATGTTTTTGTCCTGAACCTGAAAAAGTAGGCAGGACTTCCGAATAGCTTCCTTGTGCGACCAGTTGACACACACCATGGAAAAACCACTCCCCGTCGGCTACCGCTGGCGCTCCTCCCGCTCCTTCATCGTGTTCACCGTCACCGTCGCCTTGTTCGCCGAAACCTTTCTTTATGGCTTTCTCGTCCCCATCCTGAGCTACATGATCGAGGTGCGGTTGGGGATCGACCCGTCCGAGACCCAGCGCTACATGACCACTTTGTTGTCCATGCACGGCTTCCTGGGAATTGTGGCTGCCCCGATCATCGCCCACTTCGCCGACAAGACCCCCAACCGCAAGATCCCTCTCCTGCTGGCCCTGGGTGGCTGCTTCGTTGGAACCGGGCTCGTCGCTTCGACTCTCAATGGTGAGTTTGATCTTGATCCTTGACTTTGCTCCATCGCGATGAGGCGGCGATGCTAACTGCTGGACAGTGGCTGCGCTTTTCGTCGGGCGCACGATGCAGGCAATCGCCGGGTGTGCTGCCTGGGTGGTGGGACACGCCATGCTGACCGATCACATCGATGCCGATCATCTGGGGAAAACATTGGGTCTCGCGATGACTTTTGTCACGGCCGGAATTATCTCCGGACCGACCGTGGCGGGAGCGATGCTGGAACTCTTCGGATACTGGGCAGCCTGGTCGGTTCCGCTGGTCGTGCTGGCGGTGGACATTGTCGCCCGGTTGATTATGCTGGAACCTGATCGATCCAGCCCTGTCCCAGCTGCGACACAGGATGAAACCACGGGTCTTCTGTCGGATAGCTCCGAGGGCCAACCGACCCAAGGCGACGCGGCTTCGACCAGCACCAGCACCACTCTCACCGATGCCTCCTCCCCTCGACATTTCTACCAGATCATGCTGAGTGACGGGCGGGTTCTGGCCGGCCTGGCGAATACCTTGTTGATGTCCTCGATCTTTTCCGGCTTCGAAGCCACGCTCCCGCTGCACCTCCGGGACGTCTTCCACTGGGGCAGCTTGCCGACCGGAATGATGTTTTTCTGTCTGCAGATCCCCTCGTTCTTCCTCTCCGCGGCCGCCGGTTGGATGCGGGATCGCCAGGGACTCCGTAATCCGACAGCGCTGGGCTGGTTCACGTTGGCGCCTCTGCTGTGGCTGTTGGGCGTGCCCGGCGACGACAAGTTCCCCTGGGCCAGCGCCGATACCAACGGCAAACCGATCTTCGTCACCACCATGCTCGGCTTTGGTCTATTCTCTATGCTAGTTCGCGGAGCGGGCAGTCTGCAGGTTACTTGTGAGTGAGAGGCGTTTATTCCCTCGCCCAGGACATGTGCTAACCAAGAATAGGGGTCGTCAAGGAGAAACAGACGAAAGACCCGCTTATCTTCGGACCGCATGGAGGTAGCTCGCGCGCCTTCTCCATTGTGGAAATGGCCTTTGGGACCGGCTCGATGATCGGGCCCTTGATCGCCGGGTCGCTGTCCGAGACCGTCGGCTATTATTACTCGACCACGGTGTTTGGTGAGTGTTTCCCGCTCTGATGGCGCATAAGCCGACAAGCACGCTAACATTTCCCTTGCTTTCAGCCATCACCTGCCTCGCGCTCTCCGTGGTGACCTACAAACTCTTTGACAGCAAAACCGCCAAACCTGCCCGACCGGCGGACTCGAACGCTTAGACGAGTTAGAGCACGCTTATGGATTGATTATGACGACAAGCATATACAATAGACGATGGAGACGGAAATAAAAGTTTGTTTTGGCTGCATCGGTTCATAAATGTATAATGAATTCGCCTTCTTTCGTCGCTTGTTTTCGTGCAATTGTAGTCGTGGTGAAACGGGGATGGTACTAGATAGTCGAAGTCAAAATCCATACTTCCTAGTATAGTATCGCGACAACCGAGAGTACAGTTTAGTCTGTGCATTTCCGGAGTGGAACGTGCGTTATCTTGTCAAGATGGCCTTGAATGCCTTTAACGGTCGCGGTGGCCCGGGCGGAGGAGGGCGGAGAGAGCCCTTTATGCCCTTCATAGCAACACGCTGTCGGGTATTCTCCTTGAGAAGTTTTGATCATAAGATAGGTATCCCTGGCGACGATGCGGCAAAAATTGAAATAAAATAAAACATCACCCGTCCTGGTATATAGCGAGGATCAGGATTGCGGCATGAAGGAGATTCGACAGTGTGTTGCAGGGTGTAACAGCCGGCTCGAGCGTTGAGACAGTGTCGGATTCCGACCGAGACAAGCAGAGCGTGGATCAGGGGAGGATGGATGGATGTAAATATCCTCATCACTACTATTTACGCCTGGAGGCCCGGGTTTGCGACACCCCGGGTTTGGAGAGACTTCACGTCTACCGAATACCTCAGTAGGGTGGGCGGTGCTTCGACTTCGACTTCAAGGGGCGACTCCACTGGAGGAGTACTGCAGCTGCAGTGGCCTGCAGTGAATGTAGTAGCCCTAAAAGGGGGGAGGGGGTGGAAGTAACTACAGTACCCGATCTGACTGGATGAACACCACAGAACCACAGATATGACGGCGCTTGAGTTCTCTGCCTGATTGTCTTTGAAGGTGGATAGAATCATCCATATTAATAGAAGTTGTCCCAGTGCAAATTAGATTTTCTCCTTCTTGAGTCTGGGCGCAGTCAAAGTGGATCTGGAGGTGGGAGAAATGCGCCAAATAAAAATATAAAAAAAAGGGGGGAAATCGGGAGGGGCCAAGCATCTGAAACCTCACCATTCCGCAAAGGAATGTCGCTGGGTGCTCTGCGGTGTTTCATTTTCCCCTTAGAACGGTTTGCCAAGTCCCCTTTTTCCCAAACCTTTTCTACTCTTTAGTTTTTCTAGAACTGCGATCCATCCTCCATCTGTCTTCCCCTTCCCTTTTCCCCTCCTGATTTTCTTGGGTCCGTTGGTGTGTCTTTCGTTGGTAGACTTCCCCCCTCCTCCAGGCTCCTCCTCAAATCAATTCTCTTCTCTCCCGTACTCTGTACCTTCGCGCCTAGGTACTGTTGCTACCTCGTACCTATCTATCTACACACCACCTGCAGCCCAGCATTTAGCACCCAGCCATCAACAACCAGCAGTAGCTCTTGATCCAATGGCGTCGCACCACTCCCTCCTACACCTGGACTCGAAACGAGCCCTCGCTGCGATGGCTTCCTCGCTGCATCTCTGGACCCGCAGCGACTGCGACTCGAGCGACAGTACTTGCGGGGAGAAGCCCGTCAGCAATTTTCTCAAGAGCGGTGTTCCGGGCATTGTCACTGGCGTGTAAGTGCTATCCTTTCCATCTTCAAGCTTTAATCGCAAAGAGGACCATCGATTGATGTCGACTAGGATCGTACTGGGTGCTATCGTGGTGTTCGTCGTCTTGCATTTCCGCAACAAGAAACGCGATGCGCGAGAAGATCAAGAGATTCGCAAGTGGAACGAGGTCAACGTATGACCACGCTGCCTGTCCTGCCAGCCGATCTCCCCGCGACGATGCTATTATCTGGTCCGTGGCGGGGAACGTCTGGCTTTTCCTTCCTCCCACTCTCACATACCACCTACATACCCCTGTTTCTCTCTCTCTCTCGTATTATGATTGAATTTGTCTGGTTTAGTCGTGTTCTTTGAGCTCCGTCGCATCTCTCTTTTTATTTCGTGTCATTCTACATTCAGCCACTGCATGACCGCCCGTCTCGTGGTCACAACGACGCGATATCGAACTGGTTTGGCATCTTGATCTGGGTTTCTTGGTGATTTGGGGTTTCTTCCTTTTCCGGAGTTGGGGTTCTCGGTCGTGGGTCGCAGGCCAACCATTGAACATGTTCTTGGTCCCTGTTTTCGGTTGAGGGTTTGGTCGTGTTAATTTCCTGCTTCGACACCTACGGCTGGCCGGCTAGACGGATGCGTCCGATGGTCCGCCGGCTTGTACTATATTGCGATGGGTCTGTGAAGCAATTAGTTACTTGGGTGCGGGCCATCAGCTCTACGCTGTGTACATAGTTGTATTGTATATTCTATCCAACTGCCATTGGGCCATCAACAATGCCGATGAGCATACTGGCCCAGTTGGCGATCCTGTTTCTACTTGTGATAATCCTTGATTCTTTGAGACGGCATGCCTGTGGTGTGGTGTGGTGTTGATGGTTCCGCGTGCGAACTGCTCTGGAATGCGCGTCTTCCGGATGCGGAGACAACTACCCCATGATTCCAGTTCCAGCACGCCGGAAATAGACGCGGATTGGCCATCAGTAATGTTGTGCCATGCTTGGACATTCCCGTCGACCTTGAATGACAGCCCCCTCGGAAGGGACCGCAGCTTGGGACTGTGCCTGCGGAGTCTGGAGATGTGGGGTAGCTTAGTACTCTGTGACTTAGTCTGGCCTTAATTCACTCTTCACTAACACGTGACATCGTCCCAACATGCCAATGTCGACGATGAGTTTATGCCAAGTAAGAACCATCAGCATGATATCATAGTTATATCGCATCCTACAAGAAAAGGACTAATCTGTCGAACAACCCCGCGGATAAATTGGACCCCTCTTGCACTAACATGCAGCCATCAGCCTGCAGTCCTCTGATTAGTGGGATAGACACTCTCCGCCGTAGCCCTAGTCCCGTAGCTGCAGTGCAGACCAGAGCTGGGCCTGCATGATCACTACCTGTAGCTCATGCAATATCCTCCGCTTAAATAGCCACGCTTATTACCCAACAACCCATCGCAATGAGTCAATGTGAATTATATCTTCTGCAACTCTCACCATGCACCCCCTCAAACTCCTCCTCCCCTGCCTCCCCTGCCTCTCTTACACCCACGCAACACCCTTCAGTTTCAACCCCTCCACAGTATCATGGCACACCGCCCCGGCCACAAACTTCACCACCACCCTCCCTATCGGCAACGGCCGCCTCGGCGCCGCCGTCTGGGGCGGCCCGGCCATCGAGAACATCACCCTGAACGAGGACTCCCTGTGGAACGGCTCGTTCGTCGACCGCGTCAACCCGCACGCCTACGGGGCGTTGGCACCCGTGCGGCAACTGCTCGCTGGTGGCGACATCACCGCCGCGGGCCAGCGCACGCTGCGCGATATGGCGGGGGTTCCGGCGTTGCCGCAGTCGTATAGTGCGTTAGGGGCGCTGCAGTTGGATTTTGGGTTCGGGGAGGGCGAGGTGGGGAATTATACGAGGGCGTTGGATTTAAGGACGGGGGCTGTGGCGGTTGAGTTTGAGGTTTCTGGGGTTGCGTTTCGGTGAGTTTGCTCCTGCTCCTGATTTGGGATATGGAATTGGGGTGGGGTACAAGGCAGGGCTGATGGGGGTAGGCGCGAGTATGTGGTCAGTTATCCAGATGATGTCCTTGCGGTCCGGCTTTCGAGTAGTCAGCCTGGGGCGTTGGATGTCGTTTGTTCGTTGGAACGCGCGGTGTTTGTGGTTGAGAGGAGTGCGAATGTGGATAGTGATGGGGTAGGGAGGTTGGTTTTGAAGGCGAATTCGCTGGAGGAAGAGAGGGGGCCTATTCGGGTTGCTTCTGAGGCAAGGATCGTGGCGTCTGGAGGTGAGGATTACTTACTATATGTGGTTGAGTCGGGGGGGGGGGGGGGGGGGGGTGCAGGATGCTGATGCTGATACTGGTTGTTGTAGGGCAAATTGATGCCAACGGGACCTCCATTGTCGTGCAGGGCGCCTCGACGGTGGATATCTTCTTCGACGCGGAGACCTCCTACCGATACCCATCTGCGAGTCAGCGCGAGGCGGTGCTCGAGCAGAAACTGCAGAATGCGGTCAAACGGGGATTTGAAACTGTGGAGCATAATGCTGTCTCCGACTACGCTGCACTATCGACGCGAGTGGACTTGGACCTCGGGTCCTCCGGCGCCAGTGGCAGCCTGCCGACGGATACGCGATTGCTGAACTATCGGCACAGTCCTGACAGCGATCCAGAACTGGTGACACTCATGTTCCACTTCGGCCGACACTGTCTGATCGCCTCATCGCGCCGCAGCATCAACGCCTCATCCTCATCGCCCAGCCTCCCCGCCAACCTGCAGGGACTGTGGAATCAAGACTACGACCCCGCGTGGGGCGGCCGCTTCACCCTGGACATCAACCTCGAAATGAACTACTGGCCGGCCCAGGTGACCAACCTAGCCGAGACCTTCACCCCCTTCCTCGATCTGATGGACATCATCCTCCCGCGGGGCCAGGCCGTGGCGCGCAGCATGTACCACTGCGACAACGGGGGGTACGTGCTGCACCACAACACCGACCTCTGGGGGGACGCAGCCCCCGTCGACAACGGGACCACCTGGACCATGTGGCCCATGGGCGGCGCCTGGCTGTCTGCCAATCTGATGGACCACTACCGCTTCATTCAGGACACCACCCTGCTCCGCGACCGCATCTGGCCCTTACTGCGCAGCGCCGCCCAGTTCTACGAGTGCTACCTCTTCCCCTTCGAGGGCTACCTGAGCACAGGACCCTCCATCTCCCCCGAAGCAGCTTTCCTCGTCCCAGACAATATGTCTGTGGCCGGCAGCGCCGAGGGCATCGACATCGCCCCCACAATGGACAACGCCCTGCTATACGCGCTCTTCCACTCCGTCCTCGAAACCTGCACCATCCTCCGGCTGTCGTCGAGCGAATGCACTCGCGCCAACCAGACCTTGGCCCGCATCGAACCCCCCCAGATCTCCCCCGCAGGCCGCATCATGGAATGGCGGCTCGATTACGAGGAACAGGACCCCGGCCACCGCCACATGAGCCCCATCGTGGGCCTCTACCCGCTCTCCCAGCTCACACCGCTGGTCAATACAACCCTCGCGGCCGCCGCAAAAGCGTTCCTGGATTGGCGGATTGACAGCGGCAGCGGGAGCACCGGGTGGTCCCGCACGTGGACGATGAGCCTGTATGCCCGACTGTTCGACGGCGCGGCCGTCTGGAACAATACCCAGATCTATTTGCAGACGTTCGTCAGTCCCAATCTGTGGAATACGGACTCCGGGCCCGATACAGTGTTCCAGATTGATGGCAATTTCGCGTTCACGGCGGCCATTGCCGAGATGTTGGTGCAGAGTCATGCGGGCGTGGTGCACTTGTTGCCCGCGTTGGCGGGGAAGGTGGCGACGGGGTCGGTGAGGGGGTTGGTGGCGCGTGGGGGGTTTGTGGTCGATATTGACTGGGAGGACGGAGGTCTGAAGGAGGCGAGGATTGTTTCGAGGAGTGGAGGGGCGTTGAGAGTTAGGGTGCAGGATGGTAAGGTGTTTAGGGTCAATGGGGTGGTTTATACGGGGCCAGTGGAGACTGTTGTTGGGGGCGTTTATGTGGTTACCTCTGTGTAGGTCGGATGGGAGCTGTATGCTTGGGAATTGAGATGAAGTGAGTTATTGTTTCTCTTACCCAAGCTTCTATATAGGCCGTAGTCTCTGGCTGGTGACACGAACAGGGATCTATTGATCCTGATTAAAGGTATATATATACTAGTAATCACGGCACGACCCAATGCAATGCTATAAACGAGCATCTGTGTCGGGAAGGTACACATAATAGTCACCATTCTTATGTATATCCTATACTTAGTACACTATCACTCCCACCCAGCAATCACAGCCGACTCGACTTCTGCCAGACTCGCTCATCAGGCATATCCTCCGCCACCGCCGCAGGCAATTCAGGCTCCGGCAGCTCCAGGGTCCGCGCAGCCTCCCGCGCCGCCCAGAAGCCCGTCACAAACGCCAGGGCCAGACCCCCAGCATACCCGCGGTTACTGAACCCTCCGGCATCGACACCCGCAATCAACAAGCCGGGGATCGCAGTTCTATCCGCGCTGAGAGCACGGCCCCGCGTGTCGATCTGGACACCCCCGTAGGTGAATGTGATTCTATAGATGATTAGATTTAGTTCCACCCTCGCATATTCGTTTGGGGTGCTTACGACGGCTGCACTTCCATTGCATAGAAAGGTCCCTCGCCCTCAATTAGAGGGCGGGGAGCCACGCCCGCTGTGCCGGTGGGTGCATTCAGCAATACCTCCCGGTTGCCCAGGCGGATGCGACTGTCGTAATTCTCAAGCGTCTGCCTCGCTTGAATGCCATCAACGCCCCATGATTCTAGTTTCGTGATCAGGTCCGCGATGGAAGTAGCACTGACGACATTACACCCATGGTCACGGGCCTTCTGTAGGCGATCGATGTCTCCTGCGTTCGGGAACAGGGCGGAGACGCAGTGCTGGAGTCGTGTTTTGTCGCTGCAGAAGTTAATTAGCTTGTATCATTCTAGACCAAGGGGCGAGCTCACTTGAAGAGGAGGAACCCCCGTCTCCCCTCTTGCTTGGCGAGGTATTGGTTGACAATTTCGTCCCCGATGCTTTCGTCGACGAACCTACGTCCGCCCCGGTTGATAAGGAGACAGTACTTGCTCTCTGGTCATGTCAGCGCCCATATAAGGGATTGATGCAGTGGAACGTACGGTACTGCGCCAGGGCAAGAAAGTCCTTTGGATTCACATCCTCAGCCCGTACGGGCGCAGCCAGGAGATGGCCGTAGTAGGTGCCCATGCCCCGACTCGTACCTGCCCCCGCCGCTGACGCCAGGGCCAGTCCATCACCCACGGACCCTTTGTTCGATCGCACAAAGATGTTGTCCCCCCCAGGACCCAGATGCGTAGACGTGAGTTGTGCAGAGCCCTGGAATCCCCCCGTCGCCAGAACAACCACCTTCGCGGTCACTTTGCAGTATTGTACCTCCTCTTCCACGGGGCCAGGCGTGCGAATGATGGCTCCGACAATGCGGGACCCTGCGACGCCAGGGTGCTCCTGCAGGAGTTGGACCACGGAGGTGTTGGTCAAGATCTTGGACTGAGTCTGGCTGTCGCGGATGCGCTGTTGGTAGTATCGGTGGAGATGCGGGATATTGATCGGGAATCCGATGCCTACAGTTATGAGAGCCGTTAGCGTCTTGTTTGCATGCTGGTGGCAGGAGGCAGGGAAAGCCTGACCAATCGTCATAATCCCGTCGAACCGTTGCGATGTCGGGATTCCGTTCACGCGCATCCACTGCACTGCACGGAGATAGTCTGCGAGCCATGCTTTTTGTAAGGCAGGATCGCCTTCGGGAACCCAGGCGCGCAGGCTCTCGTAGTTGCGTGGTCCCCAGCTGGGGGTTCGGTTGTTAGTGCTCGCGAGCGGAACTCTTCTGATCAAGGTGGATGCGCTCACAACATGCCGGCGGAGTAGTTGGAGGATCCTCCGACAGTGGCCTGCTTCTCGACTACCAGCACTCGAGCGCCGGCGGAGGCGACGAAGGCAGCGCAGGCCAGCCCAGACATTCCTGCTCCGCATACCAGTACGTCCACCTCGATTGACTTCATTGTGCTTTGATAGGGTGTGGGTTGTGATACTTTGTGGAATGTAAGGCAAGAAGTGGTGGAAGGTGGAAGGTGGAAGTAAAATACTAAATACTAAATAAGTTATGTCCCGGTTGTACAGTACCTACTTAGTAGTATACAACCAATCCTCCGGCCACTAAAAGAAAGGACCGGTCCCGTGCCCGCCCGGCCGCTCACTAGAATATCGCCGGCAGTTCTTCCTCTTCCCCACATCTTCCCCTCTTCCCCTCATCCTCATCGTCACCCCAGGCGCCACCAGACATTTCACCATTTCACTTCGGTTGTCAATTTTAAGACCCGGTCTATACTGGTCGTTGTACCCGTGTTTCATCTGGTTCTCGATCAGGATGGTGCCCACCAGCGCCAACGAAGGTCCAACCACCCGGCAATCTACCCGGCCCGTGGCGCCATCGGCGTGTGAGGCATGCAGGAAACTTAAGGTCAGTCTCATCAAACCAACACTGGAGCACTTGATCTGATAGAACAATGATTCAGATGCGGTGCACTCGGAACAACCCCCTCCACAACTCACCGTGCGATCGCTGCATGCGCAACCATCGGCCCTGCCGGATTCCTCCAGCGCGGCCTCTGGGACGCAGACCCGGGGCGGTGGGCCGCTTCCAAGGCATCGAGAAAGCATACCGGAAAATCCAGGCAGAACTCAGGAAGGGACCGACCCTGATGCCTAAGGCTGCCACGCCATACAATACCCAGTCATCGAGCCCCAGCGTATGCGAACCGGATGATGGGCCCATTTCGGCCAATCCCTTGAACAGTTCCTCCCATCTTCCCTCCGAGGGGCTCCCGGATGGCCCTTCCCAGCCCATCAGCAATCCCCTTGCTTTGCTAGCGGACGCATCTGAGGCTGTGCATGCGGATGCCTCTCAAGCATCAAAGGATAATACCCGTGAAGGAAGAGAGAGAGAGTTACTATCTCGGTCCGGATGCGTCTCGTTGGGTCTTCAGCTCAGTCGAGAGAGTCTGGAGACTGGTCTGGACACTCTCTTTGCTTCCTCGGTCAAGCCTGGGCGAAGCTCAGACTACTTCAAACCGCCCGATCCCAGCGCTTTTCGCGACATTGGACCTGATCTTGACCCGGTAGAGCTAGGACTGGTGACCATGGAAGAAGCTCACTTTTTCTTCCCGATGTCTGTGCTCACCGCACGTTCACTGCGATCTGAGGCTGACACGATATAGTTACTTTGCTCGACTGCACCCTGTCAACGGCATCTTGGATCCCTTACTGCATACCCCGGAATATGTCCGGTCGCGGTCCGCTCTCCTCTTCACCTGGATCTTGGCTCTTACCGCGCAGTTCGCGAGCACTCAGTCTTCATTGGCAAAGCGACTTCAGTTGCATGGAGAGAAGCTTTCCCGACATGTGCACACCTGTGGCTTGAAATCGGTGGAGATCGTCCAGGGGTATTACATTTCCTTACTCTCCGCAACCCCAGCGAAGACATTAGCCGAGGAGAGGACTTGGCTCTACACCATGTATGCATTTGGGACCGCTGCTGAACTCGGGTTGGATCAACACTCGCGGCCGCGCGGAAGGGTCTTCGTAACCTCCGGTGAAGACCAAGCCCATGATGCTGGGGTTCGCCTTGAAGAGCAAGACCTACAATGCCCACCGGGCTTTGGCAATGAACATCACGCCGAGAGCACATATTACCAGCGGCTTACCAGAAACCGGGAACGCACTTGGTTTCGGATATTACTCTGGGAACGAGCAAACAGTGCTGCGCGTGGCCGCATCAACCCTATTCCCGACACGAAGCTCATCGCGGGTATTGAAACCTGGTGGAAACATCCGGTAGCTGATGCAGCCGACAAGCATACGTGTGCTTTTATCCTACTGCGCCGCCGTCTGGCTTCAATCCATGCCGAATTACAGGCACACGCTGCCGCTCCACCGGATGATCCGCACTGGATGAAAAGACTCGTTGACGAGAGGCTACAGAGGTGGTGCGACGAGTGGCTTCCCGTGCCATACAATGCAGCCAAACCGTCCGAGCAACTTGCCTCGATATTCCTCTACTATGTGTACCTGCACAATCGACTCTGGATTCTGTCGTTTGCTCTTCAGGACTCGGAGAACCGCACCGGTAATAGACACATCGAGGCCATCCGACAGGACTGTCTTCAAGCGGCGGTTCATACCTGCGAGGTCGCAGTCCGCGACCTGCAGATGGTCGGCGAGCCCCTGTATTGCATGCTCGCGCCCACGTGGGCGATGATCTCATACGCTGCGGTCTTAGCACTGAAGCTCTTTCATCAGGTGCATGGTACTCAACCGGCAGGGGATATAGAGCTACTCGCCCTTTTGTCGCAGGTGGCTTTGCAGCTTGAGCGTGCCGGAACCACGCCGCCCCATCGCTTTGGTATCGCGGCCTTGCTGGGAGAACACCTTCTGGGCATTCTTAGGACTAGGGCTGCATTGACAAGAGGTGTTCAGCAGAGTGTGGTGGAAGATTCCTTGCCGAGGTATGATTCAGGGCATCCTGCTGCGGCACTACCGGAAGACTCGGGTAATCTGGCTATCTATAATGCGCAGGAACCAGTCTCCGACCCCTGGTTCACAGATGCCTCAGCAGCGATGAGCTACGACTTGACTGAGGATAGTTTCGGTGATATGTTCCGGGAAATTTTCGGTCCCGGCTTTGCGGATTCCTTTTGATCGCATTTCCTGCCGATGGGTGACAGCATGCAGCTACTGCATGAGAGAGTGCCAACCTTGCCACAATAATGCTTCAAATCAAGCTATGGCCTGTTTGGCTGCAATTGAGTTTGCTTAGGCAGGTTTCAGGTGCGTATTTGAGTTTGTCAAACCTGCTATACATTCAGCACTTCGACCTACAGGCCTAAGAGACAGAAGACCTCTTCTAGCCGCTTTTATCTTGACGCGGTATTATGGAGATCGAGCACAATTGCCAACCGCTATGGATCCCAAGTCAAGAGCCAAGTGCATGATGCACCATCGCAGCAATGACCTCGGCTAATTCAATTCTTCACTCACTGCCCTCAGGCTTCAGCACCCAAGGGATGAATCCAGGCGCAAAGCCGTCTTCTGTCACCCCATTACCAAAGCTCGCATACTTTTGTGCCGGGTCCTCGAAACAGAGGTCAAAATCCTCCCAACGAACGATTTCCGTGGCGGCATAGTAGTGGTGGTTGGTCCCCGGCCATGGAACCACTACTCGCCCTTCATTGTTTTTGTCTACTAGCGTATTAGCAATTGAGACACCCTGCAATCGACAAAATTATACTCACACCATGAGCTGCATGAATCAGACCACGGCATGTCAGGCATGCAGGATTGAGCCCAGCGGACAAAGTCATGTTGCGCTTTGGGCTTGACACTGACTGAGCGAAGGCAGTCAGTCTGCAGTCGTGTCAGGATCCGAATGATGTAGTCTGACGTCCGTTCAATCCCCGGGATGACAGAGCCGTTAACAGGGCAAAGAGGTGGATGGAAAACTGCAGTGCTTACGAATCAGCTAAGGATCAGCCCTTTCAGGAAGTGGAAAATTTGAGGCCAAACGAACCAAAGAAATTGGGGAATCCAGCCACCATGCTTGCCATATAGCTCTCGCAGTCGCTTTGCGGACCCCAGCAATTGTTCAAACTTATTCCACCCCGTCCGATCACTGGAAAGCGAGAGGCGTAGGGCTCAAAACCCGTGGCGCAAACGACAACATCGCAATCGTACTCCTCTCCCGAGCACGTCCGCACGCCAGTCTCAGTGAGGCTGGCGACATGATCTTGAACTAGATGTACATGTTGCTGCTGCATGGCCTCGATATACGAATCGCCGATTGTCCATCGCCGACACGCTGGGGCAAAGTCCGGTCGAAGCATTTTTCGAAGGTTCGGATCCTCGAGTCTGTGATCGTAGTAGGATTCCACCCGCTCTCGCATTTCGTGATGCGCTGGGGTATTCTTCCACAACACACGAAAACCAGATGCGATCCGCCGCTCGAGCTGGATGCGATACTTGTGGTACACGTCGGGGTTGTTCGCAAATTCAAGCTTCTCTTCCTCGGTGACTGGAATGATCGTTGAGACGGGTTTCGTTCTGCGAAGCAGTCCTTACGTACACTTTTTGTTGTCATCAAAAAGACCAGGACCGGCCCACGTTGGGCTTTGACAGAAGTTGAATAGCTCTGCAGCTTCTGCGCCATTTGATCAGCGATCGCATAGCAAGGTCTATGTTCTGGGAAGGACTCACCATACTGCAGGGCACCGACGCATTGCATTCCACTGGAGCCGTTACCCAGAACAGCGACTCGTTTGCCCGATACTACCAGGCCCTCTGGCCAGCTTGCTGTATGGCAGATTGTGCCGCGAAATCCAGCCCTCCCGTCAAAGTCGGGGACTTTGTAATTGTTCAGCCGCCCAACTGCATAGACTAAGACATCCGCCTCGACGACGGTCTCTTCCTGAGTAGACTCATGCTTGAACGTGGCGATCCAGACCGAGTTTCTCTCGTCCCATGTTGCAGATACGCATCGTTGTTGATGGCGAATATACTTCGCTACCCCATGGTCGGCAATCACCGAGTCCAAATAGGCGCGTATCTCGGGCGCGGAGGCATACAACGTAGACCAGCGGGGATTGGGCGCCCAGCTATACTGATACCCATGGGCTGGAACATCACACGCGCATCTACAGCAAGAGTTAGTGTGGTGTCGCGACCGCTGGGATGGGTCAAAGTGTTCGCATGCAAGGTGAACCGTACCCTGGGTACCGATTCTCGAACCAAGTGCCGCCGGCGCCTTCTTGTCGTAGATTTCAAGATCTATGTTCCTCATTCGTGAGGTGAGATCGTGCGCTATTTGGATCCCGGATATTCTGTTTCAAGACACGGAGTCAACGAAAGATCTCAAATGCGAAATACCCAAGATAGGATAGAACCCACCCAGCGCCAATGACAACTACCCTCAATCGACGGGGCATGAACGCCGTTGGACTTACAGTCCCATGTGTCATTTTCACCAGAGTTGTATCGGCATTTGCTTGCTAGCAAGTTCGTAACTGCTACTATGTTGTTGAGTTGAGATGGATCTCCGGCAATGTAGTTATCTGCGCTCGAACAATCACTAGATTCTGGGATGAACTCAAATTCGACTGTATCCATAGTGGATGATTTCATGAATCTCTTATTCTGCTATCCTTGCTTGTGTCAACAAGGCGATGCTTGTGGTCGACTGTCAACAACTGGAACGGCCGAAAGTCTAAGGTAAGTGCGATGATAGACTTTATTACTTCATCACTTGTGTTTATTTACACTTGTTCCCTGCTCCAAGTTGAGAGAACCCAGTGCCTTGATCATGCCTGGCAATAGTTCTTCCATGCTAGTGCCACAAAAGTCTTGCTGATTTTCTGGCTGGAGCAAGGCGGGCAGCAGCCTTCAACCATCTGCCACACAGGCTCTTTTGCTGGAGTCAATCACAGGTCGTTCAACACGGGACGAAAAGCGTAAGAGGCTGTTGCTGTTACTTCAGCACGACGGAACCTAGATCCTGCCTCCCTCTGCATATAGCCTGTTCCTCGGTGAGAGCTGCTTTCGAGCCTTCTTCAATTCCTGGATGCAAACAACATCTTTCCATCCAAACTCGCAGATCACTTGTTCAGAGCCCCACAATTATCTGTACCTCATCGAGAACTACCGAGATTGTCGTCAAGATGCCTCGCCAGCCCACTGGTGCGCGCCCTCCATAGTGGATGTTCGAGCAATCACAAATGCCAGCGCGATGACATCCTGACTAATGGTCTGCCCAACAGTGTTGTCGATCTTCGCTTGCCCTGTATCATTCGTATACTACATCCAAGTGACGTAAGAGTGGATGTAGTCCTGTGCTTGCCAGGTTGATGGCTCAGAGACCTGGATGATGCGAATGAATCCGGACATTCAAAAGGCCTGGATGTACCTCCGGACTTTTGCCCTCCGTCTGGCTTGAACTCTCGATTCCTTGCATGGGGTGCTATCCTACATAAGCAGTCTTGTCCCTGCATGGTCTGGTGCCTTATTACGGCTATGCGATCGCATTCCCATCGCTTGTTTGTTTCTCCAGTGGTGAAGATGCGCAGCGCCGGAGCTGCTTGCCTCTGATATCACGAGTCGTTCAAATCACTGTTCTGCTCTCTAATCTACCCAGAAACCTCACTGTCTAGGCGAAAGGTGACTCTCGTTCAAGTCGCGGAAGGAGCCATTCCCAAGCATGAAGCTGATAAGGCGAAGGCGGCTGCCGAGGGAGGGGAGGGGGGACAGATATTGTGCGAGACTACAAATTCCGCTGCTACGACAATGTCCTTCGCCCAGAAGGGCAGCAGCAGTCGATCTTTGCCCTAATCCAGACATAATAATCTTCCTTTCAGTCGTCTGAGTGGATGCGACCCTGGCAAATCCGCGATGCAGGAGAAGAGCCTGGGCGGGACCCCAATCACCTGCCTATACAAGCCCTGACTTCACCCTCCTCAATCCCCCTTTTATGGCTCCCAAGCTTTCTCTGTCTCATTTCCCTCGCATCAAACAGACAGCTGGTTGGCACGATGCTCCGACCGGCGGATCCAGCGTTCATTGCGATGTTCCAATCTGACCCAGTCACAGCAGGTCTGTTCTAGGATCATCGGCTGCTCCGACTCAAGCTACGGAATGAGGAGCGAAGTCCGATGAGTTGGATCGAGAAAATACCGATCGGTTGAGATATCGACCGCAATCGTGCCCCTGGTCGTGATAGTGGAAGCACAAATGGGGATTTTTTGACCCATCTCCCCACTCTTGAAGAAATTTACAATGGAACGCGATCAACCCACGAACGGCGATCCGCATGCTAAGCACTGCTGACAGAAAAGCTTTGCGAAGGAGCAACACTGACCGCAACAAAAAATGACAGTTACGACATGAATGATGAAAACACGCATTTTGATGTATCTGGTGGCAAATGGAGAGATATTCGACAAAAGGATTGCCAGAAACAATGACCGGGAAATTGTGCAGGGAAATGCAAAATCGGAAGTACACCGGCATAAATTGATTGATGCCTGCGATCTGAGCTCGGGTTTACCCCCGGTGGAAAACACTGCATAAGCGAAGTCTTTAGCAGTAATTAGGAGCGAGCTTAGCGTGTTCTACGAGTGGATTCCCTGAAGGCGAAGGAGAACCAAGCATTTGTTTTCCGACGCCACCCACGCACACGCACCCACCCACAGCCACTCACCACTCATCGCTCCCCCTTCATCACAACCACTTGGGAAAAAACAGCTTGAGGGGACATAGACCTGGTAATGTTCCTGAATATCGTGCCTCTGGACAGAAATCAGTCTCCATCCATGGATTGACAGACAACGGCTTGTTCATCCACTGATAACAAAAGCCGGATAGAACGGATCCTGGACCTCTCAAAATCTGCACGTCCAATAACAGACCCTCGATCGCATGCTGGCTGGAACCACTCTAACGTCATTGGAGACCACCGATGGAGTCGGGATTCAGGGCACAAGCCATTCACAGCCCATGCACGCTTTCTCGGTGCACTGCACTCCTCAGGAACTCCCGAGATTCTGTTTTCCGAGGGGCCGCCGAAGAAGCCAACAGCCCCACTGGACAATGGGACAATTACGCCAGCACAGGCCCTAACTCCTCTCCGCCTCGACGATCTCTCACATCCCATCTCCCAATCCCAGTCCATCCATCCACACACATGGCGTCATGGAACAATGGCTTGCGACCGGTGGATATCATGTTTAGCCAGGCTCTCTCCTTCACCGCGGGTCTACTGGAGGCCTTGTTGTTGCTTAACTTCTCTTTCCCCCCTTTTTTCTACTCCCCTCCCATCTCAGTATCCGTATACCCTCAACATACCCAATAATCCTCCATCATTCGCAGGGAGACTGGAATTTCTCCCAATCGACGTGGATCACATCCTGAAATTTGGTCAACATGAGTGACGCAGACGCCGGACGCGACTCTGAACGCGACTCCGGACGTCCCCGGGCCAGGGTAAGTGCCTCCAAACAACTCGCTGTCAACAGAAAGTGAAGCTGATCTTGGATTTTCTGCGCTTTAACAGTCCGACGTAGACCGAGTCCGCGAGGAAGCGACCGGGGCATCATCGCCTCCTATTTCGCCGGTCGGCCGCGGTCGCCGTGGCACGATGGACTCGGATTTTATCTCTCCCACTCGTCGCGTCTCCGGTCGTGACGGCGAGCTGGGATCTGGCGTGCGTCGTCGCAGCTCGGCCGCCTCTCGCCGGAGCGGTCGCAGCGGTGGCATTCCCAGTCTGGCTCCGCGGACGACGCTGGCTCAGCGGACGCAGGGCAAGTTCACCGTGGCCGGGCCGGACGACACGCCGCAGCTGCGCCTGGCGCACGAGCCCTTTGTGCAGCCGGGCTACGGTGACCTTAATCCTGCCTACGAGCAGCCCGTGAATGCGCGACCAGTCTGGGGTCTGGCCAAACCCTTGCCTCGTGTGGTGCGGTCGGGCATGGTGCCCACCAAGGAGGAACTGCTTGAAGCCCGCCAGAACGCCCAGTTGCCGGCGGAGAACTCCCAAAAGTATGGACTGGACGTCGACCCAAACGACCTGGAGCAGGGCCAGATCGAAAAGACCACTGACCCGCGCCTCATGGCAGCCCAGGTCGAAGACGCGCGTCTGCAGCGCGAGGCCAACTTCATGAACAAACTCCTGTCGGGCGACACCACCTCCATCCGCGGCTCCCGCATGTCTCGCACCTCGTCCACCCGTCGTCGTCGGTCCTCCGCCGTGGGGTGGGAGGAGCAGCTGTCGACGGTGGCCGAGGGCGAGACGCCGGCCACCAGTATACACGGGGGCGACGACGAGGAGACCGAGGGGCCCTCAGCAGCAGCCCCGCACCGCGGGAGCAACGACCATCGCCCGAGCGATGTTCCACTGCAGCCAGTCCCGGAGGAGCCGGAATGGCACGGCGACGACGACACAGCCGGGGGGTCTCCGCATCTCGACGAGGAGCTGAAGGAAGGGCTGGACGACCTGTCAGCCCTGGAAGACCCAGCTCTGCCGGAGGATCTTCACCCGCTGGTGCAGGAGTTGGTCGAGGACGAAGTTCACAACAACCACACGACCTGGTCGGTGATCCGAACGCACCACCGCGAGGCACTGGCGGAGGCGCTGGGCGTTTTCGTGCAGCTATTCGTCGGCTTTTGTGCTGACTTGGCTGTCACCTGCGCTGACGCGGGAAACCCCAATACGACGGATTGGGCCTGGGGCTTTGCGACCATGATGGCCATCTACGTGTCCGGTGGTATCTCCGGTGCGCACTTCAACCCAGCCATCACCATCATGCTGTGGTTCTACCGTGGATTCCCCAAGCGCCTAATGCCCGAGTACTTCGCCGCGCAGTTCCTGGCGGCCTTTATCGCCGCGCTCTGCGCCTACGGTCTCTACTACGAGTCGATCCACGAGTACCTGGCCTCGAACGCCACCTCCGGCGTCGTCAACAGCTTCGTCACGAACCAGCGATACAGCTGGATTGGCGGGGCGACGGCCTTCTTCAACGAGTTCTTGGGTACTATGATCCTGGTAATTGTCGTGCTCGCGCTGGGTGACGACCAGAACGCACCCCCGGGTGCCGGTATGAACTCGCTGATCGTGGGTCTGATGATCATGAACCTGAGTGTGGCGTTCGCCTACCAGACGGGCGCGGCCTTCAACCCGAGCCGTGACTTCGGACCCCGCCTCGCGCTGCTGGCCCTGGGCTACGGCAGCGACCTGTTCACCAACGCGTACTGGTTCTATGGGCCCTGGGTGGGCGCGATCGGCGGGGCAATGATGGGCGGCTTCCTGTACGACTTCTTCATCTTCACGGGAGGCGAATCGCCGGTCAACTACCCATGGGAGCGGACCGAGCGGGCGATGCGCAAGAGCAAGATGAAGTGGAAGCGGCGGTTGCACCTTTCCAAGGAGGAGACTGAGAAGAGCTGAGTTCTGCTTATGAATCGCAGAGGTCTGCATTCGTGGCTTATGTCTATAGACGAGTTGTGGGATGTTGTAGATATTGTATAGCGCCGTGTTGATGCGTTTGTTTGTTTGTGGGTGCACAGCACCATGGTCGGTTGTTCATTTAGCCTGATTACATCTTAGACTGGATCTCGATACGATACGCCAGACCCTGGGGATCGTGGCTTAGTGGGTCTGTTATAGCATTATTTCATCTGTTATGCTTCAGCTTAATGCCGGTCCGAGAGCATTGCCTCGCCAAACACACTTTGCTTCGTCCGGGTCCAAACTCGGTGGTGATTTCCGCAAATAACATCCAAGCCACCAAAGTATAATTCAAGGTATGGCACTCGTCCCAAGAATCCGCTGGGTTAAGCAATGCCATTGTGAGGTTGCAACCGTTGCATACCTGCTTCCCGCCGGCATTAAAGTGTGGCAACCCTAAGTCGGAGGATTCCCATCCTACCATTCCCAACACATGGACATATTTAGCAACAGACGGAGACACCTCGTGGCAGTCTGTTCCCCGATCCAGCATGGTAGCTTAACAGAGTTGCTAACGGTTTCAATTTGCGCAGGAAAACCGGGTTGGCAGCGCCGCAGAATTCAGACGATGAAGTCACGGGACCCACTTCGACCCCGAGGCAGGCCGTGACGTCACGCTATCATCCGGTCAACACTTCCCTTCTACCATCATTTCTCATGACGCTGTTTCGAGTGCGGCCAGCAAGATTGTGGTGCTTGGCGGGGTCTCGGTTCTCCGGAGGAGGAGGGAGGGCGATATGCACGACTTCAGCCTGATCAACATCGTCTCCGGGTAAATTCTCTCCTGCACAACCACCAACCACCAACCACGACAGCCATCACCGGCAATCACATACCCGAATCGCAACCACAACAACAATACCAAGACCAAGACCACATGGAAAGCGACGAGCCGCATCTCTCGCCGCTGCGACGGTTCACCTCGGCCGTGCGCTGGAGTTGGTACGCCATCTCGCTCAGTTGGGGCGGGATTGCCGTCTTGCTGCACCAGACACCGCACCAATTCACGGGGCTCATCACCATCGGCACGATCGTCTTCATCGCCAACCTAGTCATCTATGCCGTTATTACGGGTTCCTTCATCTTCGAGGCGCTCAGCCCCAGCCCGATCGGCAAGGCCGCCTCGGGGCCCCCGGACTTCCGGACGCGCTGGCTGCACATCCAGCAACTAACGGACTTGTACTTCATCCCGATCTCGCTGCTCGCCTTCGCGGCCATCCTCTTCGGGGTCTCCTACTACGGCACGCCGCACTGCGGCCGATGGCTGATCCTGACGCTCCACGCGCTGTTCTGGGTGTACACGGCCGTCTCGCTCATCCTGTGCATTGTGCTGTCGTGGATCATCCCGCACATGCACACCACCCCGGAGAAGCACTACCCCATCGTGCAGATCCTGCCCTTCTTCCCGCCGATGCTCAGCGGCACGATGGCCGGCATCCTCGCGCCGAACCAGCCCCCTAACCTCGCCATTCCAATGCTGGTGGGCGGCACGACGATGCAAGGCCTGGGCATCCTAATGTTCTTCGTGGTCCTCGCGCAGACGGCGCATACCCTCACGCGCAGCGGTCTCCCCGAGGGCAAATTCCGGCCGGAGATGTTCATCGCCGTCGGCCCGCCGTGCTTCACCATCATCGCGTGGTACGGCATGGCCTCCGCAGCCATCGAGAAGCTGCCGGATTATTACCTGAGTAAGGCCAGCAGCGTGCACACCGCGGACGTGCTGTATATCCTGGCCGTGGTGGCTGGTATCAGTCTGTGGGTGCTGGCGTTCGTGCAGTTCTGGCTGGCCGTGTTGAGTATGGTGGAGGCGATGGCCCGCGGGCTGATTGCGTATGAGTTGAACTGGTGGTGCATGGTCTTTCCGTTGACGGGGTTCGTCCTGTGTACGTGTAATTTGGGCCAGGCGTTAAATTCTCCGGCGATTCTCTGGGTGGGCTCCGCCATGACGATCGGGCAGGTCGCGCTGTGGTTGGTGATTTGTGGGTGTCAGATTGTGGTCTGGGTGCGACGAGGGTGGTAGTTTTGTTTTTTGTTCTGATACTTCGGGGATAAAACTGCTGTGGTTGGGTGTATAAAATTGTGTGTTTCTTTTTTGTTGGTTTTAGCGTCGTTTGGTATATATCTGCATTAGATTGAGCTTGGAGGGGATAGTTGATGATATCCACGTCAGATCTGCATAGCATGTACACTCTAAGCATAATCGCATAAGCATGACCCAGAGAAAGGCACGAGTGGCAGATGTGTAGCTGGCTGAACCTAGGGATGATCTCATACTAAACTATCCCGGGCTCACCTTCTTCCCCGGATTGTCCCAGGATCGATGAGTCCAGGTGGCCGATTTTGACTTTAAAACAGTAGCTCAGGTTCAGGCCATCGTCCTTGACAAATATGGGTCAAGCATAGATATATTGCCTCCATCGATGTCTGAAAAGCGTTACCGTTGTCTGGGATGGGAAATATGGTGTCCACAAGGGGTACGGGGGCTTAAATACTTGGATTAGGGCTGATGGGTGAAGCCCATCAGGGTGGCTGGGGTTTTAAAGTGACACCGGATCTTTACGACAGTAACTCGCAAGTGGTTCAATATCTTTTAAATCCATGGCTAACATGATGGACTTTGCTCCCTGCATCCAGTAAGTTAGTATGTAACCACATCATCAGTACACCAAGTAGCAGTCATTCTCAATCATCCATTCTTGGTTGATCTCAATCAGTTTACCGCAACATATCACTCGAGTGTAGTGAGTACAATATATGCCAAAACAGACATTGAGAATGTGGCTGTCTCCACTGACCATTGTGGATTCAATATGCTCTCCTCATAATACTCATAAGGTCTTTCTAAGTGATGAGTCCTGTTTAACTATTCTTACCTTTTCACGGGGTTTGCTGAGCGGTTCATGCAGCCGTGTCCGTATACCCTCGTCTTAATTCCAAATCACCTTGCTCTTCCTCTTCCCACTTTACGGAGTAAGCAAGCCCGTCATGTTTCTCTGGGAGGTAACCGCGAATCGGATCCTCAGGGACAGACAAGAAGGTGTCACTGACCCAGCCGCCCCCTCATGTGGGCAGGGGCTTGTCGAGAATGCGGCTCAGCGCCTCGCTTACTACGGAGCACAGACAGCCACGAGCTCCTCCTGCCTGTTCTACTGTTACGGACTGGACAGGACGAGCCGTGTGACAGTGAACGCTAAGGCGGCCGTGCATACGCCCCATGCGCCCCTAGTGCACAGGTGGCTAGGACCTGACTCACTTGCTGATGGCTCATGAACATACCCCTGTTCGTCCTTCAGTGCAGGATTAATCTCGTGCATAGTCACTTTCTAGCCCTAGGTTAGTAAGTATATTAGCGCCGCTACCCCGCTGGCTTGACAGGCGGTCTGAAGTTGGCGTGCAGTGGATATATCTCGACCCCGTGCCACCTGTACGGTGGCTATTACATCTTCTCTTTGAGCCCCCGTTGAGGGTCTTCTCTCCCTCCTAGCGAGAACACATCCCCTCAGAATGTGTCTACCCGGTATCTGCGACCCCTTCGACCTCGAAGACTGCTGTGGCGGCTCCGGCACGGCCGCGCCCCAGGCCAGGCAGCGACCAGTCCAGCAGCCCCCAATCCGCCAGCAGCGAGCCGGAGTGCCAGTAAGACGAACACACACGTTCCCTTCAGGTACCTTTAACTGACGGGAAGGGATTACTATCTTTAGGCCGCCGCCGCCGTTCGCCCACCAAGGCCCACGCAAGTCCAAGGCCAAGGCCAACAGATGCAGTATCCCGCGGAACCCCAGAGCATCCGGTTCCTGTGGAAGGCCGGGGGCTATCTCCGCGGGCCCATGGGGGGCACGGATACATTGCCTACCGTCAACGTGAGCAGGACGCCTCGCGGGTGGATCGTCTTGGCTGGCGTCCCCAAGGGTTTACCCAGCATCAAACCCTATGAGCAGGGCCAGTTGGTTAGCGGGTGTCTACGGAACGTCACCAAGAGCTATTTGTTCTCCAATGCGCAGTACTACCGCACCAGGAAGGGTCTGGTGATCTTGAAAGGGGGACAGGTCTCGGGAGTCTAGCTGGTATTGCTAAGTGGGTATCGTGGAGGGGAGTTTCTCAGTTGAAAGTGGAGATAGGTACTGTGCGTAAGTTTAGGCTACTGCTGGCACTATATATTCTTTACATAGTATCATAAGACTACTAGATAACTATGTAGGTCTTAAATCCCCAATGAAGTATGTTATGATATGTAGGTAGACCATACTAAGAGATCCTCGATTCCAGGGCGCTGAATCTATTTTACTACATCTAAGAAAAGAGACATTATGTGATATAGTTGTATCTAATATGCAATATTTTACTACTTTTGTATCGTCCAATTTGAGGTAGTAAGAAAAAATATTATTTGTCTCTCACATTGCCCATGTGCCTTCAATGTGAATGTGGGCAGAAATCAGACTTTCTAACTGCCTTACATTCCAATTACCTATACTGGTTCCTCTATAGGCGATACCTAAAGCTATTACGCATAAACTGTATTGGTGTGTGCGTGTAATGCCTTGCTTCAACAAGTCACATAATTTCAAATTAAACTGGATATATATAAATACTACAAATTTGTAGAGATTTCTTTTTTTCTTAATAATTAAATAATTTTATAAAATATTAAGCTTTTCTTTTTAAATAAGCAAATTTATTAGTATTATATTTATAATTAATAGATTATAAGCCCAGCTTAAGCTTAAAGCCTTTATTTAATTAATTTTTATTATTTTTTTTATTTTTTAGTATTAAGTACTAAAAAGATTTTTCTACTAATTATATAGTCTACTAAAAAGTACTAAACTAAGTTAAATATTTTAATTAATTAATAAATTTAGTAATTAAAAAAATATATTTATTAATTAGTAATAATATAGTAGATAATTAATATTACTAAGCTTTCAGCCTTAACAGATATAGACAACTATTAGATCTAATATAAGGTCTTAAAAAAATATACTTTTATTTATAAAATTTTTAAAAAATAGTTTTTAGTACTAATATAAAATCTGTTTAATTTTTTTTATCTATTTAGTTTTCCAGTAAAGCTGAAGTAGCTGAAAATTTTTAAATTATATAAAGTATATCCAGGCCTATTAGCTTTGGCTCTGGTAAAATAAATATTAACTTTACTATATATAAAAAAATATTAAAATACTTTAAAAGGCAGCTATTTATATAAAAAGTTAAAAATAAAAAAACTATTAAAGCTATTTATACTATATTAACTATAAAAATTTAATATAGTATTATTAATCTTAACAGTACAAAGAAAGTCTGGGATAAGCTAAAAAAATATTTTAATATTATTTTTAATATATAGTTATTTAAAAAACTATAAACTACTATATTACTATAGTATAATAACTGTAAAAATATTAATAAATATATTATAAAAATATTTAAAATATTAAATAAGTTTTAATATAGCCTTACTAATAATAAAAAACTTAGTAACAGTATATATATTTAGTTTTTTTTTTATAATTTTAAAAAATAGTAGTCTAACTTTTTAACTTTCTATCTTAATTTTTAATATATTAAAAAAAGTATAATATAGGATTAAATTATTTAGATTTTTATATAAAAAAAATATATATTTAATTTAATTTTAGTAATACTAATCTTATAAAGGCGCCTAAAGGCTGGAAGTTAAACAATTTTAAATCTAAAAACTAATAAAGTAAAAATAATTAATTTAAAAAAAATAACTTTAAAAAAAGAATTTTTTAAAATATTTATAAAAACTGGACTTATAATTATTATAGTAAAGTTGGGTATAAAAAGTCTAGCTGCTAAAAACTATATCTAAAGTTAAAGCTATTTAAAATAGTAAAAAATACTAAGGCTAATATTACTAAAGATAAGTAGTTTTTTACTTTATTAATATTTTTAGCTATTAGCAGCTATAAAAAAAAAGACTACCAGTAGATATAAAAAATAAAAAACTATTAGTATTATTAATTATAATATTACTATAGTATATTGTAATATATAAATAACTAGATTATTAATTTAGGTTTTACTAAATATCTTATTAAAAATAAAAGTAGTTTTATATCTAAAACTATAAAGCTGTATAAATAAAAAATTAAAACTACTACCGGTAAAATTATATATTTAGTTAGTATAAATAATATAAAATTAAAGCTAATATATAGTTCTAAAAAATTTTATATAGTTAGATTAATAAATATATTATATATTTCTAATTTTAAAATTAACTTACTTAAGATTATATATTTTATAAAATTTAATTTTACTACTTTTTTATATTTTAATAAAATAATAATTTTTAAGGTAAATAATAAAAAGATTATTAGCTAAAAAAATATTATTAAAAATTAATATATTTTCCATCTTAGCTGTAAAGTAGTTAATATAGAAATTAATACTAATAATATTACTAGTTTTTTTATTTTAGTAAATTATTTTAATTTAGTAAAGTATACTACTAAACCTTTAATTAGTATATTATTTATTAAATTAAGTAATTAAACTATAAATTATTATTTTTATTTCTACAATACCAGTAAACAGTACTAGAAATATATTTTTAATATAAATAAAAGCTATATTAATCTATTTACTTAGTATTAGTATTTTATTTATTTTTTTATTATTAATTATATTAGACTATTAAAAATAGTAGATAGTATAAATATTAAAAGTTTTACTATTCTAAAGTATATCTACTAAATATATTAATTAGCTAATATTTTAGTATACTAAAACTATATATAAATAATTCTACTGTAGTAATACAGCTAGTATATATTTTTTAATATTAGTAGTAGATATATTATTATATTTTTAAATAAAAAATCCAGTACTTAATACTGGATGTTTTTTATTAATATATATAACAGCTGGGTTAATATTAGGCTTTTAAAAATAAAAAAAAAACAGTATTTAAACTAAAGCTGTTTATTAAAAAGTTAGATTATATACTATTTAAAATTAAATCTCTATACTCTAATAATATATTTAAATTCTAAAGTAAAAATATAATTACTTAAATATACTGTAAAAATATTAAATAGAAGTTTATAGTATTATATATCTATAGTTAAAATATATTTATTAAATATATTAGCTTTACTATTTTAACTTATATATATACAGTTTTCTAAAACCAAGGCCTTAATAAAAGCCTATAAAAAAATTATAAAAAAAGTTATATTTTTAAAAAACTTATTACTAATTTATAATAAAATAATAACTGTATAGAAAATATATAATAGAGTATATTTAAATCTATTAACTTTATATATTTTTAATTACTATAGTATTATAATAATTCTTAAAAAAATCTATAGTAGAAATAGGATTTTAAAAACTTAGCTATATAGTTAAATAATTTAACTACTTAAACATACCAGCCTAGTAAAGTAATATAAAGTTTTAAATATTAAAAATAATAAAATTATTACTATCTGTAATATCTACTTTAATAAAAAAAATAATTTAAAAATATATAGATTACTAGATAATAACTATAGCTACTACTAAGTACTAGCTTTGGTAATTTTATTAATAAAAAATCTATATAAGTATACTTTAAATAACAACTTTAATAATACTAGTAATAAAAAAACTATTTAAAAATATTTTTATATACTAAAAATACTAAAGTATTAATATTAATTAATAGATAATATTAGTTTGCTAATATTTTTTACTTATTTTAATAAATTTAATTCTAAGTATAGTAATAAACTGACATCTTTTATTAAAAATCTTTTTAAATAAAAAAAAGTTTAATTTCTATATTTTATTAAATAGGCTTTTACTGCTAAAACTATTAAAAAAAACAGCAGCTATAAATATATTATTAAATTAGCTATATATAAATAAGCTATAAAATTATCTAAAGTATTTTATCAGTTTACTATAATAATTAAAAAAATTTTAATACTTTAAAAATAAAAAATATAAAAATTAGTAGAACTGCCTACCGGCTAAAAAATAATATTAAAGTAGTAAATATATAAAATTAAACTTAATATAAATAATAAAATTTATAGATTTAAAATCTGCTATATTATTTATAGTTTTTTATAGATTTATAAAATTAATTATAATCTTATATTTATTTTTACTATAAAAATAGTAATAGTAAAAATATTTTTTACTGTTATAGTAGTATTTAATTATATCTGTAAATAAAGTAATATTAAATAAGCCTTTTTTTATAAAAAGTTTTATAATAATAAAAAAATTTATATAATTTAACTAACTAGATTTAAAAATAGTAGTATTAAGATCTGTAAGCTGCTTTTATTTATTTATAGATTAAAATAATTTATTAAAAACTAGTATTATAAGTTTTTTACTGCAGCTACTAGTATTAGAATAGTAGTATTTTAAGCTAATAAATATCTTTTTATTAAAAAATATAAAAAACTAATAATTTTTTATATTAATAATATTTAAATTACGGCTTCTATAAAGAGCCTTATTAATACTGTATTTTAAAAACTTTTAAAAAGCTTTATAATTACTAACTTTAGTAATATTTTATAGTATTTTAGTATAAAAATTAAATATATAAATAAAATTCTATAATTTTTTAAAGTATTTTTTTAATATATTATTAAGGCTGCAGACCCGGCAAATAAAAAGATCTGTAAAATACTACTAAATAAAAGTATTAAATTTATTAAAAGTATAAAGTAAGCTTTTAAAAAGAATATTAAAAATTATTAAGCAGATATTAAAAATATACTATATTTAATAATATAAATTTATTCTAATATTATATTTACTATTAAAAAACTTTTATAGTATATAAATAATTTAGCTAAGTAATATATAAATAGCCTTTTTTTACTATATTAATATCTGTAAAAAATAAGTAGATATAGTCTTTAGTACAGAGCCTATATAAAAAATAATAGTTTAGCTAAATAAATTAATATTATAGTTGGCTATATTAATATAAATTATACTAAATACTTTAATATATACTATTTAACTTTTAAATATATTTTTATATAGATAAATAGTCTAATTTTATAGGCTTTACATCTCTAATTCTATATTATAGTTTTTATATATAAAGCTGAATATATAGTACTTTATACAGCAGCTAAAAAAGCCTACTAGATTATCTATATACTTAAAAATATAGGCTTTAGAAATATATATTTAATAATAATATATATTAATAATAAAGGTGCTATTATACTTGCCTAGAATAATTAGCTCTACTAATAGACTAAGTATATTAATATTATATATTACTAGATTTATAAGGCTATACAGTATAGTAATATACACCTATAATATATTAAGTTCTTTAAAAATTTTACAAATATTTTTACTAAGCTGCTTAAAAATATTAAATTTAAATATTTAATTAAATAACTGGATATATTAAACTTTTTAATAGTATTATTAACTGCTGATTATAAAGATGTGGTTAATACTTTTTTTAACTAACTGGCTATTTATTTAAAAATATTATAAAAATTATTATATTACCTTATATAAAAGGGAAGAAGACCTTATAGTTAATTTATTACAGAAATATATTAGTATATATATATAATACTTTACTTTAATAAGTTATATAATTTTAAATTAAACTAAATATATATAAACACCACAAATTTATAGAGATTTCTTTTTTTTTTAATAATTAAATAATTTTATAAGGTATTAAGCTTTTTTTTTTAAGCAAGCAAATCCATCAGTATTACATTCATAATCGATAAACTGTGATAAGATCCCGAAACCTCAAAGCATCTACTAGCGTTCTACTTTGACGTTCTCAAGACACCTACCAAATAATCACGATCTACTCATATCCACACTGACGACCGCCTCCTTGCATGCCAACTACAAGACTGCAACCACCTCCTCCCTGGCCCCCGACACCGTCGACCCCGTCGCGACGAGCACGCGCCTCCCCTCGCCATCCTCCCGCCACTTCAACGGCCCCTCCGGCAGCATCACCGGCCTCTCCTTGCCCAAAACCTCCAGCAACCCCGCATCCAAATCCGCCCGCATGCCATGCACCACCTCGAACCCCCCGCCACACTGCAGCGGAATACTCTCGTGCTCCACCAGCCCCTCCAGCGCCGGCAGCACCTGGCCCTCCGTCAGGATCACCAGCTTGGCGGCGGTGACGGGGTCGACGAATTTCTTCATCACACCCCAGATCGTACTGAAGTAGCTGGGGGCGTTGCAGACCTGTGCCCGGTTAGCGGCGCCACGAACCCTAAGAACCCATAACGCGCAGCCTGCAGGATGACTCCACCACCCGCATCATAATGACAGGGAACCCACAAATATCGTCTCAATCGTCTCGGGATAACACGTCGCCAAGATCCAGCTAATCTCCTTGGCGAAATCCCGGAGATTCCACGCCTGCTTGAGGCTGAGCGCCTTGGCGTCGACGAGGTAGATGCTTTTGGTCACGGGCGTGCCCGCGGCGGCCGTGCACAGCGGGAGGATGAACCGGGTCAGCGTGTCGAAGAAGGCGCAGGCGCGCTGCGCCATGCCCGGGGCGTTTTGGTCGGTCAGCGAGCGCGTGTGTCGCCAGTGCTGCATGGCGTCGGTGTGCAGGTGCGCGACATCGAGGAAGAGGATGGGCAGGTGGGTGCGGGTGCGGCGCCCGGTCCAGTGCGGGTACTTTCCATCCCATCATGATTCAGTATGGGATTTGAGGGGTTGTAGAAAGAGGTTTGGGGGAAGAGCTGGGCGTACCAGTTTGCGCGTGGCTTCGTAGTCGTCGATCGAGATGGTGTTGTAGACCTCGACGATGGATTTGTCGGCGCGGAAGCGCAAGGCGGATTCGTATTGCTGCAGAGCGGAGGGGGGGTCGTTTTTGCGGGCTTGGAGGAAGCGGCTGGATCTTGGTTAGTGTCTGGATCCATGATGGATTGTGAATGAAATGGAAAGAGGGGGGTGTACAGTAAGGTCAGGTCGTCGGTCAGACCGTCCACGACATCCCCCGCTTGGAGCCCCTGAGGCCGGTCCAGCAGCCCTCGTTCCGCGCACAGGGCCTTGAAGCTGGTCAGCGCCGCCGTATCGGTTTCCGGGGGCGCGGTGTCCGGGGCGAGACTCGGCATGACGGTGGTCTGGCGTTTCTTACTGCAATGAAGGGGGAGTGACTGATCAACGGGGGGAGTGAAAAGTGGAGGAATGTCAGCCCGGGAGAGACGGCGCCTAACTTAACAGCTGAAGCTCGCCAGCTGGCAGCAAAAAAAGGAATGTTTGCTGGACGGGTCGAATCACCGACGCTGCACGATTATCTCAGCCATGGCCAGGCCCACGGCGTCTATCACGGCAATTGTGAGTTAGAACTTGGAACTGGACGCACAAGGTTCATTCGCGGCATGCAGATCGTCGATCTTCGCCCCCGGGAAAGAGATCGCGAATCTCCTTCAGCGGATAAGTCATCCTCAGTGTGTAGACACTGTACTGAGTAGAGTGTAAACGTCAACCGATCCATGACATCAACAATGGTTCATGGCAAGTGGATCCCTCCCGTGGAGTCCCTCAACATCACCGCGACGCAACCATGGTTTGTCGGCATGTCAATGCGCTTCTTTCACCCGACAATCCTCAAAGGACCCCCAATTAACCTTCGTGTGACCCTGTTTTCGCTGCCGATCACGATGACCCGACTGCTCGGTACCCAGATTTGGGGACGATGTTGCATCGCGGTTGAGGGTCGAGTTAGGGCTGGGGCCAGTCGATGACGGGATGGGTGAGATCGCCGATAAGAGCCCTGCAAACTATAAGGCCCCGGGGAAATACTGGGGGACACCCGATTGTAGCTCGATACTATATTTCAGCATCTAATACAGATAACCAATCATGCAATCGATAGCACCCTGCCCTGAAGAAGACCAATTCTCCGCCCTCGTGCCCCGCGACACCTCCGACCTCCACGGCTTCTGTCACGGCTGCCCATTACGCCGACACAAGTCAGAACACAAGGCCAACGAGGGCTCGCTGCAGCTGCGCGCCGACTGGGAAAAGTACGTTGGGCCGATCGAGCGATGGGGATCGTGTAATCCGTGGGAGGGCCACTTTGGGGCTGTCGTGCTGCCCTGCTGCCGCCCGGAGCGGATGGCCATTGTCAATTACATCTTTGAATGTAGGTTGCTGTCCGTCTCGCACAAGGTAACCGCGGCTGACCGTATAGATGCCTTCATGTACGATAACGTGGTCGAGTCGGCCGCCAAATCCACCGTGAGTACGGCTCGCTATTATCCACTGCATTCACTGAGTATCCAGATCAACGCCCACGCAGACGACATCGCCTTGGACGAGACGGAATACCGCACCGTGCGCTCCGTCACCGGCACGAAACAGGTGCAGTCCAAGATGCTGCTGGAGCTGTTCGCCATCGATTCGACCTGCGCCCAGGTCGTGCTCGACTCGTGGAAGACGATGATCAACACCACCGCGACCAAGGACAAGACGCGCGCGTTCCGAGACTGGGAGGAGTATGTGGACTATCGCATTATCGACACGGGAGCACCGTGAGTTCAGCAGCTACGCTTCATTCTGTCTACTACCGTACCGTATTACTGACAGCAGCAGCTTCGTCGACATGCTCATGCGCTTCGGGATGGGCTTCGTGCTCACCTCCGAGGAGCAAGCCAGCATCGAGCCCGTGGTGCGCCCGTGCTACGCGGCGCTGGGCCTGGCGAACGACTACTTCTCCTTCGACGTGGAGTGGGAGGAGTTCCAGCACTCCGCGGAGACGACCATGACCAACGCCGTCTGGCTGTGCATGCACTGGCACGGGGTCGACGTCCCCGCAGCCAAGGAAATGGTGCGCCAGGTCACGACCAACTTCGAACGGGAGTTCCAGCAGCGGGTGGCTGAGTATATCGCTGGCGATGGACGGGAGAATCGGAAGGTGCAGGTCTACCTGCGTGCTTTGGGGTATCAGATTCCCGGCAACGTGGCGTGGAGTCTGCGGTGTCCGCGGTATCACCCGCATCTCGTTCAGGAGGCCGGGCGTTTACTTGAGGAGAGTATGCAGACCGCGTCAGATGAAGGATATGAGTCGCCCGTGCAGGAGCACGTTAAGCGCGCGAGTGTGTCTGAGGAGAGCGAGTCGAGCGACTCGTCGGTCTGGTCGGGCGCGAACTCGCCGCGCTCGTCGATCTCGTCTGCTTCGGAGGAGGAGCGGGAGGTTGGGGAGGTCAAGCTGGGATCTGAGGTATTCCCATTGCCCTACCAACCTAGTGTTAACATACTGACGCCGTGCTAGCACCTCTCCAGCCCAGCCGAGTACATCGCCGCGCTGCCGTCCAAGGGCGTTCGCGAAGCGTTCATCGACGCCCTGAACGTCTGGCTCATGCTCCCCGACCGACAAGTGACGCTGCTCAAATCCATCGCCAAGACCCTGCACAACGCCTCGTTAATGTACCTCTCTCCCGTCTATCTTCCGTTCACTGAATACTAATTCCTTAGGCTGGACGACATCGAAGACTCCTCCCCGCTCCGCCGCGGCCAGCCCGCCACGCACACCGTATACGGGGTTGGCCCCACCATCAACTCGGCCAACTACCTCCTCCTGCAGGCCCTGGACGAGGTGCGTGGGCTTGAAGAGTGCGACAGGCAGTGTCTGGACATCTACAGCGAGGAGATGCGCAACCTGTTTACCGGGCAGAGCCACGATGTGTACTGGACGCGCGAGGCGGTCTGTCCGTCGGAGGCGGAGTATATGGAGATGATCCGACAGAGTATGTTCCTCAACCCTCTGCTGCTATCTCATCATTATCCTCGAGAAGACATTAACGATTATCCATAAATAGAAACAGGTGGCCTCTTCCGCCTCCTCGCGCGACTGATGATCGCGACCGCACCTGCGCAGCGCAATCGGTCCGCCCCCGCCCCCGCCCCTTTGCCCTAAGGAATCTACACAGTTCGAATACTAATGAGCACGCAGAGATATCCCCCTCCTTCCCTTGATCGACAACTTAGGCGAATACTTCCAGATCCGGGATGATTATAAGAATCTTACTGAAGAGGTACCCTCCCAATACGTCATTGAATAGGTGTGCAATGCTGACAGGGGACAGTATACCGACCAAAAAGGCTTCTGCGAGGACCTCGACGAGGGCAAGTTCTCTTTCCCCCTTCTCCATGCGCTGCGGGCGCAGGAGCAGGAGAAGAACGATCAGCTTTGGAAGATGTTGGAGCAGGGCCGAGCACCAGGGACGATGGACGTGGCGATGAAACGGCGGGTGTTGGACATACTACACGAGAGTGGCAGCGTGGAGTACACGCGGAAGACACTGCAAAGGATAATGGGGGAGATCCACGGGGGCATGGGGCGGGTGGAGCGGCAGACGGGCTGTGTAAATTGGGTGTTGCGGTTGTTGGTGATGCGGTTGGAGGTTTGAGGAAGTAATGGCTAACGTGTGATGATTAACTATGATGCTTGTTCGGCATTGAGCATGGTGCTTAGATATCGATCCTAGGCCATGGAATGCGTGGAATGCGTGGAATCCTTCTAGAAGCTTTACGTTACCCCAGGCTTGCATACCGACACTGCAACCGGCGATGACGTAGCATACCCCAAACCGCCCCCGCATTCCAGTGACGTTATCCCAATGTAAGCGCAATGCATTCAGCACCCAAGTCAGACAGAAGGTCAAAGGGTATATTACAAGTCTAGTCTATGATACACTCTATAAATAGGATGATTATATACAGCCCAAAGGAAATCCCAGAAACGCCCCAATGCAATGGATCATGTCATGCAGCGGCACCACATCACGCATTATTCGCGCAGGAGAAACTGCTGCCGGAGCTGTCGTCGTGGATGGCCACGCCCGACACCCACAGACCGCAGACGCAGATCGTGGCGCCGATGAGGAAGAGGCCCACGTTGGCCATGGTCAACAGCGTCTTGCGCCAGGAGGAGAAGTAGTTGCCGTAGTAGAGGTAGAGCCAGAAGACGCCGGGCAGGCCGAAGGAAAACCAACTTGCGAACAGGGCGCACTATGGTGTACAATTAGCATGGTTGAGTTGGGTGAGAAGGAGAGGGGATGCAACATACCACCAAGCTGACCAGGTTGCTGAACACGGGGATAGCCTCGGCAATGATCCAGGCGATGATCCAGTATCCAGCAGCCAGACCGATCCAGGCGCCGATTCCCTTGACACTGCGCTTGTGCATGACATCCGTGCCGCGGAACAGCCGGACGTAGACGTTCTTGATGGCGACGTGACCCAGCACCACACCGGCGACGACGATGGTCGGAATGGCGACACCATAGGCGACCTTGCGGACGACGGGGCCGGCGGAGCCCAGGGCGGGCGACTTGACGTTCTGGCCGGCGTAGCGGTAGATGACGGCGGAGGCGACGGTGTAGAGCACGATCTCGAACGCCTGCAGCATGCACAGCGACTTGGGGAAGTCCTTGGGGTTCTTCATCTCAGCGATGAATCCGAAGAAGGCCGGGTGGCCGCAGTAGGCGAAGCCGATGTTGGTCACAGCGGAGAAGCCGTTCACGAAGCTCGTCTTGCGCGTCAATTGCATCGGCTCGGTGGAGGGGTGTTCGACGCCCACGCCGATCATGGTGATGAGCACGGCGGAGAAGATACTGATGAAGCCTGTACTTTGTTAGACAAGTGGTGAGATAGATGAGTAGGCAGTGAGAGAACGTACAGGCAATGGCGAACCAAGAGACGTTCTTCATGGTGCGGGGCAGCGAGCAGATGAAGGAGAGAACCAGGCCGACCACGCCAAAGACCACGGAGCAGGTGCCGTGGTTGGTGAGGGTGTTCATCATGACCGTAAAGGTGACCAGGTGACTACCGGAGGCGAACATGAAGAAGAGCAATTGGGCGACCTCGATGAAGATGCGACCGGGCTTGCCCATCAGGACCTCGCCGGCGTCGGCCATGCTGTGAATGAAGGGATATCGCGCCCGGAATTGACCGATGACATAACCGGAGTAGGTGGCCACCACGCCCAGGCCGACAATGAGGATGATCGCAGGAATCAGGCCGACCGTAGCGACAGTCGAGGGCAGAGACAAGACACCCAGCGAGACCGTCTCGGCAATCATCACTAGAGGAAGGTCAGAATATGCGGGACGGGATAGTATGATATCACCACGATCACCTACAGAAGCCAGATTGCCTATCCAGGAAGACATTAGGATCAACAATTTCGAACATTCAGGTCTGGAACCGGGTACGCAGTGTACTTACCACCAATCCAAAGTCTTATATTGAACCTCACCATGCTCCGCGCCAAAAGGGTCTTGCTCCTCAGGGGGAGCCTTGAGGTCGGTATCCCAGGCCTCCGGGTCCGATGGGACACCCGAGCCATACTCGATATCCTTCAGTTCCGGTGACGACATGGTGAATTTCCTGGGGGGATGGAAGTAAGAGGAGGGGCAGAGGAGGAGAGGGGAGGAGAGGGGAGGAGAGGGGAGGAGAGGGGAGGAGAGGAGGGAGAGGAGGAAGAGGAAGGGAGAAGAAAGAGTCGTAAGGAAGGAAGAACAAAATGGAAAGGAGCTATGAACCGTTCAACAGAATCCGGCCTTGGGTGTTTCGTTATTATACTCCAGCAAAAACCCGCCAGGTGAAGCATGGACGCCTGGGCAGGTGGTTTTGGTCAGTTTTTGTTAGTTAATAGTTCGGGGCGGCCAGCCAATCCCAGCCTCGGGGACTGCAATTTCTGCGGGTGTGACACAAACTTTGCTGGCTGCCGTTTGCCTCTCTCCCCGATGTCGGCCTTCTGCCCGGATGGCCCATGGCCCATGGCCCACTCCTCCAGGAACCCAGAGAGTGGAAAGTGGAGTGGTCGAATTTTCTCCAGTTCTTCGGTGAAACTCAATAGCTAGCTTAGTCCTGATTGACGCATTGACTCGGGATGATGAATGCTCTTGTCGGGCTGTTCGTGCATCGAGCAACAAGATGTAGTTCCAGTTTAGCCGGGGGACGCAAATAAGGTGTCTGGGGGAATCCGGGACCATACCAGACTCTGCATGGAGGCAAAAGGCAAAAGGAAATTTCCACCACCGCATCAGGCCAGGCGGGCCCTGGTGGCAACTGGTGAATGACCATCAACCAGTCAGCGGACGGGATAGGGCTGCCGGTGGCGCTGCCCTACCCACTGCCCCCAAGCAGGCTTAGTCTACTCGTGCCGCTTCCGAGTCGGCCGCCTGGCACTAGTCCTCGTCCAGCTTAGCGGCATCGATCTCGGGGCTGGGCGGCAGTACTCCGGCTCTCCGAGGCCGGTCTCGCCCCCCGATCCTCTATCCCAGTCGGCCGGGGAAAGACCATCAGATGTGCTCCCGCCATACAGCATCTCGGGATCAGGAGGACGGACGCCTAGCGCTGTCTGCAGCTCATTGTCCGGTGCAAAGCTAAAACAAGCATATTGCATAGTCTCATGTAGTACTCGGTAGCTTGATGGCAGGGCTGACTCCCAAATGACTCATGCGGCGTGGCTCCCCGTCTCCTATATCGGCCGGGCCCTCTGACTCGACTCAAGCTGACAAACGGCTGCTTACTCCAGACCCCAGGGCTTCAGAACTCTAGAAGGCGGTGGAAGTTCACCCTGTCAACTTCAATGGTCGAGTGGTGCTGTTGTAGGTGTAGGTATGAGCTCTCCACCAAGTGGCTCGGTTAGCCGACGGGCAGTCTGTCTGGAACCGTTCCCGCGGAAATCAACCGCCAGCCTTGGATGCTGGATCCCCTCCCTATTCACCTGCACCTTCAGAGAGCCAGCAGTCTCCACGGGAAGATGGAAGAGTTTATGCAGGATAGATTTCATTGCAGGCAGCCCAAGATGCTTTGCAGAACTCACCGTAACTCAACACCACGTGCGTGCTGACCTGCAGCAACCTTGAACTGGCGCACCGTCTCAACCTCGCCTGCGTCGAAATCTCCACACGACAAAATCTTCACCCGCGGGTACATCCCGTGGGTAGCCACCACGTGGTGGTGCCCGTCGGCGCGTGGCAGCTCCTACATCGGAGCAACGAGGTGGTTCTTCAGCCCGAAGGCCAACCAGATCCGGATCGTCGTCAGCATCTGACAGCCGAACCTGGGTAGGGGTGGAGCTCGATCGGCAATGACAGGCTGTGGTCGGCTTCACACTGGTCGATTCTGGGTGCCTGAGCCGATAGAGAGGTGAAGACAAAGCTTGATGTTGGGTGGACTGGTCCTAAACCAACCCGGGAACACACTTCCGCGGTATTGCCCCTCTGTGCTGCACGAGAACTGGACCTGGATGCCGGCTTTCTCTGCACTAATGCGAGGTGATGTTTAGTAATGTCTGGGTTGACATGGACTTTGCTAGAGGATCGCCTCGATTGACTACTTTTCATGTTCACTCTTCATACGGAGCTCCTGTCATGCAAAAGACGATATCTTCACTATCACTATCTGTTTCTGGTTGTGCGCAGTATATACGCAGCCTGGTAGCTGCGCTGCTCCCACTATAACTGACCTGGTATTATCTCAACCAGCATTTCATACAGAAGCTGTCAAAAGCGTACATGATGCATCCAGAACTACAGCCCAGCACTATCCTATCCACCTCAATCGGAGGCATTATACAACCGGCGTATGCAACAAACCCAGAGGGCAGCAACCACTTCAGCCAGAAGTATCATACAGCCTGCTATTACAACTGACCCAGATCGAAGCCACTAACAATCCCTTCCCCCGACTTCCCATCATCCCCATTTCCGCCGACCTACTGCTCCAACTGCCGATGGATTGAATCCCGCACCAACTCCTGCAACGACTGCGTCGCCACGACCCCGATGTCCTCATTATCCCGACGCTCGTACAGGGTGCCGCCCTCGGCCCAGATGCGCCGCAGGGTGAACGTCGTCGCATGGGGGGCGCCCTGCTCCCACGCCTGGGCTTCGAGCTGTCGCAGCTCGTCCAGCGAAGTATACTCGACCTCCCACTTCTGGCCGGTCTGGAACTCGAACTCGCGCAGGATCTCGTGCGGGGTGGTGGTGAAGGAGTTGAGCTTGAGGGCGCGGTACCGCGCCTGGTCCCAGTGGGTGAGCGCGTGGGCGACGAAGCGGCCGACACTGTGCGCGTTAGCATGACTTCGCTCTAAAGACCTGTCCCTGGACGAGAGAGAGCCGATCAAAGACAATCGATACACATCGAACCATCCCTCGCCGGGGGGATCAAGGAAGAAACTCACTCCACCCGCGCACTGAAACTGACCCTCCCCTCCCCATCCCCAACCACCACCGCCTTCCGGGCCTTCACGTCCCACGACCCCGCCTTGGCCGCCTCCTCCGACCCCGGGGCGGCCAGCCAGAACGGATAATCGGGGTACGGGCCCGTGACGATGTAGGCGTACTCGAGCTGGTCGCGCAGCTGGGCCAGCGCCGCCCGCACCTTCAGCTTCTGCTGGTGCGGCTTCTCGTCCTTCGAGGCGGGGCCATACTCGATGTCTGTCCCGTACTCGGAGGGGAGGAAGCGACGAACGGTCTCGGATTCGGCGGCCAGTTGGATGAGCGGGATCTGGGCGGCGATGGCGGTGCGGCCGAGGGCTGAGACGACGGTGTCGTATCCTGTGGTGGGGTTAGTTGGGTTGATGGTAGGGAGAGTGCAGCACAGGACAATCTAGGGGAAAGGCAAGGGGCAATACCGGCATAAGCCTTGCGCACATCGTCCGCATTCCCCAAATCGCCCACCAGGATATCGACCCCCTGGCGGCGCAGCTTGTCCAGCACCTCGGTTTTGGTCTGCAGCGACTGCGGGCTGGTGAAGACAGCAAAGCGGCCGAAGTGGGCCCGGTCGTCGAGCAGCGCCTGTGTGATGTACGAGCCGATGGCCCCGGTGGCGCCGAAGATGAGGATGTTGGATTTGTCGGACATGTTGGTTTTATGGTTTTAAATGTCTTAGATGGTAAGAGAAGAGACGCCGTAGGTAGGGACTAGGGAGAGAGGTGGTTTGGTGAACACGCAGGGTGATGACACAATTGGGGGAGGGGAAACTGAGGGGTTATTTATTGTGATTAACTGATTCTTATTAAGGCCGGGAATGCAATTACCCCGCCGGATCAAGATCCGCGATAAGATGACAACATCGTCGGAGAGGATAGCATCATAGCATCATAGCAATTGCTTCAAGCAGACTATTATCATTATCATAAGTCGTAAGAAAACATGCAATCTATACTTTGCCCTTTGCCCTTTTCCCGTTTCCCTTTTCCTTCATTATCATCATCCCCACTTACGACCTAGGTCACATGCTCCTTCTCCTCCTCCTTGGGAATGCGCACGCATGTCACCGTGATCAACGCCGCCACCAGTTGACACCCCAGCGCAAACCACCAGATGGCGCGCAAGCCCTGCAGCCCGACATCCCCATCCGGGGTCTGGTCGACGCGCGTGCCGATCGCATCGGCCACACTGGTCAGAATCGCCGAGCTGAGGTTCTGGTTCGTCACCAGCAGACTGCCCGCGCTGCCCTGGTACGAGCGCGCCACGTTGCTGGTAATGAAGATGGAGGCCGCCGCAAAGGCGAGATCGGGCCCGAAGGTCACCAGCGCGATGCCGGGGAAGGAGAGCGCCCAGTAGATGGTGTTGGCGGTTTGCGGGAGGAAGAAGGCCGGGCCCAGGGTGAAGGCGAACATGGAGATGGTGTAGATGTAGTGGCCTGGCACCAGGTGCAGCGTGCGGCTGACGACCCAGGTCGCAAACACCCCGACCAGCGCGTTGGGGATATGGTACAGCGCCACGGCCACGGGTGTCGCGTGCTGGATGCGCAGCCAGAACTGGATCGCGTAGAACTGCCAGCAGCCGAAGAAGGACCCGAACCCCAGGAAGTAGGCGATCATCAGCGGGGTGAAGCCTTTCGTGCTCCACAGCCGGTTGGGGATCAGGGGTCGCACCACGTAGCGCTCGGTGACGAATAGCCCCACCAGCAGCACAATCCCCAGAACTGTCAGAGCGATCGTGTACGGGGACCAGTTGGTCACTCCGCCCTGCGTCAGGCCGAAGAGAAGGCACACGCAACCGCCCACGGCGAAGGCCGCCCCCAGGTAGTCGAATTGCTTGATCGAGGGGGCCTCGGTGCCGGCCACATCGGCCACGGGACGCAGTGGGGGAATGGCGAAGAAGGCTGCCACGGCACACAGTCCGGTGATCATGGCGTTGGAGCCGAAGATCCACGGGAGGTGGTGGAAGAGAAGACCCCCCTGGATGGCTCCGAGGGAGAACCCGAAGGGCGCACAGGCGGCCATGGCGCTGAAGACGCGGTTCTTGCGGATGCCCGGCTTGTACACGCGGCCGAGAATGCTCATGCTCCCAGACACCAGCACCCCAATGGCCAGACCCTGCATGGCGCGCACGATGAAGAAGAGGATGCGGCGCGAGGGGGAGAGCGAGAAGGCCCCGATCAGGTTCCACAGCGTCAGCCAGCCAAACGCTCCCACCATCAGCGGCCGAGGAGGCGTGAGGTCTGTCAACGAGCCGGACACAACGACGGAGAGGCCGTTGGCCACATTGAAGGCGCCCACCAGCCAGGGCAGTTCGGTGTTGCTGATGCCCAGGGCGGTCCGGATCTGGATCTGCGGGGCCAGCATGTCGCCCAGGAGGAAGGAGAAAAGCATCAGGCCCACGGAGCAGACGGCAATCAACAGGAGTTCGGCGCCAAAGCTGGACAACTCCGGAGGGACTCCCTGTCGAGCAGCCTTGGTGGCCTCGGGGGGTGGTGAGCCGGCTTCGTCGGCATAGACGTTGTCGCCGGGGTGCACGGCCGCAGAGGGGCGTCGGAATCGGGGCCCCGTGGCCGACAGCTCGATGGCGTCCTCGTCATCGCTGCTGTCCTCGCGGGGCCGGGTGATGGTCTGGGGGAATTTCTTCAGCACATCGGCGGGGACGGCGACTTTGGGTCCCAGCAGAGGATCCGGGGTTTGCGCCCCCGTGGCCGGAGTGGACGCAAAGCGACTGCTCCCAGCGCCGAGTTGGTAATCCGAGAACGAGGTGCGGCGTGACATGGCAGCTGATGACAGTCCCGATACAGGCTTATCCTCGACCGGACTGGGGGGCTGCGAGTGATCGGGGGTGGGATACGGAGGTGGCATGGTGGCGGATGGGGATTGGCGTGGATTCTCACTTCACCGTCATGTTGAGAGGGGTGGTTTGAGCAAGGAGGGTTTTATAGGTGTTGAGAGCTCCGGAAAAGATCGTCCGGGGGCATTGCACAGCTGTCCAGCTGGATTGCTCATTCTTTTTCGCATGGTGGCCACCCTGACGCTAAGGGTTCGAAATTTGCAGAGCTAAGCATCGATCCCTTGCGGTGGTTTGCGCGTCGCCAGACCCGGTGGATCCCTCCACCCACGGTTGGCTCCACGGGCCCTGGGACACACCAGACTTTAAATCAGTCAACGGGCTGGATCCCTCGGAAACTGGTTTCCTGAACAGAGGCATTGGTCGATAAGCGGTTGCCACTGTAGGCCCCGTGGGTCGAAGGATGGGTGCGGTTGATGTTGGGTGTAGTGGTGATTTTTGGGCATGACGATAGATGCCTGAAGGTGCTGTGGTGTATGCATTGACTTACTGTGTAGAAATGTACATACACTGCTCGAGGGTCAGTCGGTCAGACACCACAGATAAGCAAGAGACATACCAGATCGAAACCCACAGCTAGGCCGTGCAATGATCTCCCGATCGACAGCGAGGCAGCAGAGGCAGCTTAAGGATCGCCGACCTGCTCAAAAAGGGACCGACGATCTAGGGTGTTCGGCTTACCTTCAAGCTTAGTGTGGAATACCGTAAGTTAGAGCGTCCGTCGAGGGATACTCAGCAGTCAATTCGTATCAAATCGGACTTGGGGTGGCTGGACCTACATGAGTACTGTATGTATCAAGACGCTTAAGGCTACATCCACATCCACTTCTCCCGTCGGCCCGACTCCATTGCCCTAACTCGACCTTCATCACCACCCCCATCGGCATTCCACGCAGTCTACTATCTCTCGGACGAGACATCCGGTCCGAATCAGCAAGCTGACCATCACCGGGTCAGGATTTGGAAATCGGTCATGCAACCGGCAAACCCGACCGTGGCAGAGTGAGCCGATGCCGACCGGCGAGGAGGGAGGCCGATGGCCGAGGGCACAAGGTCTGTAGATACGAGGGAATGTCAGCCCATTGCGCATATCAGTGAGGATGACGAGGAGTTGTCTGATTATCTGAAACCTGCTTCTGTCACAAGAAAGAGTAAATTGACCATAGCTGGATATCTCGAGTATACAGACCGACCGGAGTATATAAGCCAACGAAGGTCTAGCGTGTCTAACCCATGACATTCCAGTCCAATCCAATCCTGATCCTGTAATCCTTCTTATCACAGTTGCAGTTGCAGTTGCAGTCGCCATCACATTCACATTCCTTGCTGATCAACTCCCCTCCCCCGCCATCCCCGCTTCATCTCACCTTCTCCCTCCCCTCTCTCTCCGTCATCTCACCTTCATCATCATCTTCACCAACTCCACCCTCGACATCCACCACCACCACCAAACCAACCATGCCCTTCGAAGCAATCGGCATCCTCTCCATCGGCGAGATGGGCTTTGGCATCGCCCAACTCCTCCGCGCCCACCACTACCGCGTGCTAACCTACGCCGCCGACCGGAGGTAGAGTCTATCAACAAACCCCGCCCTCCGATCTGTATCTCACCTCCCCTCCATCCACGCAGTGAATCCACCCAACACCGCGCCTGGCTGGCCGACATCGAACTGCGGCCCTCCCTGCAGAACCTCATCGACGAAAGCGACGTGCTGCTCTCCATTGTCCCGCCCGCCGAAGCCCTGCCCACCGCCGAACGCATCATCGCCGCCGCCAGTGTCCGACACCTCGTGCGCGACAGCCCCTTGTACATCCTCGACCTCAACGCCGTCTCCCCGGCTACTGCCCGGGAATTGGCCCAGCTCTTCCGCACCACCGCCCGACCGGACGATCTCCGCTTTCTGTCGGGGGGAATCATCGGGTCCCCGCCGCATTTCACCAAGCATGCACATCATGATCGGAAGCCTCCGAATGGCACCCCCACGCCTGAAACCGAGGGTCAAAAAGCCGCGGAAGACGGGGAGTGGAAAAAGCCAGCCCTGGTGGTCTCCGGCCCCGATGCCCTCCCGGACGCCCCCCTCGCCGCCGTCCTGAACATGCGACACGTCTCGCCCGAGATCGGCACCGCCGCCGCCCTGAAGATGTGCTTCGCCGCCCTGACCAAGGGCTTCACCGCGCTGGCCATCGAGTCCTTCACCACCGCCGAGGGGTTCGGGGTGCTGCCCGAGCTGCGCGGCCTGCTCGGGGAGTATAAGCCCGCGGCGCTGGGGATGGCGGAGCGCGGCGTGGTGGGCATGCCGTCCAAGGCGTATCGGTGGGTGGAGGAGATGCGCGAGATCGGGCGGACGATGCAGGAGGGGGCCGGGTTTGGGCCGGATGTGTATGTTTCGCTTTTGTTGGTTCTGTGGGCCAGAGGGAATCGGTGTGCTGACAGTAACAGGTTTAATGGGGTCGCCGAGGTGTATCAGGCTGTGGCGGCGGATCCGGTGCTGGGGCTGGAGAAGCAGAAGGCTGGGGAGCTGAGACAGCGCGGGAAGACGGTGGAGGATGTGGTGGGCTGTTTACAGGGGAGTCTCAAGGCAAGAAAGACGGAGTCGTGATTTCGGTGGTTTCTGTATCTGTCGAAGTCGGATGGGAGAAGACTCATCGTCCAGTCCAGTGAGAGGCACATTGTTTACTGGTACTCGTGATTCAGCCAAGAATGATCAATTCGTGCGTGCATTGTACTATACTGGAGACAGTCGACATACAACCGGCATCATTGAATTAAACGAACGTCCTAAAAGTGTACACGAAGAGAAAAACGGTCTATACTGCATACTGCGGCGAACAACCCCCTCATTCCTTCATCGCTGAGCTAAGCTAAATTTACAAGACAGCCAGGGCGAGGATGCCGACAACGGCACCGAGGAGAGAGCCGGGGAGGACACGGCCGGAGCCACCGGTGAAGAGGCCGGAGGAGGAAGCGGCGGCAGCGGAGGTGCCGGTGCTGGAGCCAGAGCCGGAGCCGGAGCCGGAGCTGGAGCTGGAGGAACCGGAGCTACCCGCAGCAGCGCTGGCGGAGGGGGTCAGACCGGAGCTGGCGGAGGGGCGGAAGCCGGGGTAAGTGCCGTTGCCGTGGCTGCCCCAGGTGCCGTTGCGGCCACCCCAGCTGCCAGAGACGGAGCCAGAGCCGGAGCTGGAGCCAGAGCTGGAGCCAGAGCTGGAGCCAGAGCTGGAGCCAGAGCTGGAACCAGAGCCGGAAGCAGAGGCACCGGAGCCGGAGCCGGAGGAGCCAGAGGAGCCAGAGGAGCCAGAGCCGGAAGCAGAGGAGCCAGAGCCAGAGGCGGAAGAACCGGAGCCGGAGCTGGAGCCGGAGCCGGAGCTGGAAGAGCCAGTAGTCTTACCAGAGAAAGCGGTGGCAGAGGCAGAAGACGAAGAAGCAGTCGAGGTGGCGGAGGAAGTAGAGTTCTTGCAAGACAGGTCGTACAGAGGAGTGGTGCTCAGGGTGCTGCCAACAACCCCGAAGCTAGGGTTGGGGGTGGCACCGTCGGTGTCCTGGAGGATGTACCACCAGGTGTTGGTGTTGCCGAACAGAGGGCAACCAACTTCGTCCCAGTAGATCTTGGCGTTGGCGGCGCTGGCAACCGCATCACCCTCAGAGTCACCGCTGACGGGCCATCCAGTCTCGGTCATCCAGACCTCCTTGCTGCCGGCAACAGCCTTGGTCTTCTCCCACGAGTCGAGGAAGAGCTGCTTGGCGTTGCTGATGTCGTTCTCGAAAGTCGACTGCCAGAACGGGTAGCCGTCGAAACCGAGCCAGTCGACGGCCTCAATGACCGCCGCGTTGGAGGTGTTGGTCCAGGAGTCCCAGGTGTCGACGTGGCCGATAGGGACATCCGCCAGTCCGGTGCCGGCGATCAGGTCGCGGACCTGCTGGATGTACTCGACGAGCTCGTCGGGGTTGACACCGACACCGGCGTCAGCCTCAACACCCTCGACGGAGTTGCGGTAGAGATCCTCGCTGCCGACGGAGATACCGACGACCAGCTTGGTGAAGTCCTCACCGTACTGAGAGATGGCGGACTTGAGGGCGGCGAGCTCGTTGGCCATGCCACCACCGGAGGTCCACAGACCGAGGAGGAGGGAGGTGTCTTGGGCGATGGCAGCGGGGATGGCCTCGATGGGGGTGTTGGTGCTGTAGGCTTGCTGTGCGGGGGAGTGGGGTTAGTTTGTTCCTTGCAAGTCAAGCACTGGAGGAGACCTACGATCATGGTGTAGAGACGAGCGCTGGTGAAGCCACCGTCAGTGCCAACCAGACCCTTAGCAGTCTTGAAGGAGGCCTCGAAGTCGGCCTGGAACATGGAGCTCTCGTCGGCCTTCTTGTTGCCGTAGTTGAAACCCTGGGAGACAGCCTCGGCAGTGGAGGCCGCGAGGGCCATGGCAGCCAAAGTGGTGTAGTGCATGGTGATGGTGGTAGTGTGATAGAGATTGACGAAGGTGAGTTAAAAGTCGTAAAGAGGGAGTGACTGCAAGGAACGGGAATTGGAAAAGAATGACAAGTCCACGTTCAAAAAATGATCAAGAGAGGGGGGGGGAAGAGGATGGGGGATGGAGAGATGGAGAGATGGAGAAAGTTGCAAAAGAAGGGCAGGGACAGACAGATAGATAAAAGAACCCACGGCAACGACAAAGAGCGGGAGAAAGCAATGCCCTTGGGTGAATTACTTGGGTCTAGAACGGAGCACTCAGTAACTTACAGTAAGACTGGCAACAAGTGAAAGGCCTAACAGCCCTAGTCCCGCTCCAACGGGGCCACACACCACTGAGAATAGCACCCTACACACCCAATGAGGGATTAATTGTGCCTGTTGGCCCTGGAATCTTCATTGCCGGTGGATCCCAGTGGGACTGTCTACCCAATAATCAGTCCGTCCCAAGACTGAGTGACAAGTCTCCCCCGTGGAGCCACAGCCGCAAATGAGGGTTGGCTGACTGGGTGGTGGGTGGTGGTCCGGAGATGACGACCCTCCTGCTGTCCATCCATGTCTCTCTCTCTCTCTCTCTTCTGGCTGTCTGTCTCGCCTGCCCCTGATCAATTGAAGATTAATTAAATTAATTAATTCATGATTGCACCAAACAATCTGGTCCATTCTCCAGGGGTTCTTGACTGGGTTCTCGAATCTTTTTTCTACCTGTACTGTACTACCGTCCATCTCCCGGTCGCACATCTCTCCTGTCTCTTCATTTCCCCTGACTAGTTTGCTCGATACAAGTCATCATCCTGCTGCAGGTACCGTCCAATTTCACTGGGTCTAATTCTGGAACGCCAACAACGCACGGTGGCTTGCCCACCACCGGCGATCTTTACCTCCAGCTGGCAGGCGTCTTACCCGCTCCGATGATCGATCACTCCCCTGACTTATGAGTACTCGTCCACCTCTCAAAGAGTCAAGGCAAGTCGGCCGGTTATGCTCATGACTGACGTCAATCGTAGAATAACTTGACGGTCGAGTCGTGCAGCTTTCCTCTTGTTTGTCTTGATTCGTCGCGTGGTGAGCAGTAAAGTTATCATCGCATCGCATCGGTTCATCACCTGTGCTAAATAAAGTCCCCCGTCTGGACTCTGGACCTTTGCCCATCCTCCATGCTAGCTACCCATCTAGACCTCCATCTTCGATAAATATTATTAGCATCAGCATCTGGAGATGAACAATGGTCGGCCACTATTGACACTAGATCAGGGGAGGGGGAATGCATGGACCCGGGGGTCACGTGCACGCCGGGCAAGTCGGGCGACGGGGGGCTGCCGTGTCGAGGCGGTGCTTAAATTGCTCACTCTTTATACAGTTTGTCGTACCCCGTGATCAGGTAGTCACAGAGGCTATACACAGCGCCCGCAGTCGTATCAGTCCTGGCAAACCGATCTGAACCACACAATGCTCAAGCATCACCTTAATCTTATATTCAAGCTGGGCAGTTCTACGTAAGCCCGCGGGGCCGACAAACCTTGAACGGTTGTGCTATTGAGGTCATCTCAGAGACATGTCTTAGCGGTCTATTCATAGATTCCCCTCATTTCCATGGTTTTGCCCCCCCTGGGAGCAAAGATGCGCCACACACGCCACAGTACAAGCCAATCGGACCCCACCGCTTGAAGAGAAGTGGGTAGACAAAGGCGGTCGACGCGTTGCCTGGCAGAATGACTCAGCAGTCAGGCTTTTCTTGCGCGATCCGTGGTTTGTCAGCAGCCAACCCGAGGTTCAATTGGGGATGTGAATGTACGGAGTACTGTGCTGTGGCAAGAACCACTCGCTCATCCCCCAACCTTGAAGGTTTGCCCCTCCGCAATCGGCCAGTGCTTCTGTGAGCGCTCTCTGCAGCACTGAAGTATACAGCATATATATTGTGCCGGCATATGTATCCCCACCTGTCAGGTAGTATGGTTGACAGATATCAGACATGCTTCTATACCTCGAGAAGCTCATTTAGCAAACAAAGGAGACAAATCTCCTCTACTCACGCCCCTCGCACCACCACTCGCAATCAAAGCCCCTCCAGCACCAAAACCCAATCCACATGCCCCTGTCCAAGCGGCGGCGTAAACGTTCGCACCGAATCCTGCCCACACTGCGTATAATCAAACGAGGTATACGTCCCATCCAACGGATCAAACCAACTCGCATGCACTTGACACGAGTTCAACCCCCCGGTCTCAACCCGGAACTCCTTGCCCGTAGGCGTATACACCAGGATCCAGTCCCCGCCACCATCTTTGGTCGCTGTGACCCTAGCATCATCCGCGCCCACATCCCCGACCAGCAGATTCTGCCCCGGCACGCGTCGGAAATAGCTGTCCTTGCCCCGATCCATCACCACCTTCTGGATCCACTGCATCTGACTGGACCCCGGGAGAACGAGGTCCTGCGCCCAGTCGTCGCCCGGTCCACTCCCATCCGAGGCGTATAATCCGGGGATCGCCATTTGTTGAACTGCGTTGGCTCCGTAGGTTAGGCCTGCCGCACCGGAGAAGACCTATTTTGTGGTCAGTATCTTACAAGTAACAGTCATAGGGAATAGGGACAGGAAGCAAGGGGTAGGCCGACTAACCGCCTGCCAGCTCCCGATGCGCACGTCGCTGGCATTCCAGTAGAACGAGTCGGGATTCCCGTCATTATACCGATGTTCGTAGTGCGCCTCATTGTCGAGGACCGGTCGCGTAGAGAAGTTCCCCGCCGCGTACATGCGCTCGACGGGCTCCCAGCCCCGCCGACAGTTCCACCACGGGATCGGAGGGTTGGGCGCGTAGTCCGTGTGGCCGGACTGGCTGGTGTCCAGCGTGAGCCAGCTGCGGTTCCCGAAGAAGGCGTGCGCCAGGGCAATGGGACCGCCAGTGAACCATTGGTTGGTGGGGTGGATGGTCATGAGAGGTTGCCATTTCTCTGCTGCTGAGGATGATGATACCGTTGAGATAGCTTGTCGCTCGCCGGCCACGATCCCCTCAGCTAATGCGTCGTAAACGGGTGACCAGTCCACCACTTCAGGGGCCGGGGAGACTCCGCCTCGGAGGTAGTCCGCCTTGACGGCGGTCTTGTTCTGCCAGTAGGGGTTGGTGTCGGCCACGAGGGTCTTGGGGAGGTAGGGGTACCGCTGGCCGATGAAGTGGCCGAAGGGGGCTGCGGTCGTTGAATTGAGAACGCTGGCGGAGTTGTCGCTCCCATGCACGAACTTCCCCCACGCGGGCACCAGACAGATGCGGATGCCGTTGCTCCATGCCAGTGCGACGATTGAGTCGATATAGGCCCAGTACGCCTCGTTCGGTCGCGTCACATCTTCGTCGATGAACGTCAGGTCGCCATTGCGGTTGGGGCTGGTGATCCCTTCCTGGGTGAAGCCCACGGCGAGAACGACGGTGAATCCCTTGCGTGCGCGGTCGGTCAGGTAGGTCTCCGCCTCGCTGTAGTTGAGCCGATGGAACAGTAGCCACGCGGTGTCGGCCTGCCAGAAGAATGGCTCGCCTGTGGACTGCTGCAGAAAGCGGCCGTCCGGGGAGGGGGCGATGGCGTAGTCACTGGGAATTTGCCATGCCACCACGGCGTGTATGATGTGAACAGCGAAGTAGAGAAGGACAACTCTGAGCATGATGAGTTATGGTATCTTGATTATGGCAGTCATTGCAGCGACGGTGTGGCCGTCGACTTGGGGAAATCTCCGCTTTTCGACCATTGGGACTGCTGCGCAATGCAGAATGACCGCATCAGAACATTACACAATGTTACAGTCTCTCCGCAGCGAGACAAGCATGTGCAAGGTAAAATTCCCACCAATTGCGAATTGCTGGAGACATGCTGCAACATGCTGTACCGGACTGTGTACTGAGTCTTGTATTCCGTGCTCCGGCTAAATCCAACTACCCCGCAATCTGAGGAATCTCATTAGGGCACGGCCGGTACGCGAGGAGTTCTGCACTGACATCATGCCAGTCTCCCTCTCTCGCTCTCAATCAGCCTATTTGAACCTGCTCAATATATCCCCTGCATGATCGTTAGACCGCCTCACAAGAATCTCCACCAACCATACAAACCAAGCGTTATGAATCTCCCCGCATCAATGGCCGGGGAAACGGCCGTTGCGGGCTTTTAGTCGGTTAAAATACTACCGGGGCACACCCTGTCTATCAGACATGGCTCCCAAGAAATACTCACATCCAAAACGCAGACACCTATCCAACGCGATGAAGTCTGCGCTTGGGGTGCTCGTTCTAGCCCTGACCACCAGCCCTGTAGTCTGCGCACCGTCGCGGCGATCACAGGCACTGTTGAAGAAGTTCTCGTCGCTGGTGATCTTCGGTGACAGCTACACCGATGACGGCGTCTATTCGTATATCCCGCCAGTGGCAGCGCAGGTATGAATGGATGCTTCTCTATCATTGCTGCAGCCCAAGGACAGCCACTCACAATCAGAACCACAACAGTCAACAGACGAATGGGACGGGGGCCGCGCATGGCCAAGTTACGTCCAGCAGTACACGGGGATCAACCTCTACGACTACGCCGTCGCGGGCGCAGTCTGCGACTCCGTGGAGGCCGATTCCTCGCGCAATGGGGTGAAACAGGACCAACTGCCCAAGTTCCTCGCCGATAATGAGTATGTCAACAAGACCACCGGCCAGACCGCTCTCATCAACCGACCCGCCGAGACGGTCTACGCAATCTGGATCGGCACCAACGACCTGGGGCCCGGCAGCTTCCTCACCGAGGTGCAGCCCGCCGGCATGGCGTTGACCTACTTCACCGAATGCGTGTATGCCCAACTCGACCGGCTACACGCTGCTGGCGCCCGCAACTTCGTGCTGATGAACCTCGTCGCCCTCGAGCTGGCCCCGGAATACGCCACCCCGCAGAACGGGGGCCTCCCCACGGGGGAGTACTGGACGGACAAGTCTACGTACGACGCGAACATCACGCAGTCGAGCGAGAAGATGCGCCAGTACTCGACGCTGGTGAACGCGGTGTTCAACTATCAGACGCCGTACGAGGTGCAGATCGCCAAGCGGTATCCGCAGAGTAGCTTTGCGCTCTATGATACGCATGCTCT